GAAGTTAAATTTTAATAGAAATTTAGACTAGCAGGCTTATTAATAATTTAGTAGCTTAATTAATATAAAATACTCTAAATTCTAATAATCTATAATAATCTTTATAAGTAATAAAATTCTTTCTAGTTTAGGATATTATTCTTTAAAATAATAAATAATAACTAATAATTCTTTATTATAAATCTTATAATTATATTTTATTATAGAATATTTCTTAGAAAAAAATATAATAAGGTATAATATACTTTTATTATTATATTATAATAATACTCTAGTAAATATATAATTAGAGGTATTAATTTCTAGAATTATATCTTTTAACTAGTTAAAAGATTTTAGTATTAGGGTATTTATAAAAGTAGCTTTTAATTATTTAAATACTTCTTAGTAGGCAGGTATCTAGTTAAAATTAATATTTTTCTTAGTTAGATTAATTAATAGTCTAATAATTTTTAAAAAATTATAAATAAATTAGTAGTAAAAGTTCCTAAAGTTAATAAAGGTTTAAATATTAGTTAAATAAGTTAGTATTTCTTATTTAATAATTATTTTTACTTTATTAGGATCTATTTAGAAGCTATCTCTATCTATAATTAGTTCTAGAAACTTTATCTCATGCATGAAGAATTTATATTTACTAAATTTAGTATAAAGTTTTACTACTTATAGGTATTCTAATACTTATTAAATATAATAAATATATTTAGTATAGGTTTAATTATAAATTAGAATATTATCTAAATATATAGTATAAAAAATATCTAGATAATTATATAGGGCTTTATTAATAAATCTCTAGAATAATACTAGAGCTCTAGTAAGCCTAAATAGTATTATTAAGAATTTAAATAGGCTTAATTAAGTTTAAAAAGTAATAAGATATTCTTATCCTTTCTTAATCTATAAATTATTAAAAGTAAAAATAATATTAATTTTTAAGAAATATCTTATCTCTTTTAAATTATTTAATATCTCTTTTATTAGTAATAATAGGTAATAATCTTTTATAATAATTATATTTAGAGCTTAATAATCTATATAAAATTACAGGCCTTCTCTAGATTTCTTTATAAATAGGATAGGAAATATAGTAGGAAAGAAATTAAAATAAATAAAATCTTTTTTTAAGTTTTCTTTAATTTATTTCTTTAGAATTTTTAATTTATCTCAGGATATGCTATATAGGCTTCTAAAAGATAGGATTTTTCTAGATAGTAGTTTAATCTTATAATTATTAGATTAATAGGATAGTAGGTACTTAGCCTCTTTTAGTAAGAATATATTATAAAATTTAGTAAACTTAAGGAGTAATTACTCTTATAGCTTAGATTTAATAATAATAATAAGGTTTAGAGTAGCTTTAATATTAGTAATAGTAGTAGTAAATATCTAGTATCTATAGTAAGTATATATAATATAGGTAGTAATTAAAACTCTAGTAATATCTTGGTTCTTTAGAAGTTTAGAATAGGAGTTAAGATATTAAAGAGAAGCTTTTAGTAATATATTATATAATATTAAAATCTTTATAAACTTTAGAGATATATTATAGTACTTCCTATAATAGAGACTTTTAAATAGAATAATATAATTAATAAATCTAATTTAGGGATTATAAATCTTTAATTAAAATAAATTAAGGATAATAGGAAAGTATATAAATTAAATTATAAAAAAAGTAATATTTTTTTTAGTATAGTTATAAATTTTTTAGATTAAATAAATAAAATAAATAATATTACTAGACTTTACTAGAGTATTATTAAATCTCCTTAATAAAATAAGATTCTTTAATAATAATATCTCTAGTTAATTATTTATAGCCTAATTATAATTTATAAAATATTTATTCTTAGCTCTAGAATTAATTATAATAAAGATTAGTAAAATCTTATTAAGAATTTCTAGATTAATAAGTAGGATTATTAATTTAAATTAGTAATTTTTCTTTTCTACTATTATTCTAGTTATTATAGCCTTTAATAGGTAGAGGGAGTGCTAGGGGTATCCTTAATTATAATTTAGGTTAGGGATACTTTATTTTCTAATTTAGAGAATATAGGATATTTGGTAGGCAGGGTTCTAGTTAATAAGAGGTATAGGTCTAGTTTAGTAGTAGATATAGAGGTATAGCTAGTTAGTCTTTAGTTAGGGTATGGGCAGCTACCTACTAGATAGTTAGTACTACTATAATAATAATATAGGTATTAGGTTTAATAATTAAGATAATAAGTAATAGATAGATCTATTAGGTCTTTAGTAGGAGTAATAGTAATAATAAGATTAATAGGAATTATAAGAATTTAGGTAGTAGGAGTTAGCTTTAAAATAGATTAGGGAGACTAGAAATTCTTTATAGATAAGGATAGAATAATACTTATATAATAATAGTAGTAGTTTTCTAAATTTTATAAGTAATTAATAAAGTTATAATATTATAATAAGGCCTTAAAGTATATTAATATTTTTTAAAGTTTTTAACTAATAACTTATTTTAAAATTATAAATAAAATATCTTTATTTATATTTCTTTCTAATATAAGATATTAAAATTTAGTAAAAAAAATACTAAACTTATAATAGATTTATTAAAGATAGAATAGGTTAATATAAATATTAATTTTTAAATTTAGATTTTTAAAAGCTTTTTCTAGAATTTCTAAAATCTTAATATAATTACTTAATTTATAGATTTTATTTTAAATATATAGTAAGATTTAGATATATAAAGTTTCTTTAAGATAACTAGTTATATAAGTTATTCTACTATTTAGGGTTAGAAAATAGTTAAAGTTTATAGTTATCTTCTAGTAGATTTAAGAAGTAAAGTATCTTAGATTACTTTATTAGTTATTAAACTTATTAAAGTTAGGAAGTTATTTAGAGATTTAAGTAGTAGGAATAAATATAGTAAGAGTAATAGTAATAGTAAAAAGAGTAATAATATTAGTATCTTTTTTAAAAGAAAATAGTAATTAAAAAAATATATTATTTTAAATAAATACTTTAAATAATTTTTATTAGATTTCTTTAGTTTATATCTTCTAGTACTTAATTATATTATCTTTCTATTAAATATAATTAAGAAGGTTAGTAATAATAAAGTATAAAATAAATAATTTATAAAGTTCTTTTATAATAGTAATAAAGAACTAGTATATTTTAGTAATATATTATCTTAATTTATTAGAAATATTATATAAGAGAGTTTCTATACCTTTAAGTAGTATAGGTAGTAAGGCAGGTATAATAGTAATAATTAATTCCTAGTAGAGAGGAGCTATATAATATCAGGGGATAAAGTTAGATTTAGATATTTATTAACTAGGAGCTAACTAGATAGAATAGTAGAATAATAAGTATTAGGTAATAGACAGGACATAGCTTGAAGAGCTATAATAGGATTAAGGACAATGTGGCTTAAATACAGGAATAAGGGCGGACAGTCAAGGCAGAATCTAACTAGATAGGTACTACGGCTTCGCACCGTGACAGAGAGGTTCTATTAATATAAATATAAATAATTAAAGTTATTTACTTATAATTCCTATCTTATAGGCATTACTTAAGCCCTTCTCTAGCTATATATTTCTACTTTAAGAAGATCCTAAGACCTTTAACTAGTATTTTAATAAAAAATTCTTTCTTATCTATATTATAGATATTCTCTAACTATAGCTTATATTATTATATCTTCTAGCTTAATAATTTAAAATATAGAATATATTTATATATAAAATTAGCTTATTTTTATATAGTATTAATAGCTATTATATAGATTAAGATAAGATTATCTTAATAATACTTTATAAAGTACCTAGACTAGTATTTTCTAAACTTTTTACTAGTAATTTCCTTTATAAAATTCTAAAGTATCTTATAAGATATAAAGAGGCCTTGCTTAGTAAGTTTATTAATATAGTTTATTAATTCTTTTTTATATTAGTTAGTAAGAACTTACTATTACTTATATTAGTAGTCTTTAAAGTGCTATACCTTATAGTAGTATCTTAATAATATTATCTAATTAATACTAAACTCTTTTACAATCTTAGTATAATTAATTAAATCACTAATCTTTAATAAGTTAATTGCTTCTATCATGGCTTCAATTAAACCTATATTAGTTAAGATATAAGTTGTTGAAAATTATCAAAAAAACAGTTGGTGAGGGGAAATCAGGCGTCAGGTGGGACCGGGCGTCAGGTGATCACCGACTGTAATCGACTTGGTATGCACGGTATCTAGCGATGATTGCTGGTAATTCGAGATTATGGTCCACCTGTAGGTCATCGAACCTCCATTCTGCCCATGATGGTGAATGCTTGCAAATTGCATGTAGGAAGTCTAGAGCCGCACGTTGATTCATGTTGGAGTGCTGGAATCAGTGAATACAAATAGCACTGCCATTAAGCGAATAGCGACACGTGACTACCCTGTGTATTTAGGCCACCGTTTCCTTCCAAACCTCCATGCTTCTTCCAAGCATCTCTCCATCTCCTAGTTATACCTAATTGAATCCATTTCGGTCACCTTTCTACTGTCATAATTTGACAACCTCTCATCATAAAATAGGGGTAAGAAGTGTGGAATCTAACTACATAGTACATAGCAAAGTGGTGGTTGACCGAAAAATTCGGTTCCTAAAGTGGCAAATGCAGTTGCGAGCGGTATCAAAAGGTTGATATAATATCACAGATGAGTTTGTGGCTGCTGATATTATACTTATTATATTATGTAGTTGATAGAGGTTTTCATTTATTTTAATATATGGCTGCAAACTTCTGGCAGGTCTTCAGACTGTGCTATCTTGAAGTAACAAGCACTTGCAGTAGTAGTGGCAAAGTAATTACAGAGTATCAAGTGGTTGAATTTCATGCTCGAACACAGGTTTATTTACAGAAGATAATTATAAATAACTCTATACGCTCATAGGAAGGAGGTACGGAGTAGAGATAAGCTCATCGTGGGTAGAACCCCTACCCTCGCCGAGGGTTAATCCGTTCCGGGTTTCCACCCACGCCGAGCTTATCTCTACCCAGTGAATATCAAGTCTTATATTAGGGAAGATGATAGGAGATCGGCTTGCTAGTGAGATACAAACTAGGTGGTTTCGTGTATTGAAGACTCCGTACTCATAACTATCCCGTGAGGACCCAACTTGGACATCTTCCAGCCAGGATTTGGAAATATTCCAGTCGATTACTTAGGGTACTGCTTAATTTGGGCTCATTCCCTCCAGGTGTATCAAGGGCCCGATGTAGTGCTTCTTCCCCCAAATGAAATAGAGAATTGTCGCCAGAATCAAGGTACCGCCTACAATCGCGGAGCCATAATTCCTATAAAAGGGTCAGCAAAAGGAGGTCTTCTCCATCAAGGGGGGTCCGGAAACGTACATGTTTGAAGCAGTTATTGGCTTTGTAGTTGGGAATAACATGACAATAAATATCAGCAAATCGATCAGAATTCCCATGATGTTGAAAAAATATCTCTTAGACCCTAGAGACCATTCTCCGTACTTGATGTTGTTCCGTTTGCGGAAAATTAGCTGAAGGGCGATGGGAAGCATGTAACTCGACACCTGGAGCGTAACAACGCCACTTGCGATGCAATAGTATGCAGTAGCATTGCCCACGTAAATGACTGCAATTGAAATCTCAAGGGCAACCGCAAGACAGACGGCGTTGAATGGCGCGTTCCATTTTGGATGGATCTGAGCAAAGAATTCACCGAAGGGGAGGATGTTGTCTCTTGCCAGCGCCATGATGACTCTAGAAACAGAGCCAACGCTGTCAATGGAAGAAGTAAATGCCACAATAACAATACTCGCCGAGAGCCCGATCGCCGCAGCGGTAGAGCCTGTCGAGTTAATCACGATCTAGAATTGAGTGTATCAGCTTTCATCACATAGGCAACTAGGGAAGAGTCTTCTCTTACCAATGCTAAAGGATTGAGGGACACAATTGGACTCTGGAGGAGCTCCGCCGGATCACCCATGCAGAAGGCAAGAGCCAACACGAAAACCAATCCAATAAGTGCGGTTCCGACAATACCCCAACACATAGATCGTGGGACGTCCAAGCCAGGTTTTTTCGTCTCTTCGGAATATCGAGCTGGCATATCAATTGCAAGAAATCCGAATGCACCAGGAAGCATGCCGATGAAAAAGGCCATTGTGTCACTATTCCACCCCGTGTTGTCTTGAATAGACCAAAAGACATCACGTGCACTGTTCTTGTTTTTAGTCGTAATAAGAAGTGTTATGATGATGGCAAAGAATCCAAGAATATGAAAAATCATTCCTAAATGATACACGGTGTTAGCATAACTGAGTTACCAGGGCAAAATGCTCATATCCAGGAGGAATACCAAAGATTGAAACATAGTGGATTATTCGAGGTGCCATGCCGTTGACGGTGAGAGTGAAGATGGAAATGAAAAGAAACATCTATGCCATTAGCCTAGGAATGATCTGAAGCTGTATGTATGCAACTTGACTTACTACATATACATGCCATCTTTCGGCAACATAATCGGGATGAGTAATGGCGACCATAGATTGAGTCTGCATACAGCACGCGTACACAGCGCCAATTGATGAAAGGGTAGTCATTAAAAGAAGAACCCATGCAGAGTACCAACCCTGTTTCGAGGAAATAAAGTCAATTTATTTCTTGCATTCCCAAGACACAATCATGTAGCATATAAACTTACCAGAATTTTGCGGTATTTAGGTGGGGATAGAGCCTAACAGATCAGTTTCACTGACAAAAAGAGCTGCAATATTGGGCTAGAGAACATACTACAGTCCAATGGGATTGTCCGGCAGAGGTGGGCCATATACTGGAAGAAATATGAGATTCAAATGTCCAATACAGTGCCTGATAAAACTCGATGAGGAGAACGTACCTTGCAAATTCAGCAAGCGAGCATGAAACAAAAATCGCCGCAATGGCAGAAATTATATAACCCCATACCAGGACAGTTGGGCCGCCTCCAATACAAACTTGATAAAGAGACGTAATGATTGATTCCCACTACCGAGATGGAAGCCTGTTATTAGCAATGACTAGAGAAGAGGAACCTATTTTTCACGTACACCAGCACTTGCAGCGATGACCATGGAGAGGAGAGTGAGGAGATTAAAGCGACGTTTCAAGGTGGCAGGCTGAGATGATTCCTGATTTTTGGAGGAATCTAGCTCCTCTAAAATTTCCGGATATGGGCTCTTGATATCATCCTGCACCAGGGAGCTCTTGTCGAGCAGTTCGGTTGGCATAATGGGCGTCAATTGAGTGGAAAAGGCTGATAATGTAGTGAATGGGTTGTGTTTTGCCAAACAAGATCCCGACTATATGCATATATTTTATATTCAGCAGCACCACTCCTCACATACAGATAACTCTACAGGCAGATAGTTAAGCCGATTTACCCCGCATTTTTGTTATCCAACCTCGATACTGATAGACCAAAAGAATCTGAAAGCTAGAAAGAAACTAGAGGTTATTGGTCCACTTGAAAATGGCACCTATCTACAACCAACCCCCCCGCAGATATGTCCCTGGATTCTATACCCGGGAAGTCTCATTTTTAGGATTTCGCATTTTCCGGGACAGCTATCTTTCAATTTATGGAATACAAGGAGACTCTCTTTGTGACCTCGCACCCTTTCTAGTGTACCTCTAATACCCGAGACAGCTCTGCAAACTTCGGTTTCAGGAGAAAGAAGCCAACTATTTGCCGGGCCTTTCCCGGAATGAAGTATACAACCGGTCATTTGCTACTTAGATAGCCAACAGCAGCATGTTAAAGGATAAGCTTGAATACTGAGAGGGCTTACTGATAACAGTTTTCATTATCTTTAACTAGTGTTCTACCCTCGGATGTTTAATGATATGCCTATCTGGAATCCGGAGGTTTGGATTCGGGATCCGAATCGGAAGATCGACAAAGGTTATTTGCGGGACGTGGAGGGGTTGGTTGCTCATGGCATTGCCCGGAGGTTCGATCTTAAAGAGAAGAGATCTCAAATGTTCTTCGTTTGTTACTAGGTGTCTCTGAATCCTCATGTCCTTGACAAAAGATAACATCTATCAACCCACCATGGTAACCATCTCAAACACGACCCTCCCTCCTGAGTACTTTTGGTCTGGGAGGACTCTCGACACCATAACCGGAGTTGACAAAACCCGGGAAATACTATTCTCGATTTCTATTGTGTTGTGCATTGCTCTGGTTTGGCTGTCGGCGCGGCCTAAGCTCAAAGTGCCTATCTTGCTGTCAGACACGATCAAGTCAAAAAAACAACGGGTTCACGAATATGCCGTCCGATCCAGGGAACTGATGTCTCAGGGCTACAGAGAGGTTCAAACCCACAAATTCATGATATAGATTTATGACATACTAACTAACTAATTGGGATCAGTTCCCCAACCAAGTTTTTGGTATCGATACCAAAGACGGTTAGTATATATCAAATCCCCATATCCAGTTCAATTCTAATGGCACCGAAATCGTAACTAAAGTACAAGATGCAAACAGGGACCAAAGTTGTTATTCCACTGAGCTTTCTAGATAATTTGAAAAGCCACCCTCATCTGAGCTTCAAAGCATGTATTGATAATGTGAGCATTGACCAACCGAGTGCAATCAATACGATGCTTACCCTTGACCAGGACATGCTACTTGAATATACGCTTCTTGGGGGCCCACCGGAATATGTCATTCACGCCATTAGGGGTTCTCTGACCCCAAGTCTTCGTAAGTGAGAGACAGGAAGTTTGACAGGAAAAGAGAGAAGCTCATGCAGAAAACATAGCCCAATATATTCCGATCCTTCATCGGATGATTAAATCGACCCAAATAAAAACACTAGGCACATATAAAGGTGAGGGAATCTTATGCAAGCGCCAGCATATCTTCCCCGTGTGTGAAAAATATACTGACGTTTCTGGGATAGATTGGACGCCTGTGGAAATATACAATTCTGTTCTACAAGTAGTTGGACCCTGTTCGGCCCGCGCCTTCCACGGGGATATCCCGAGTCAAAACCCCGAGTGGCTGGAGGTTACTACTGGGTACGTGGTGACGGTATTCGACTCCATCAAAGCACTGAAAAAATGGCCACCTTACTTGCGACCGATCGCCAACCGCCTACTGCCGTACCGTGCGAAAATTGATCACCAGTGGGCAAAGGCCCGAAAGATTCTGGCAGCATCACTGAAGCAAAAGGCCTCACTGGGTGGTAAAGCCATCAATGAGCCGCCGTCTTTATTCGATCATTTGACATCGGAAAAGTCCCCCGCTAGCAAAGAGAGCATAGATAAACAGCTAATTTACCAGATGACGCTGGTTGCTGTTGGCACCATGTCTACTTTCTCGACTGTCGTGCAGTGTATCTATGATCTTGCCGGGTTCCCTGACTTTATCGCCGGTCTTCGTGAGGAAGCGCTCAGTTGCCCACGGGACGAAGATGGGCTTTTCGATAAAGATTCTCTGAATAGCCTGAAAAAGCTGGACAGCTTCATCAAAGAGAGCCTGAGACTCTCGTCTGGAGATCTGAGTAAGATTATTACTTCCGTCAGACTAGTATCGATGCTTGATCCCTACTAACTTTTTCGATCCAGCCACTTTCCACCGTGCAGCAACAGCAGATTTGACCCTTCCCGACGGAACTTTTATCCCCAAAGGCACAAAGATAGAAACCAACACGTGTGCCATCCATGCTGATAACACGAAGTTTGAAAACGCAACATCGTTTGACGGACTGAGATTCTACAAGTACCGCCAAAAGCCTGCACAAGAGCACAAGCACACGCTTGTCGCCGTTACCCCTAACGATCTGGCATTTGGGTTCGGGAAACATGCCTGCCCTGGCCGCTATTTTAGCCAAATAGTCATTAAGATCTTTCTGGCTGAATTCCTGATCAACTACGACGTGAAATGTTTACCAGGACAATCAAGGCCAAAAAATTTGGAATTTGAAGCCATGGTAATATTTTTTTTTTTTTTTTTTTTTTTTTTTTTCATTCTTACAGAGAAGGTATTAATGAACCATCTTCGACAGGTTGATCCGGACCCTGAGGCAAAGGTGATGCTCAAAAGCATAAACACGCACTCTTGATGACAACTAATCACCCAGAAATACTTGGTTGCTCGTAAGTTGAGCCTGAAGGCGAGGAATCAATTTCCTGACCTTTGTACGGGGGTGTCGCGTTGAAGATCCCAGTCCACAAACTGAGCACAGCAAGAAAGGAGTGTGAATGATGAAAATGGACAATCAACGATATTTGGTATCCAGCATTGATCCTTATTAAGTCATATTCATATACATAGCCAGTCTGGAATCTCCAGTTCCACACATAGGGAGGGATCTATTCCCAACCCTAGAGCTGTGGCCCCATCTGTGAATTCAGCAAATGTATCGACATTCACCATTTGTTCCTCCATTAAAGAATAGTTGTTAAGCCCATGTAGCATGGTGGTTTGCTCAGAATTCCCAGGAATATTGACTGATATTTGATTTGAATGCTGTGGTGCCAAGTCATCGGAGTTTGAGAGCGTATCTGCCAGAGATTCCAAGGGCTCGGAAGAGGCCATATCCATATCCCTGGGTGTATCCATGATCTGTGTACGAGAATGTCTGCTGTAGATTAAGTTTTCGGCAAAATTGGAATAAATGTTGAGCAACGAATTGCACAGTCTCTCAATCGTCAAAATCGAAAGTAATGTCTTGGACATGCCTTTTAAACGCTCGGCAACATCTTGAATTAATCTGAGATCTAGCGCATCAAACGTTGCCACCACGTTTCGGAAAAGAAAGAATATTGGACGGAGAGTAAAAAGAGGAATTAACCTGTATCGAACGTAAAACATGTCAGTTCAAATGCTTCGGACCGGGATCGGAGTAGTGAGACAAACCAGGCAAGAGAGCAGGAGCACTTCGCGCCATGCTCTGGGAGCTGGGATGCTAGGTCCAGTAATGATTTAAGGATGGATAAGCAGCTCCGAGAGTGTTTCAAACATTCTTCATGCGTTTGTTGCTCCCCATTCGATGCGAGTCTGCTGATAGACGTCATCATGGAGAAATACATGAATTCTACCCCAGTCCATTCAAAATGAAGATAGGGATCTTGCAAGACTGCCTCGGAGTTGCGAAACTATATTTATTTTTGCAACGGGCTTTCAGTAAAATGCTAAGACAGGATATATGGTATTCTGATTCACTGACCTTCTCAGCCTTGCGCATGACCTGTCGAAGTCGCGATGCCTGTGATCTGATTTTTCCTGTATTTATTTCTTCCGCCTGGCCACTGTGGTTCATAACTGTGGTTTCACGAATGATTGAGTCTTGAATCTGGGCTATCTCAACCATAGTAAGCAGCATGGCATGGTCTGGCTGTTCCGTTTTGAGCAGCGAAATGTCCAGGTCTATATTAGCCAATGACGCCGGTTGGTTGACATTTGCGGACAGAGCCCTGTCGAAAACAAAGCATTTCATCATATTTATCCGCATGTAGAAGATATCCTGCTTGGATAAATGATGCTGCAGGTCAGTGTTAGATGGCCCGCTCAAAAGCGCACAGACTCGACAGGCAATAGTGTTGAGTTGCCAGCACCTTTGCATATAGCCCATTTCTTGCATCGTCATCGCCTAGGAAATTCCGAACAATTTAGATTACATATGCATAGTTACTCGAGGCGTAAGGGAAACACTTACAGCTGACAGCAAGGACTGTAAAAGGCACGGGTCGGGGCGAGGCTTCATTTCAAGGTGGTTCAATGCCTCAATGATGGTTTTCTGATACTTCTTTTTCGAGCCACAAATGAGGCTTTTGAAATAGGAACTAATATCCTCGGATTCCAAAGCAGTCAAAAAGTTGTAAGCCGTAAAGTTCACGCAAATGATGAACTGGATCAATTTTTGCCCGTGAACTTTGCACTCGAGCAGGGCGTGCGTCATTTGCTCAAAACTTTCCAGTGAGCCATTGAGATTGATCCCGACATAGTAAGAGCTGCCTTGAGTTTTGGTTGAGTCTAGACGATGAAGTCAGAATGGCCCAGTAAACAAACCAGAAGCAAATATCTGCTGTTGAAGTAACAGTAATGCAGTGACTATGTTGGGGCTCGTACAGGTTAAGATGAGAAGTATGATTTCAGGCGACGGATACATCGATGATTGATAGAAAGCTGAGAAAGAACATGGGCGCTTTTCTTTGCCTTTCCATTGTGACGCCGGCATACGTTTTGCTAGGTTGAGCGCCAGCATGAGAAGATTAGACTTCCCTAGATCTATCGTGGACTCGATGATACCCTTACTGGGACCCAGATATCTCTGCAGGTCCATGTCCGCAAACATTTTATCGCGGGGTGCGAGGTCTTGATTAGCAACTGGGCAGGAGCCATTAACACTCTGTATGGAGTTGTCCAGTTCAGAAGTTTGGACTTGTTCGACATTCGGATCATGGCCTGTTGACAAATTTACCACCTCAGACCCGGACTCGTTCAGCCAGGGTATATCTTCAACGTCCGGGACGGCTTCAATATCAGCGCTAGATGTTGTGCTCATGCTTCCTACTATCCCAGTCGGGGATCCAGTGTCACTGAGCCGGGTCTGGAATTGTCCACTAGAATCATCATGGCGACCAGTCACTGACTTCGACCAATGTCTTTCCATCAGAGGTCTTGTAGGGCTCCTATGTTCTTCCTCCGAAGCCACGATCGTCTCCCGCGGTTCCTGCTGCTGCTGCTGCTGCTGCTGCTGCCTTCTGTGCCCAAACTTCCGGCGACGATGACGATGACATTCTCTCTGGGCGGCAATACAGTTGGCACAAGCGATCTCGCGGTCGCATCTAATCTATGGCTCATTAGTCTCAGTCCAGTGGAAATCATCAGCGTTTGGGATGAGAATACCTTTTTCGTGTGGCAATAATCGCACTGTTGCTGGTGTTTTAGCAAGTATGACTTGAAAGCCCAAATGATCAGGGAGCTCACCGCAGGCAACGGACGGGGCAGTCGCACCCGGGTGGATTTTGGTCTCATTATAAGAGGCAGACGATACCGCGAATAGACAAATACTCGAGGTTAAGACAAAGCTCCTGTTTTGAACAGATGCAGTTCATAGACAGGTAGGGCTATCTAGGCTCCTGGACGCCTGGGCCGCAGTGGAGGAGACCCGGTTTATCGAGAAATACTTTCGACCAGGCGCCGTCTTACGCATTTGAACTTCGCCATGGACTTTCTATTGGCCAAAACCACTGAAGGACTGCGGATCCCACTGTTCCGAGATAAGGAAGCGGCTCGAGCCCGAAGACCTTTGAGCCTTTACGAGTGTCTAGCTGGTCATGGGGGGTACAGAATAGGCATTCACTCAGTTTATTTCTCTCGCACCCTATATAACTACTTTCTGGGGTTGCTCGGAGTAAGAAATTCATCTAGACGCCATTTGGCATGCTTCGCCCATCAGGTTGGTCTGGAAAGCCTAGTTTAACACCATAAGGTGGGTAGACATATCTTTTTTGGTCGCCGCTATTGGCCACATAGTTATCCAGAGCCTTCACATCCTCGGAATTGAGATCAATGATCTTTAGGTTTTCCTCAATGCGCGATTTCGTTACGGATTTGGCGAGCGGAGTGGTGCCTCGAGCAACTAAAGTGATCCCGACATTAGTATAATCTAAGCATTACACGGTCTTGACTGAGAAAGACTGTGTAGCAGAAACGAGGGGAATTTATAAAGGAGCACATACCATGCCAGCTCAACAAAACCGTTGCGGGACTGACTCCGTTCTGCTGAGCGATTCGCTGGACGTGCTCATTTTGAAATAACGGGCTGCCAGTGCTGCCGAATGGACTGTAAGCTGCGATATGGATGCCTTTCTGATTGGCAAAGTCTACAACCTCCTGTTGTGGCAGCTGGGGGTGATTTTCGATCTGGTTCATGGCCGGAATAACCTTGGCGTGTTTGAGCAGCTGCTCCAGGTACGGCTTGCTATAATTCGAAACCCCAATTGCCTTGGTCTTCCCGGTCTCTAGCAGCCTTTCCATGGACCTCCAGGTTTCAACATGATCGTGATCCCAGAGAACATCGCGGCTCCCATCAGGTAACTTGGGAAATTTGTCGTCGTTTCCATTTGGATTCACACCAATAGGCCAATGTACGAGATAAAGATCGACATAATCCAGACCAAGGGCCTTGAGGGACTTGTCTAGGCCAACTTCTGCACGCGTAGAGTATGAATTCCATAGTTTTGTAATCACAAAGATGTCCTCGCGTTTGATGCCCGAGTCGAAGGCAGCCTGGAGCCCCTTTCCCACTTCATGTTCATTGTCGTAGCAGTAAGCCGTATCGATGAGTTTGTAGCCAGACTTCAAGGCAATCTCCACTGCTTTCTCAACCTCCCCTTTCTGCGCTTGCCATGTACCTAGGGAGAATAATCAGCCGTGGGAATATATGTATGCGATTTGAGCTAAGCCCCAAGTTTGGCTAGTCAGGTTTTTATCTTCACGACAGTCTTAAATTCATTCAGTCGGAGAAAATGGACAGTAGTAGATACATACCAAATCCAACGGCCGGGATTTCCTGGCCAGTATTCAGCTTGAAGGAGGCGGGCGCCATTATGATGGTATGTTTCGTATCAGGATATTTGCTTTTTTCTAAATCTTGGATGACGCTTAGGAGCCATGCGCTTTACGACCCAATTTATGGATGAACATGGTGACTGCATAACGGTGCAGAGCTGTACGTTCCGGTCCCGGACACGGCACCAACTGCGCCGAAAGACAAGCCAAGCGGGTGTGCTTGATTTTCTGGTGTGCACGCTTAACCATGAGTATTTCTTGCATGATCATGCGGATAAGGAATCCGACTACTGAATGATTCATGATAGGCCGATTGGCGGGGAATCCGGAGAACCCCACATTTGTGGAATCCGACGCGGAATGCACATTGCGGGGAAAGTCCAAATTGGCACTGCCGGCAGGATATTGATTCAATTCATGTGCATCTCCCCCGGCTTGCTTGCTCAAGGCTTCCAAACCACTTCCGACGGTTTCCAGTCTATAATCATGCGTAGCGGGAGCCGCCGGCCCAAACAGCACATAACGACCCGTCCAATGGTTTGTGGAGGAGACGACTTTCGAAATCGCCTTCTTCAAGCTTGAGTGAACAAGAGGATGTTGGCATCTGGGCATCTGGGTAGGATGGAACATCAGCTGCAGCTGCCCTTTGCTTAAGTCTCCTTCTTTTTTTTTTTTTTTTTTTTTTTTTTTTCCCACCTTTAGCCCTCCGCCCAGGTACATTCCAATCTAGTGATTGACGCCTAATCGAAGTCGAAATCATGGCTTTAAATGACTGCAAATCAGTCAGTGTAAGAAACAACATCGCCTTTTGTCCCTTACATATACTGATCTTGATCATCTTACCACCCAGAATCTCTCATTCGTTCTTCATAAACCATACAAAGTCACCTTTGAGGAACGCCCGGTCCCATCCATCAGCGACCCTCACGATGTACTGGTGGCTGTGAGATACACCGGGATTTGCGGCTCCGATGTGCATTACTATACCGATGGCGCGATCGGGAAACGCATTGTCAAAGACCCAATGGTACTAGGCCATGAATCATCGGGCACTGTGGTGGAGGTGGGATCCAAGGTCACTTCTTTAAGGCCCGGAGACCAGATTGCATTAGAGCCCGGGTATCCCTGCCGACGATGCGAGCCATGCCTAGGTGGACATTATAACCTGTGCCCCGACATGAAGTTTGCTGCAACCCCTCCCGGCGATGGGACTTTGACAGGCTTCTGGATAGCCCCCGCAGACTTTTGCTACAAGCTGCCAGGTTCGGTCTCACTCCAGGAGGGTGCCCTGATAGAGCCCCTCGCAGTCGCAGTCCACATTGTGCGACAAGCTGCCGTGTCCCCCGGCCAATCTGTGGTTGTGATGGGCGCGGGTCCCGTAGGACTTCTTTGCGCGGCCGTTGCTAAGGCCTTTGGGGCGTCTACGATTTGTTCTGTGGACATCATCGAGTCCAAGCTTCAGTTTGCCAAGGACTTTGCCAGTACACACTCATATATTGCCCAGCCCGTCGGCCCAGAAGAAAATGCCGAGAATATTAAAACGCTTCTCGGATTGCCCAACGGTGCTGACGTGGTTATTGATGCCAGTGGTGCGGCGACGAGCATCCAAACCAGCCTGCATACTGTCCGCATGGGTGGTACATTTGTGCAAGGTGGCATGGGAAAGCCCGATATCAACTTTCCTATCATGGCCCTCTGCAAGAAGGAGGTTACTGCTAAGGGTTCATACCGTTACTGCAGCGGCGATTACAAACTGGCAGTTGACCTAGTAGGAAGTAGGAAAATCGATGTTGGGAAAATGATTGATGGCGTTTTACCATTCAAAGATGCTGAACTTGCCTTCAAAAGAGTGATGCAAGGACAATCCATTAAAGTTTTGATCGCTGGTCCTAATGAACAGTTGGAAGGAGATATATGAGATATTATCACTTGTCATTAGGGAAAGTAAATTTTATAAAATGCAAAGCCATTAGCTAAATGATGATCTGGAGATAAGATACTATATGATTTTGTATTCCTTTTGCGGCCACGAAGCAACCTTGAGCTAGATATAAAGCTATTTAGGCTGGTTTACCTTCTCAGAGATACCCTCACCCCCTTACCGTACATCATCGTAACCGAAGAATTCGGAGTGCAGAGCGAAGTAAAACAAATCAGGTGTAAGTTTATAGTTCAAATATTGAACTCCGCTCCACATCTTAACCCTAGTCCCGGATTTTGATGTCAATTAGAAATTGAATTTGTATATCTGGTGGCTACATGGAAAGATTCAGGGAGGTAAGGATCACGGCGTCGAGCCTCATACTTTATGTGCGAAAGGTCAACATCGTAGGTTCCAATGTATTGTAAATTCAGATCATATATACAAGTGAGCTTACTATCAACCCCCCATTTTCAGATCGCTAATGGTGGTCATCATGCTGTATGCCCTGTTTCAACTATGGATTTATTTTGCAGACTCTTTGAGAAGCCAGCCTAACCCTTGATTGACGTCACTGTAGAATTTCCGAGTCGAGGAATGGGTTGGGAAGTTGACCCAGAAAACGTGTGGAAGCCCGGGGTATATATCGACTTTTGTCGGTGTGTTGTGTTCCTCGCGAAGGATCCGCTCATAGATCAAGGCTTCGTCTCTCAAAATGTCGCCACCGCAGATTTGGAAATATGTCGGAGGCAGTCCCGCATGGCCGGATGGCCAGTTGAATGGATTGTAAATGTGCGAGGTCAAGTCGGGCTGGAGCGCCTCTAGATATACCGCGTTGGCTGCAGCACTTAGAGTCATGCCCTCCTTATTCTGCTCTCGACTCCGGTATAGATCCTTGTAAGTCTCGGGTACGGCTTCCGGTACAACAAGACCGACAACGTTAAGGTATAACCCCGTTAGTGGAGGTGAGAGGTTCTGATCGCGGGCCCAGTGGGAGAGAGTTGCAGTCATATGCGCTCCAGCTGATGTACCACCCAGAATAAATCCTTTAGAGAGGTTGCCACCAAGGGTACCAGCGTTAGACGCGATCTTGGAAAGGTTCGTCAGCATACTTATCGATTGTAACTATTAGATGGGGAACGGAATGTGGTCTTCCTCACCCAGCGAATGGCGTCCCAACAATCCTCGAATGGGGTTGGATACTTGTATTCCGGGGCCAATCGATACTCCAAGCTGATGGAGATGCAGCCATATGACCTTGTCGCGTCGATGCAGGGGATGGCTTCCATTTCCGCTGATCCAAGACAAAATCCACCACCGTGAATAATTGCTACAACAGCACATCCGTCAACGGGGATTTCCAATGGTTTGTACACTAATGCCCGTGCCTGATATCCATCACGGAAGGGGATCAAAATTTCCTGGCATGAAATTTCTCCTTTGACACGCTCAAAGTAGGCATCCGAATCTTCCTTATATTGGCCTGCCCACCGCTTGCGAGTGATTGGCATCGCAGCAACTGTGTTCTCTTTGAAATACTTTGAGGCCACCTTTTGTTTCAGCATCTGTTCGAATCGAATCAGCACTAGTAGCCAGAATCATTTGATCGTTGGGTGTTTTCTACCTCTTCGAGCTCACGGTCCGGCTCACTCCACTCGGACCAGGTATTAGGGTCATTCATAAGTGGTGCCATCTTCTTTGTTTTGGAATTTGTTTCCAGGATCCAGTTGCAATAGGTACCAGGAGATTTAAAATTGTCAACGATGGTCTACGACAATAAGGGGAGGGCCCGATGCTGAGTTTAATATGACCAAATACAAATATAAAAGGAACCCCAAAATTTCCCCAGAGAGATAAATCAACTGTAGGACTTGACGTATTTTCCGAACTTCTTGATTGCGGACTCCGCCGGAAGTATAGAGATCCGGCCAGTCTGAAGTGATCATGTTGAAGTGGGGAACTTTACATATTGTAGATAACCCTAACTTGGTAGAAACTCTAGAGATCCTGAGTAGAGAGTATAATAGACAATATACTCATTGGAAGCAAGAACTTATTGGGTTTCTATTCTCTTTGCCCTCTATAGCTGGGAAATACAATCCCACGCTGCACTTGGTCAAGATTCAACCCTATTTTAATCTTCTAATATTTCTTTTGCTTCTCGAAAAGTTTCTCAAAGTTGAATGCTTTAGGGGGCTAATAAAATGAAATGAATAAAAACTTTATTGTATGCCGAATATATCTGACTATTTGAAATACCCCATAGTGCTGACACTCATGAGAGAATTGCCTCTTGGAGTATTTTCTTCAGCTCTGCGCCGTCCTTGAGAAAAATCCTCAGGCTCTCTGAAATCTTGTCGAACGCCATCGCATCATTGAATAGATCGAAGCGGAAACTGGGCTCATCCGTGAGATATTGGGAGCGAGAAATATCCCGAGCTCCTGGACATACTAACATTAGCTCACTTTGCTCCAGGCCAGGAAAATATTTACCTACCAGTACCCGCAACCAGTCTCTGTCGGACAGGATAATCGGCCGTTTGAAGCTCTTCCAGAAGTGCCGTGTTGATCGTCATGAATCCGACGCCAGCAAGATGCACACATTCGTCAATGTTGCGCAAGCTTGCTGCCATAATCTCGGTTTTGATGTCGCAGGCCGTATAGTAATGGAAAATTTCCGTGACCAGTTGGACGCCGGGGTCTTTGACTCCCGAGTAGTCACGTCCGGGGAAATTCTTCTGCCACCAGTCCATTGAACGACCGACAAAGGGAGAAATAATTGTAGCCCCGGCTTCAGCAGCGAGCTTGGCTTGGACCATGGAGAAAATAAGCGTCATGTTGCAGTGGATCCCTTCTGCCTCTAGAATGCGACAGGCTTGAAAGCCCTCCCAGGTAGACGCAATCTTAATTAGGATCCTTGCTTTGGAAATCCCAAGTCCCTCGTAAAGATGCACGATTTGTCGCGCCATTTCAACGGTCTTCTGGGCATCGAATGAGTGTACAGCATCGACCTCGGTAGAGACTCGTCCGGGTATACAGTTCAGAATCTGGGAGCCAAAGCCAACAAGGAGGTGAAGAAGAGCAGCTTCAACCTGCGCATCGATGGCTGATGAGATTGATTTCCCATGCCGGGCAGCATCGTCAATAATGCTCTTGAACTGTGCCTGCTTTGCAGCATTGAGAATATGGGACGGATTTGTTGTTCCATCCTGAGGGGCGAATCTCTTCAAGATACTGAAGTCGCCAGTGTCAGCAACAACAGTGGTATAGCGTCTTAATTGGTCGAGGGTGGTCATTTCGATTGCTCTTCGATATCTGATTTGGAATTTTTTACCAATAAAATCCCGGAACAACCACTGCACTCAACTTTGAGATTATGAATAAATTCCAGAATACGTAGGAGTATCAGCTAGAGAAGGAAAGCAGCCGCTCTACAGATCAACCGGCGGCAGCCAGACTCCTCCGGCGTCTCGGTACCTACTATGGTCATTGCGGAATCCTGACAGCCGGGTTTTCATGTCACTGGAAGTTTGAGATATGTAGGGGTTGGATAAATCCGACGGGATCCGGACAACACGCTGCCCCGGCAGGTTACAGGTCTTGAAAAGTTCACGCGCCAGCCCAGCACCTTAACTTTTAAATATAGGACTCTTTTAATAAAGAGGAGAATAATAAGAGGATATCGGGTAGGGTTCCCTAGCATCGTGGTATGTATATAGTATTTCTGCGGCGGCCTAGTGCACCCCCTAATATGGCTGACCTGTATACTCGGAAAATTTGCAATAAATGTTTACTATTGGCTACTGTAGCTAAGAAAGAAAGGGTGAGCCATGGGACAAGGAGGCCAATGCATCTTCCCCCTATTCTTGCAGTTCCGTAGATAGTTGAATGTATGTATGGAGTACATCATGCAGGAATTCTGTTCCCTATATGCTGTATCAAAGGATCCCTCATATTTTATTTGCACAAAGAAAGTAATTGGCTCCATTCATTAATATACATAGTATCTCCAATTATGCATGATTGTTGGGCGGATATCATCTGCGTCAAGGACTTGAAGGCTCGATGTCTCACTGCCGTCGGCTTATTTGGTTCGACGTGTGCATGGTAACTAGCCGTGACAATATTAAAGCAAGTCGCGGATGAACCGTAAAAGACTCGAGTGAAGATGCAACCTCCTGAAGACAGAAAGGTCTTTATTCGAGTTCCTCTAACAGACTACGTAGATTGATCTTGGTCTCTCTTAAAATTTCTTTGAAAAAGACATTTAATAGCTTGAAACTGGTATTCATGTCAATCTTGGTTCCTTCAGAGATCAAGTTTGAGCGGAGCTATAAAACAGTCACTCATAGAGAATAAGAGACTTCTTAGGCCTTTACTGGCGTTTCAAGACCCTGCAAGTCAAAAAGCGGACCGAAATAATTGCGACGACCCCATGTGAAGTACATTACAGTCGATGCAATAAATACTGCCCCGATAATTAAACTTGCGTAGTTCCTATTTTTGTTAGTGGACCATATCCTATGTCACTCCTCGTGGTGGAACTTACATATTCTCTGCAGTGGCGGGCATTTGAGTCGGAAATGTCATGATGCAGCACAGGAAGATATATATAATAATTGCGATCCCATTGATAGGGTACCGTAGCCTTCCGAGATTCCAGGGGCCGTATTTGATGCCCATCTTCTTGCTAAAGAAGAAGTTCAGAATGACCGGTGCCGTGTAACTTACCACTTGCATCACAACAGTACCGCTTGCAATTCCATAGTATGCTGTGCTATTTCCCACGTAGATGGCCGCGATCGATAGTAATAAAAAACATGCTAAAAGAACAGCATAGATGGGTGTGTTCCAGCGCGGGGAGACTTTGGAAAGCACTTCGCTAAAGGGCAGGGCACGGTCGCGTGCCTGGGCCATAATAATGCGAGAAATGCCGCCAACAGCATCAATAGACGCCGTAAAGGAGACCGCTATAACAGTGCAGCTTAAAATAATAGCAGCGGCTTTTGAGCCGGTGCTTTGAAGAATGATCTAGACCATCACATAAGTAAATGTTATGATGTGCTAGTTTTGGGAAAACTCACCAACGCCAACGGACTCAGCGAGATGGTAGGATTTTGTAATAACTCCTGTGTGTCACCCATGCAGAATGCAAGAGTCAGAACAAATGGGATCCCAATCAAGACAGATCCCATAATTCCCCAGAACATAGAGCGGGAGACATCGGTATTCGGGTGTTTGGTCTCCTCAGAGTACCTTGCTGGCGCGTCGATGGCCAAGAAGCCGTATGCACCTGGCAGCATTCCGATGAAAAATGCCATAGCATTATTATTCCAGCCGGTGAAATCCTGAATTGAGCCAAAAACAACCTTGGCCGAGTTCTTATTCTTCGTAGTCACTAGCAAAGTGATCATGATTGCAAAGAACCCAAGCACGTGTACAACAAGGCCTTTTAAGTGTCAGTGGACCTATTTCCTCCTAGAGTTATTGCCTTGTTAAACTTACCGAATACGGAAAAGTGATGGATCAATCGTGGCTCAAAGATGTTGATCACGGCAGCTATGACGAGAACGGCAATAAATATCTCCTTGGATCAGTTGTGATTCCTAGCTTCGGCACGGACCGATTCTCACCATGTATGTATGCCAGCGCTCAGCAACGTAGTCCGGATTCGAAATCGAAACGCAAGCTTGGAGGGACATGGCGGATGCATAGGTAGCGCCGACCGAGGCCAATACCGTCATAAAGAGAAGAATCCAAGCGGCGTACCAGCCCTAAAATTTTGAGTCAATGTCATTTGAATTTGAGTCGATGACTTACAACAACTCTCCTATACTTTGGCGGGGTGAGTGCCTGCAAATTCCATTAGCGCCCAATACACCTCAAAAGATAGCTGGTAACTTACCACTGTCCAGTGGGATTGCCCTGCCGCAGATGGCCAAATACTATAAGCATGGTCAGGGTCGAACAGCGGGCATGAAAGGCCAAAAGGGATGGAGCAGACCTAGCAAATTCGGCCAGGGAAAGGGAGATGCAAATCGCACCAACGGCGGAAATCACATAACCCCATACAAGAACTGTCGGGCCGCCGCCAATGAGGACCTGATAGAGGGATACAACAATGGATTCCCACTTGAAATGGTATTAGCATATCTGTTTCCTCGTAGGTATATCTTTAGGGCAGGCTTTGGAAGGTATCCACTGGAACGGCGGAAGATATATCTTGAAACTTACCCCGGCATTGATTGCGATGAATATAGAAACAAGGGTAGTGAAGTTGTAGCGCTTGTTGAGCGTGACTGCTCTTTCATCGTCCCCTGGACCCGTGGTCTCCAAAGTACTCGTTACTTCCGGGTCTTTCGAACAACTTCCAGCGCGTGTGGGGGGGATTGACTTGGAGGATGACATGGACATTATTATAGAGTGAGTTAGTTGGGCTCACCGGTGACATGGAAGAAAGAATATTGCAAGAAAGGATACGGCGACTAATGAGGAACGGCGAGTGACAGTCAGGGACGCAGTCTTGGGTGACCAAATAGAGGATGATGATGATATATATTATATGCGCGTCGTACTTGGTGATGCATGGCGCCCTAATAAACTCAGTTAGCCTGAGATGTTCGAATACGAGTGGCTGAAAAGTGGGAGAGATAGGAAGAACAATAAGCCTGAAGCTTTCTGGCTGGCAAGGGCTCACGTGGTGTATCGAAAATCCGGGGATTCGCTTCTTATCGCGGCTCCCGTATCTATTTGATACGAACGTCTTGTCTACACCACCACCACCACCAGAACTGTCAAACTCTACCCATCAACCAAAGGATCCTGATCCAGTATGTCATTTGGCCAACAAGAACCGATTCTACACTATTCATGTCTCCCACAAAACAAGGTGTCCGCTCAACATTTACTGGGGACCCGTGACTGTTTCCGAAGCGAAATCTCGTGGTGTTGAATGATAAGATATTCATGGAGATCGACTTCCAAGATATAAGGGATCCCGGTCCGGGTCCGACAGGTTTTTGACAAGCAATGTATCTGTCATACGCCGGGTTCCGAAGCCTGATAGTCAGCTACTATTTCCATCACAAGCCGAACTCATTGAATAGCGAAGGAGCTCGGAAAATCGAATTAACAGCATGGAGCCTACCCCCACTTTGGTTTCCCCTCATCCCCTGGACGGATTCCGGCTCGGTAATCCCGAGTAAGCTAGCATATGCTCTGCAACTGCTTATCATCAACTTTCAGATGAAATGCGAGATACCGCCATAGAAATATCGGCTCGTCGCGAGTGACCTTGGTTAGAACTCAATTCGATTCTACTACACAAATTGCAAGTTACTTTTGATAGCATTTCGATTTTTCATCCTATCCAGCATGTCCATTCCAAGAGTCCAAAAGCCCCCCACAGATGGGAGCAGCTACATCATCAACCGAATGGATGGTGACATTTTCACTATGCCTGGCCTGAGAGGAACATTTCGGTTTTATGCCTCGGAGCAACAAACCGATAACAGAATCAGCGTGTTTGGGTGGGATGGGCCAGCCGATGATCAGGCATTCCATCATCACAAGAAAACGCACGATTGTTTCCTTATCACCGAGGGTACTATGAAAGCCTATTGCGGGGATCAGTGCCGTATTCTGAGCCCCGGTGATTTTTGTTCCGTGCCACCTGTAGGTCTTCCTGCATTTGGAAAAGAAAAGTGACCAGAAGACGACTAACCCCAAATCATTGACAACCCAAAGTTCACCATTCATAAACCTACCCCCCTTGGACCTATCACTAGAGTACTGCCTCTGATTACCCCTGCTGCATGGGTTAATTTCTTTCGAGACGCGTCCATTCCTTTTAATGGACTCATGTTCCCCGAATTCGTCAGCGCTGATCGCCAAACATCTATTGCACAAATGCTGGGGCCAGATTTTGAAGAGAAGTATGATAATTATAACGAACATGTCGAGAACCCACCCCCTGTCACGCCGTGGACGGAGGCAGATGAAGTTCTCCCTGACGGTGTTGTGCCCTATTATCTGAAGTACAACAGTGGACCTAAGTGGGTTTTGGGAGGAGTTTCATCCCGACCCTTTATTACCACGACGCAAAGCGGTGGTAAATTTGCGATCTCGAGTATCGAGTCATCAAACACTTATGGGCCGTCTGTGTTTTCTCGACAGATTTCCTTCCCCAACACCCACCACTGCTTGGTTTTGCTTGATGGCTCAGTTGAAGTTACGCTTTCGGGTGGTAGTCCCACTCTCGCCCATGCGGGGGATGTTATATTCCTCACTGCTGGGTCGGCCTTCTCAATCGACTTCAAGACTAAATATGTTCGAATTTGGAGCTACGCCAGCGGGGATGGCATTGAAGCTTTGATTGGGGCCGCAGGAACTCCGATGAAGGCTCAAGCTCTTCCTAATGAGGCCCTGGAGATTGACGAGGCTAAAGTCAATGATGCGTGCAAGACCCTTGGTATTGAAATTGTTTAATTTCAGATTTACATACATTCTGATCATATGATATATCGACATGCCTACCAGTAGTTCCAGTAATTTGTGTATGATAGCTAGTGACATTCGTAGCACCTTGTCTCGTCGTCTTAAATTCGGATTATTCCGATTTCATTTTTCTCATGCGGTTTTATTGTATGATGTACTTTCGTTTGAGACCATTATTTTGCAGCCCGTGATCTCTCTCCCAGCCACATCGTGTTGCAAGTTTCTCAAAGTATGCATTATAGGAAGCAGGCTTGACGGCTTCTTGTCTCTGTTCCAGCTTAGTAACTGCAATAAGAAGTAAAAACTGGCCAATATGGCCGCATATCTCAACAAATATTTGGTATTTGATCTTGCTTGTCCCCGAAAATGATCTAGAGCTAATCCATGCATAAGATAGCTTTGCCTTTATTATCCCCCCGAAACAATTCGATCAACCCATGTGCTGCGTTTTCGATTCCATGGGTCTCGCTCATAATCCATTTCAAACTACCATCTAGGAGCCAACGTCCCACGTTTTCCTGGTGGGCGCTTTTATACTCCTCTCCATCGATATCTACGAGAAACCCCCTCCAAATTATTCTCTTGCCAACAAGCAGGCCAGTGTTCCGTATGCCGTATTGTTCATTCGGATCACTGTTATACTGAGAGGCATATCCACAGGCAACTACCACGGTTTAGCATAGTAAAAACGGGGGGGGGGGGGGGGGGAAGTGGCCAGAGACCACAAGAAGACCAACCTATTCTGCCGCATGGGTTGAGTGCATGGATTGCAGCTTCGAGCTGTTGCCCGCCAACGTTGTCGTAGTATACTGTGGCAGTGGTAAGCTAGTTTGCTCAGAGAACCGGGCTAGCGGAACTCACTGTCAATTCCACCTGGGGCGACTCTCTTGATTTCTTGAAGGATGTCGACTTTCTTGTAATTGAATGCAAAGGGAAACCCAAGTTCTTCTTTGAGGATCTTGACCTTTTCGTCGGTTCCTGCGGAGCCAATCACGATCAAACCCTCCTTGAGAGCAAGTTGTCCAACTAGCTGTCCAACAGCTCCACTGGCAGCCGAAACCAGGATTGTCTGGCCCCTTTTGGGCTCGCCTATCTTGTAGAAGGCTGAATATGCCGTAAGACCGGGGGGTCCAAGAGGTCCAAGAAAGACCTTCAAGTCTAAATTATGGGGATTCTGGATTCTTTGAAACCGAGCAGCATTACCCGCATCGATGACGATATATTCCTGAATGGGACAATTGCCACACAGGATTTCATCTGGAGCGAATTCAGAGTCCTGGCTGGCCCGGATTACCTTGACGATTGAGGTGCTGGAAAGCACGCTTCCAATGGGGAGGGGTGGAAACTCCCGGGGGGAGTTTGGGTGCACCAGCTGAAATCTCAGAGATGGATCTAGTGATGCATAAAGCACTTTTGCGATAAATCCTCCCTGGGGAGGCTCATGCTCATAGTCGCAATCGCCAGGTAGCACTTTCAGGTGGACGTCTGCCACTGGTAGGCCGTCTGGGATCTTTGAAAACACAAGAGATTTGTTGGAAGACATCGCTGTAAGTGCGGTTGGTTAGAAAAAGAATTATGGCTGGTCTACAGTTTCAAGTATGCGAATCCCCTCGACAATACTTTGTGAGAACAAATGAGACTCTGGGGTAAAAAAAAAAGATTCGGAATCCGATTCACGAAGAACCCGAATGAAGTACGGAAATCCGTATTCCGGCAAGCAATCCGGGAACTCTCCATCGTTTTTCGCATTGTTTTCTGCTCTCTTTGACGTTATCAATAGTGGATATTTTGAATTCCGCAAGATAGATATATTGCGGTATATGAGAGATATGAGAGATATGAGATGAGGCGGAATATGAGGGTCAGATTATATGGTGCTATTGTAACTAATCGCTGACCTTCTGTAGGGAAAGTTAGCAGCACGAAGATATACTAACATACTGTAATATCTCAGGAGAAAGAATATCTAAATGAAGAGAATAATTATATATATACTTTATAAAACTATTTTTATAAGCTTTGATAGCTATGAAAAGGCTTCTCCTGCCTATTTAGGTAATAATATAGGCCTCAATATAAGGAATTGTATGGGATTATAAATTGGACATGGTGACCAGTTCATGGTATCACGTCTTACTAGTAGTAGATCGAGGATTTACTGTATCCATAAAGCCGATATGGGTTGATCCGGTGGGTGATATTGTTTTAGATATCCCAGTTAGTCTTTATTCTCACAATTTTAACAGTTTACTGACGGAGTTTCCCTAGTCTAGGCTGGATTGCGATATCCCATACATCTAGATGAAGATAGCCTCTTTCTCTTAAATAGTTCTTAGCGCCTATACATAATTCAAAGCGGCGTTGGAATTTTTATCACGTTAGTCGGTTCTAATCTAATTTTGGGCATTCGCACCCGGAAGCTCAAGTAAATTGAAGACGGCATTGAATTTATCATGAGATAGCTAGGAAATACGTGACAGTCACTATTCAGACAACTGGAGGCAAAGGCAGACTTTTGTCTTGACAGATATGCCAACCCAACTAAATATCCTTGCCCATCGGAAGACGAATTTCCTTGAACTCCTTCATGTCCGGCGATCGAAGCTTCCACCATGTCGTTGGCATGCGGTGATGATTGTGCATTGGAGTTGCACCAGATGGGCTCTATTCAATGATGGTCAGCAGGGCTGCGAAGAATCAATGTCATATAACGTTACCTTATGATAGGTTGCACATTCCGGTGCCAGAAAAGCAGGAGTGCCTTGGTTTTCGAACAACCAATCCGTGTACTCCTTCTGAACCTTATAGTCGGGATGCAAAGCATACTTCCCATTCTTGCACTCGTTCTTGATTCGCTTGATCATTTTGCAGTGGTAATTGACTTGGAATTCCGTGACGGTGGGTCCACTGGCCCAGTAGTTTCCGGAATTTGGGCCTTGAATCAGGAAATAGTTAGGGAAACCACTGACAGCCACTCCTATGGATGCATTAGCTGGCTGTGCCATCAATATCAGATAACTTTGCACTCACCCCAGTATGCCCGGGGAAAGTCACCCCAAAGCTTTGAAAGCTTCACGTTGTTGAGACCGAATATATCGAAATGGCCGCCCCAATTGTTCATGTCAAATCCTATTTGCATTAGTATTCGTCATTGCCAATCTTGAGACGTTGACTTTACCAGTGCCCCAAATCAAAACATCGAACTCTCTCTCCACCTCATCGTCAGTTACCGTCGTTGGGCGCTGGTATGATCCAACCGGCATTTCCCCGCGCTCCTCTTCGGTGATTTTGTCTGGGTGTTTGGATACCAAGCCTTTCTCGGTGAACTTGATAGGCTTTTCCGTGATCAGCTCCACGTTCGGCTTGGTAAACATAGGATACCAATTATCCAAGAACAGGGGCCGCTTGCAACCAAAGGCAACCTTGGGGCGCAATTTTTCTTTCAGAACCGGATCTTTAATTTGCTCATCGAGAAATGCAAGAGCTTGGTTTCCAATCTCGGTATTTTGCTTGGTTCCTTTGATAAACATTGGCTTTGTGAATTCAGCCTGGAAATAAGAGTTAGCGAAAGGTGTTTTCTGTTCACGTCCATGGGAATGAACTTACGCTGATGCAAAACCACACATGGTAGAGCCACAGGATAGGCCAGCAGTATCGGAACAGAAGACGTTTCCACATGGGCTGCTGATGGTTATTGCGGGGAAGAACATGACCAGAGCTTCGTTGGTACATGTAAAGCTTCTTGACAATCGGTTGGATACTTGGAGCCACCTGGGCAGCACTAGGACCAGTGCCGAGAATAGCCACGGTTTTTCCAGTCAGGTCAGCATCCTTCGGCCAGGCCGTAGTGTGCCATTGTTGACCCTTGAAGTTTTCAATTCCAGGAATCGACGCGTATTTGGCGCGATAAAAACTGCCACCACAATTATACAGCACATTGGCTTTCCATAGCACTCGCTTCTTGGTCTCCGAATTCTCCACTAGGATCTCCCAAAGCGCAGCGCTCTCGTTCCAAGTGGCAGAGATAACTAGAGTATGGAAGTATGTCAACTGGCGCAAATTGCTGCGATCAGCGATACCTGCATAGTACTGCTGGATTTCTTTTCCCTCGGAGTATTTCATTGTCCAATCTGTTCCATCATTGTTAGATACCCCTCTTTTGAGTCTTGAGGTTAGGGCTGGACTGACCAGGGTTCAGACTATACCGCATGACATAAGCATGACTGGGGATGTCGCAGGCGACCCCAGGATATGTGTTGCTCTCCCAGACTCCGCCATAGTCTGCATTCTTGTCCAAGATAATAAACTCATCTCTTTTCAAGACTGACTTGCGGAGAAATGCCTGGGCCAGAGACACGCCTGACATGCCGCCGCCAACGATGGCGCAGAAGATATACTTTGTTTCCATCTTTTGGGGTGCCATCTATGCTGTGTGCTGTAGGTGAAGAAAGTTGCTGAAGAACTGTTCATCGATATTGATGGCATTTCTGGTCTATTCAAATAGCATTATTTACCTAATATGGCTCGCTCCATGAGTTGCAAGTTACTTGCACGTCCGCCGTATCAGCTTAGAAAATTGCATGGAAAGTGATGGTCCCACTCTCCGGAATCCGAGACCACGCTAACTTAACAATGTCCGCATTTACCGCAACGACTTGGGAATTGCAGCTTACGGAAATTTCCGGATCCGATCCAGATGCTAATCTACGTGGAGTCTGATTGTATTGGCTTTGCCTTCGAACAATTACCTGGATCCAAAACCCCTGAACAAAAAGGCGAAACAGAAAATACCGGTACCATCGATTTCCGGTACAGATAGTGCTCACCTTTGGGAACTATGTTTCTCGGTGATATTGTTTGATAAGAGCTTACGTATTTGATAATGTAAGTGATTAGAACATGGAATACAACGTCTACTCCGTATCTGCACTCGTAATATTAACAATTAGCCGCAGAAGATACGTCGGTAGGCTGGATCTTATCTGTAGGCCCTGGAGTAGGCGCAATTGCTTATCTGGATAACCACGAGGACTGAGACATCATTGGATAGCGTTGTTTCCGGAGGATCAACCCCACTTCCCTATACCTGGGGTGCGCATGCCGCACTTCCGGTCCGCTCCGCCCCGCCCCGCCCCAGCAGTCATGTGCCACCCTCGCCGGCCGGGGTGCGCATAGTACGTAGCACCTCCGCTTGGACACCAAGCTAGAAACCGCCCAGGCGGCGAGAAATTTAGGTTCATCCCTTCAATGGCAGATGCCGGCGATCAGTCGAAATACCACCGTAATTCCGCATTTTCTCCCTTGCATGAATTCTGATTTTCAACATCCCAAAAATGCTGCATCAGCTGCTCTACCGGTTGAAAACGCCTGCCGTGCCCGTGCCAGGCATGGAGGCAATGTTATCCTCACAGTCACTGCTTTTCAAAGCATTGTTCATCGCCGCAATCAGCGTCTCGCTTCTTTTTACGTGGCTGCTGGGCAGAAAATCCAAGCTGAATGTGCCAATTCTTGGTGCGGACCAGGGGGTCTCCAAGAAGGACCGAATCAACCGGTACATCAATCAGCCTCGAGAGCTTATGTGGGAAGGTTATACGAAAGTTGGAATAGCCCAAACAAGGAAATGCTCACGCCATGGGAGGCTAACTTGAAAATAGTACGGTAATCAAGTTTGGGGTATCGATACCCACGACGGTGAGAATTCCTGCAAAAAATAAGTTAAGCATGGAAGAGAGGCTAACCTCAAGAGAGTAGGAGTCAAAGCTGTCATACCGCCTCAGTTTATCAATGACCTGAAAAGTCACCCTGCACTGAGTTTCAAAGCCTCCATTGACAATGTAAGGGGAACTGTGGGATTTGAAAACAACATCATCATCAACCTGACTGGCTCTTGCAGGATATGCTCACCGATTACACATATTTTGGTGCCCCTCCTGAATTCGTGATCAATGCAGTGCGCTCCAGTCTCACCCCGTCGCTTCGTATGTAACCAAATCTTTATCAATACCACGAACGCCTGAGGGCTTCAAGGGGGCCCCCCATTATCTGACAGCTCAAACAGCCAACTATATCCCCATCTTTCATCAAATGATCAAGAAACATCAAAAAGGTCTTCTGGGCACATATGATGGTAGGTGACCCCCGGTGTTCACTCTGTCATCTTACACAGAGGTGTGCAGAGAGACTCAGTATCCTTGCTAGGAATCTTGTTCATTGACCATATGCTATTGTAGACTGGACGTCAGTCCAAGTCAGCGGCCCCGTGCTTCGTTTGGCTTCCATTCTCTCGGCCCGCGCATTCCACAGCAGCGAGGCAAGCATGAATCCAGACTGGCTGGATGTCGCAACGGGGTATGTCCATGCCGTCCTTGATTCCATCAAAGCCCTCAAGAGGTGGCCGCCATATCTTCGACCCTTCGTTCATCGGTTTCTCCCCGAGCGCGCCGCCATCGCTCAACAGCGGAGCAAGGCCCGGAAGATTGTCGCCGCGTCACTCCAAAGGAAACAATCCAACGGCGGCGCACCACTTGATGACCCGCCCACTATGCTGGATCATTTGTCCAGTGGGAAGAATCACAACATTGCCACTGATATCGAGAAGCAGGTCTTGTATCAGATGACTTTGGTCGCCGTCGGGACCGTCACTACTTTCTCCACGGTCACACAGTGCTTATATGACCTGGCAGGCCACCCGGAGATCATACCAGATCTTCGCGAAGAGGCAATTTCCGTGCTCAAACAGTCCAAGGGCCTCCTCAATAAAGAATCCTTATCCGCCCTGAAGAAAATGGACAGCTTCATGAAGGAGTGCCAGCGATTTTCGTCTCCCGACTTGAGTAAGTGTTAATTCGGTTTTTCCAAAACCAACCTTAAAAAATTTGTGCCTGGTGTTAATGGTGGAGAATCAGCTACATTCCAGCGCGCTGCGACAGAGGATATGAATCTGCCCGACGGAACATTTATTCCCAAGGGAACCAAGCTCGAGACAGCGACTTGTTCGATTCATGCCGACGAGCAGCACTACGAGAATCCCGACCAATTCGACGCCTTTCGCTTTTACAGAAAGCGCCAGGTCCCGGGCCAGGAAAATAAAAATATGTTCGTCAGCGTCGGCTCGAATGATCTGGCGTTCGGCTTTGGCAAACATGCCTGTCCTGGAAGGTTCCTGAGCCACGTCGTGATCAAATGCTTCCTTGTGGAGTTCCTTCTGCACTATGACATCAAATCTGCGCCGGGAGTTGGAAGACCTAAGAACATTGAATTTGAAGCCTTTGTAAGCATAAGGCCATTCGCCGTTGCTCAAGATAACTATACTGACTTCCTGGACCTTAGGTTGACCCGGACCCTACTGCGGAGGTTCTGCTTCAAACAATACACGTCGGGGAACCCGAATTTTTGGACTGAAGCAATTCACAAAAAAAAAAAAAAACACCGCATAGTCACTCCACAGAACATCGAGATGAATCTACATTTCTGATTGAATAACTATAGGGAGCCTGGAAAGCTGAAAGGGAAAGGGTTTCTCACTCCTAAAAACATTGCAGTTGGGCTATTGGAAAGCTATTGGGATCTATTATATCGCCTCTTCTTTCAAATTAGAATCTGTTCGCTCTATAGTAAATGCCATAAATAGGATAGATATCATGATAGTATAGCAAATGATAATGACAAGTAACTAACCACGGGTATTCTTCTCGCTCATTGGAGTATAATGCCTCCAACCTCTCTTTGACAGCCTCAACCAACGCTAATGCATGACATGCTTTCCGTGAACGCCATCAAATCCCATTCTGATACAATGGACATATTCCGTTTCCTTTATTGATCCACTGGGTACAGGTTCAACCAGTCAAACCCACTCTGCCAGTTGAGCGTTTCGAAATTTGAATCGTGATTATAGTACTCTGGCTGCATAATGCCGTAGAAGTCATTTTGGTACTCAATCAGGTGTTGCTTACGAGGACCGATTACATTTGGAGATATCTTTTGTACTGGGGGCTGGGCAAATACAAGATTGTCGAAACTTTGGACGGGATCGTCGTCAGGAGGATGTTGGGTGTGCTGGTTGTTTCGACTATAGATCACCTTTGTCGCAAAGTTTGAGTACTGCGAAATGAGCGATTGGCAGAGTCGTTCGACGGTCAAAATAGAGTGGTGGGTTTCTGAAAAAGGGCGCAAGCCTTGGGCAATATCTTGGATGAGTCTTAAATCGAGCGCATCGGATGTTGCGACCAGGCTTCGGAAAAGAAGAAAGAGAGGGCGAAGGGTGAATAACGGTACAAGCCTGTTCCCGATTAGATTAATCGGATCTAAACGCAAATGGCTCTTGACTCACCAAGCAATAGACGAGATGCATTTGGTTCGATATGGTGTCGGTGGGGTTGCAATCTCAAGCATGGTCTTGAGAGCCGAAAGAGAGTCCCGGGCATGGTTCAAGCATGACTGGTGACCGGAGCGGTCCTCAATAGCGCTGAGACGACCGATGGAAGTCAATGTAGAGGAGCAGACAAAGTCAATGCCAGCCCACTCTGATATGAGAAACCGAGATTCGGAAGCAGGAGCCTGGGAGCGGAACTAAATTTTTCGTTAGATGAACGGAGTAAAAAAAAAAAAATCATTCAAGCAATTTACACAACTGACCTCCTTTGCTCGTTGAATGATATCCATCACGCGTTCACCCTGGGCCCGTATTGTCGCTGTGTCAACCTGGTCGATATTGCCAGTAGCCCCCAGCGCCCTCGTCTCACGGATTATCACATCATGAGCCTTTCCAATCTCAACCATGATAGACATCATCGCATGGCTTTGTTTACTAGTGTCAAGCACAGAGGTATCAATATCAACTTCCACGAGAGAGGCTGGTTGGTTGGCATTAGAGGCCAGCGCACGGTCGAATACATAACATTTCATCAAGTTCAGTCGTATCTCAAAAATCTCATCAGCCGGTGCTGTTTTCGCTCGTTCGGCAATCCATGAGCCAGTAAGCAGAGCACCAACACGACATGCAGCGGAGTTCAACTCCCAGCATCGTCGCATGTATCCGGTGTCCTGCATTACCATGGCCTTCGGAAGACAGAGTTGTCAGTTCGTTGGTGTCAATGGGAAGGGGAGGTCACGACTTACCGCAGAGAGCAAGGCCTGCATCAGGAGAGGATCCTGACGAGGGTAAGTATCAAGATGATGAACTGCTGCGTTGATATTCTCTCGAAATTTGCGCCGCGCGATTTTGGAAAGTTCTTTTCGCAAGGAGTTCTGCTCATTGGAGTCGATTGCAGCCAAAAACATATAAGCAGTACAATTGACACAGACGATATAGTGGACTCTCTCTCTGCCATGAACAGTGCCCTCTAGTAGCGCCTGCGCCATTTTCTCAAAGCCGAGGAGCGATCCGTTGACGTTCATATCGAGAAAGTACCTCGAAGAATCGCTATTCGTTGAGTCTAGTCTCGTTAGCCCACTTGAATTGGGACTGGGTAGAGTTCGAGGTACTTACAACTCAACATTAGATATAGGAACTCGGGCGAGGGGTACATAGATGAATCATAAAAGTTCATAGTTGAAATCGACGCTTTGTCCAGCTCCCAGGATCTTGGCTCGGCTGCTGGGGTCTGCTTGGCCAACATCAAAACCGAGGCTAGCAGATTTCGTCGCTCAGGGTCAGCGGCACATCTGTTGTCGGCGTTCGGGTTCAGGTATCGTTGCAGGTCTTCTTCAGCTAGAGCTTTGTCTTCGGGTGTTTGAGTGTCCTTTTCTTGAGTTGGCCCCAGGAACTCTGATCGGGCTTCGGATGCCGGGGAGACATGGCTGTTTGCATCTGATTGCTGGCTTTTAGCATATGACTGGTTTTGTACACTTCGGCTGCTCTTTTCTGATGGAGGTCGATTGTTGACCCCACTATCACCGTTGGTGGAAGCCCCTACGCCGGATCTCTGATCCATTGGCAACGGATTAGGGGTCTCTCCGGCATCTTCGTCGCCTCCGTGATAGCTTTGGTTGCTCATCGATTGCTCCAGATAGGAGACTCTGCTCATAATAACTCGGAGCTGGTCCCTGTCCAACTCTTAGTATACCTAGATGAGGCTACATGATGGAATGGACTGTCGCTCACTGATCCATGTTCAGATCCTCGCCAGCGGGATTGCTGAACTTGCGCTTAGCGGGCTGTCGCTTCCGACCGCGCACGCAGCGAGTGTTTGAAAGAACACAATTGGAACATGGGTCTTCACGATTACATCGTATCTGAATACTTAGCTATTTTTCTCATATGATGATCGAACCGGATCCTATCTACCTTCTTATAATGACAGAAATCACACTGGACGCATGTCGATTAGCTCAGCCCGGATTGCTTGGGTAGAGCCGCAGGACAGGACTTACCGCGCTTAGAATTCTCGGTGGCCGACGGAGTGGTCCACTTCCAGGCTCCATGGTCTTGGAAATATCGTATGATGAAAATCAATGAGAACGACCGCGTCGTTGATTGTCTGATGGGGGAGAAATGAGCTTCAAAGGTCAGTGGGGGTTGGTTTTCCGCTTTTGAAGCGACCAGGCACCCACCCGCCTTATCTCCTCCTCTCTCGAGCCCGTGTGCTTCTTCCTCATTTCCCCACAAACACTATCCTAGACGCCTCCACCAGATTATCATGGTTCGCCTCAACCAAATCAAAGGTAGGTGCTTCAGGTGGCAACCGTGCTAGGCGATAAGCTATGCTGAGATCTACCCCGGATATTGTTGTCCTGACACTCACTTTTTCCCCGCACAGATTCGTGGGAGCGCTCTCGAAACAGAGATACGAGCGACGATGATTCACACTCCGGAAATGAACTAGGTTTTGCGGATTCCGCATTGCAGTAGTAGCGAGGACGCTACTAGTTAGTACGGCGGTACGCTTGCTTACGGATGCTTGGGCGTCCGTGCCGACTACGGCGTCCTGGGTTATGTGAGGTACCGATAATGGTATCGAGCCAATCAGTTGAGATTATCTGCTGCATATGGATGACAGTTATATATACATGCTTGTGAAGCTCCCAGATATGCGCTATCAAGTCCTACGTTATCACAGCGAAGGGCTGATAAGATACTGGGCCGATCTTAACCTCGTTACGTGATTGACACCCGTGTCTCTCCAAAATGGTGCCAACCGTAAGTGCAAATGAATCGGAGAAATCCTCCGGTGACCCATAGCTTACATGCAGATTCACACCTCAGCTCCACGACCCTTCCCTTCTCAAAAAGGATCTCGTATACGTGGACGGCCAATGGGTGAAAGCTACCTCTGGCAAGACCTTTCCGGTATATGATCCTGCAACAGGAGACACCATCGGCACATGTCCCGACTTCGATGGCCGGGACACCGAAAATGCGATTGCTGCGGCCCAGAAGGCGTTCTTGGAATTTCGCCTCAAGACGGGTCGAGAAAGGGGAAGACTTCTACGCAAATGGTATGAACTGGTCATGGAAAATGTCGAAGACTTGGCAACTCTGATCACCTGGGAAAACGGCAAGCCTCTCGCGGACGCTCGAGGAGAGTCGAACTACGCGGCAAGTTTCCTAGAGTGGTTCAGTGAAGAAGCTCCCAGGGTCAACGGCGACAACCTATCACCCTCAGTGCCAGGGAATCGAGTGATAACTCGGAAAGAGCCGGTTGGCGTCTGCGCTCTCTTGACGCCCTGGAACTTTCCTGCGGCCATGATCACGCGCAAGGTCGGGCCAGCCTTGGCTGCTGGATGCACGGTGGTCTGCAAAGCTCCAAGAGAAGCTCCATTCACATCACTTGCGCTGGCTGAGCTCGCCCACCGCGCTGGAGTCCCACCAGGGGTCATCAATGTGGTGACTACTGCGCAAAATATGGCCGAGGTGGGCCTCGTTCTGACGACGCACCCAGCTATAGCTAAGGTCTCTTTCACCGGTTCAACCGGTGTGGGAAAGCTACTCATGAAGCAAGCATCCTCTACCCTGAAGATCCTATCTATGGAACTAGGTGGCAATGCCCCATTTATTGTCTTTGATGATGCCGATCTCGATGCGGCGGTGGCTGGGGCAATCACTTCGAAATTCCGCTCCAGTGGACAGACATGTGTCTGTGCAAATCGTATCTATGTGCAGAAGGCTGTCTATGAAAATTTCAGCAACCTTTTAGTGGAGAAAGTGAAGAGCTTCACCGTTGGCAACGGATTCGACAAGTCGACAACCCACGGGCCCCTCATTCACGGCAGAGCTGTAGCGAAAGCACACGAGCACGTCAAGGACGCACAGGAGAAAGGCGCCAAGATCCTTATCGGAGGTGACAGGATACAATCTCTGGGCGACAATTACTTCCAACCCACCGTTATGATTGGAATGACCAAGGAGATGGCCATGGCAACAGAAGAAACATTCGGCCCAGTTGCAGGTCTATTCCCCTTTGACACGGAGCAAGAAGTGGTCGATCTTTCGAATGCGTCTGAAGTTGGCCTGGCTGCTTATGTATTCTCTCGGGACATTAGCCGTGTTTATCGAGTTGCCGAAGCCCTTGAAGTCGGCATGGTTGGTGTCAATTCTGGTTTGATTTCGGACCCAGCCACCCCCTTTGGAGGTGTCAAAGAATCAGGATTTGGAAGGGAAGGATCCAAATATGGCATTGAATCGTACCAAAACATCAAGATGATCACTTTTGCTGGTAACGATAAGCCACTTCAGAGTTAAGATTTCACAATCACGAGGTATTGTGACTCTCTCTAGATGGCTTGGGGCATTTGAATGGGGGTCGTTTACAACAAGAAAAATGCAATTACAGGCCATCCATCCAATATACCCTCATCATGTAGATAGAGCATTAAGAAACATATCGTTATCAGTGGTACACAGCCTTGAATAAATAATTTTGGCTCTTGATAGTTATCTGGCCATTGAAATTAGATTAGGCCTTTTATGTGGAGGCCTTGTAAGGAGGAACAGAACAGAATGTTTGGTTTGGTAACATACATCGTATCCAACGTATCGCCCCCACTCACCCTTTCCGGGGTAATAAATGCCGTTCAGTTTTGCCATCCATCAGGTTCCAATATTTCCAGAAGAGCTTCAGTCATATAATTTATAACTAGTTAACTAAAACTATTAGGCATCTTGGCTGAATCCTTTCCTTTCTCCAGGCTTTTTTAATGCCGCGTTTGGCAACTTTCCTCCCACTCCACTTCCCAACTTCGAAGCCATCCATATGGAACCCTCTTCGCTTGCAAAAATGGATATTGCGCCCCCCTCGGAGGACACCCCTGCCTCAAAAAACGAATTATCAGCGGCACAGTCCTCTTGTGAACCATGTGAACAGGATGGGCACGATACTCAGTATCCAACTGGAATGAAACTGGGCTTGATTGTTCTGGCGCTGTGTCTAAGCATTCTTACTGTCGCAGTCGGTACGTTATCGGTACCCAATATTCCGGGCTCTATCTCGGGCTCTATCCCATGCTCCATAATAATAATAATAATAATAATAATAGATGATACTATAATCACAACCGCAATTCCAAAGATTACGAGCCAGTTTAACAGCTTAGACGATGTCGGGTGGTATGGAAGTGGTAGGCCCAGGCATTTTCCGACGTGACCACCACTAAGCTCGGAGCCGTTGCTGACATCTTCATCGCAGCCTATCTCCTTACCACGTCGTCACTCCAACTTCTCTTCGGCAAAATATATACACTTTTCGATATAAAATTGGTGTTCCTTTCCTCAGTTGCCATTTTTGAGCTAGGTAGTTTAATATGTGGTGTGGCCAACAGCAGTCTGACTCTCATTGTGGGTCGTGCGGTTGCTGGAATTGGAGCCGCTGCAATCTTCTCCGGCGCTCTGATCATTCTCGCTAGTTCCGTGCCCCTTCCACGGCGCCCTTTCTATATTGGATGTGTCGGCAGTATGTACGGTATTGCGGTAGTTGCCGGGCCTCTGTTGGGGGGGTTATTGACTGACAAGCTCTCGTGGCGCTGGTGCTTCTTCATCAATCTACCCATTGGCGGTGTGACGTTCCTGGTGATTTTGAAATTCTTCCAAGCACCTCCTCGCGAGATAGAAAAGCGGTCATACAGCGAGCGACTCAAGAGTTTCGATTTTCCAGGAGTCTCTGTCTTCATGTCAGCCGTGATCTGTTTATTATTGGCTTTGCAATGGGGCGGCAGCACATATTCGTGGTCAAATTGGCGCGTCCTGCTCCTGCTCTGTATGTTTGGTGTCCTCTTCATCGTCTTCCTAATCATCCAATACAGACAGGGCGAGTCCGCCATAGTACCACCTCGCATCATTTCCGACAGAACAGTCTGCCTTTGCTGTTTGTTTAACTTTTGCCTTGGATCTAGCTTCATTGGTTCAATTTACTTCCTGCCCATTTGGTTCCAGGCGGTTAAAGGTGTTAGTGCGGTCCAGTCGGGACTCATGAACCTTCCTTTGTTGATCAGCGTCGTGATTTTTTGCGCCATAACAGGTGGACTTGTGTCTCTGATCGGTTACTATACACCTTTCCTATTTTTATCCGCCGCTCTCCTTGGCATCGGGTACGGCTTGATGACCACATTTCAGCTGAACAGCCCGCCGTCCATCTGGATTGGCTATCAAGTTATTGCTGGTATTGGCATTGGGTTCGGCATGCAGCAGCCAGTCACTGCTGTTCAGGCCGCACTTGAGAGCCGTGATGTTCCTGTCGGAACCGTCCTGGTTACCTTCATGGAAACTATTGGGGGATCGATATTCGTGTTGGCGGATGAAAATATCTTCAGAAAGGAGCTAGTTAAAAACCTTCATGAGTACATCCCAAGCTTGGACCCCAATGTTATACTTTCTACCGGAGCCTCAAGCATTCGAGCTGTTGTTGATTCAGCAGATCTAGCTCCTGTACTGTTCTCATACAACAACGCCATCACCAGCACATTTGTGGTGTGCTCTTTACTCTCCATTCCTGCCTTCCTGGGGGCTCTCATGATGAAATGGAAGAACATCAAAGGCAAAAATGCAAATCACCTCGAGGCATCATAGAGCCATGGTATTTCGATCTTGGCCTCGTGTCACTCGGTGTGATTCCTTGTCTAAATCTTGAAAAGAAAATCCTTCTAGAAGACTGAAAATGCATTCTGAGGCATTTTTGTATAGATAGATACTATAATAGAGCTGTTTGTGTGTTGGCAAGTCGGATTCGTAGAGACGGAAATCCTTTCCACCTACCGTCGCTGCATTGCTTGACATACAATGAACACGCATGCTTCATTCTTACTCTACGTCTAATCTGCGAATATGTCCTTGTGTCGAGAGATGGTATAGAAAGACATCGTGAGGATAATAAATGCAGCATACATGAAGTTATTCAATCTTCAATTTGATATCCCCGTTTTCATTCTCATGGACATAATCGGCGGCGGAGTTTGACTGCCAAGTGCTGGTACTTCCCGAGTAAGCTTTCGCGAGCACTGTGCTAAAGTATCTTATCCTCTGGGTTGATAACTGGCATCGTCGGGTAGAAGATAATGGTGTAGTTCTGTTTTTCGAGTAACTAACTATCTGCCAATAATAATAGGTGGAGCAGCCCTGAATGATAATTCTGTGCCCACTTGATAACACAGAGATAAAATATGGAGTCTTTGCTCCCTTCCACCTTAACCACACGGTCAACTTCTTAATGACGATGATGAATTCTATTGGTAACTATGGATAATGCGTGCTTACCTAGGTAATCCGATTTAGAGGCTGTTCGGAATCCGCCCGATACGGATTCCAGTAGGTATGCACGGAAGCCGCCCGAGACGGTAATTCTGGATTCCACCCCTGAGTTACTGTCTGAGACCGTAATGGACAACTTCAGGAACCTATCTATGCTGAGGTTGATTTCGATTGTCCTCTCTCTACCTGATGGGTTCAAAAGACCGACAACAGCATAAATCACGTTCTGTACTCTTCCTATCAAATCCACGCTGGTGATAGACGATCCTTCGCGATTTTTTAAACCTCATTTTACTCAATCTCCAAAAAAAAAAAAAAAATTCAACATGGCGTCCAATCCTCCAAAGGCATGCTGCACAACGGGCGTACTTCATACGTAAGCCACATATCATCGTCCTGATTTCAACCCCAATTCCTCGCAAGGAAATAACCTGGAGACTTGTCACAGAGGGACCCCGACTGGTAAAACGATAAAGTACGGAGCTTACAGTGGCTATCTCGCCGTTGCGCCTCCAACGCAGGCCCATCAAGATGTTGCGCTAATGATGATGCCGGACATTATGGGCATCTACGAGAACTCCCAGTTACTGGCGGATGCATTTGCCCTGCGTGGCTATACGTGCCTCGTGGTTGATGTCTTCAACGGAGATGCTCTGAAACTGAACACCATCATGTCCGGATTCGACGTCGTCGGCTGGATCAATGAAGGCCGCGACAACAGGGGCCCGCACACCACTCAAGAGGTCGATCCCATCGTCAAGGCAGCAATTCAATACTTGAAGCAAGAGCTAGGGTTTAAAAAGCTTGGTGCTGTCGGGTATTGTTTTGGAGCCAAGGTAAAAATCTGCCTCGTTATTATTATTGTTCCCCCCCCCTTCCACGGCCGGAATCTTACGTGTTGAATCTTAGTATGTCGTCCGCCATTTCCAAAGTGGAATCAACGTTGGGTTTATTGCCCATCCATCATGGGTGGATGAAAAGGAACTGGCAGGCGTCACGGGGCCGCTCTCCATTGCCGCGGCGCTCAACGATGATGTTTTCCCGCCTGAGAAACGGCACAAGAGCGAGGAGATTCTCTTAGATGCTGGCAGTCCGTTCCAGATCAATCTGTTCTCGGGGTCGGACGTGGGGCATGGATTTGCAATTCGTGGGCACCTCACGCCTGAAACCAGATTTGCGTACGATCAGGCCTTCAATCAGGCTGTGGACTGGTTTGACAAGTTCTTGAAGTAGGAATTAGATTCAACGAAGACAATAGTTAATTGATACTTGAGAGTTATTCTGTTGGTTATCTGAAATGATGGCTCGCGTGATGTTGAGTCCTTGTTGGAATTTCACGTCTGGAAGGGATGTCTTGTATGAATATATATATATATGTTCATGACAAGGGCAGATTCAACGACACACTAGCTCTTCTTAAGCCGTAGCAAAGGACAGGTGCGAAAAACAAAGCAATGCCATTAGATGTCAACAGGGTGACCAGGAGCAGGCAATGTACAAAAGAGATCTAGATACTGCATGATATTTGGTATTGGAGACTGAGAAGAACTTCGTCCGATGAGGTCGAGAAGCCACGCTGAGTTTATGAACTATTATTAGTTTACTCTAATCCCCTGCTTCTCTAGACCATTCCGGGTTTCCCTGACTGATCTATTGCTGGAACCCGATTATATGGTAATCTTGTGGAAGAAAAGGTTATTGATTTTTGAACGAGATGGTAGACTGACCGAATCCTACAATATATAGAACGAATGTGTATCTCGCCTACAGTACTGTTGTCAATTAACGAGCATCTTCGGGTTTGCACGCAAAGCTTACTATATATAGAAATATTATATATAACTACATAAGTAGATGTTGTGGTCCATGTATACCCGGAACAAGGCCTCATCTTCATTTTGATTTCAAAGATTCTAAAGGGACAGTGCATACATGGCAAGATCAAGATCTAATTTTTCTTTCCTTTCTGCTTATGTCAAAAAGGTTGCAACCCTCGTACTATATAACAATCCTCCTCCGGTTGCAGAGTTATATCGGAGCAGGGACCACGATGGCAGATCTAAGTCCTAATGTGAATTACTTTGTAGATAGGTACCGAGTAGTCTTTATTCTCAACCAAGTACACGGCTGAATCTTAACGCCAGGTATTTCCCTTGGTGGTGAGATCAAGGATTATTTCTCATCTACAGTTCTTTCCTTTAGGTCTCTAAATGGCATCATTCCAAACCCACACCCCCTGTTCTGTTTCCATGTCGCCAATAATCCATTCTACTGTTCGTCCCTCTGCCTTTCTTTCTTTCTTTCTTTCTTTCTTTTTACTGCCTACGTACTTAGAAGTCCTCATTACCTAGTTAAACTCGATTACACATGTACTACTTACCTAGCCTCTTCTCCATACTGTATTACTGTAGCACAGGTATGAACCAACAAGACTATAGTTGGAGTTTCGGTGGAATATCATATAATAACATGATCTCTCTAAACCACTTGAGAATACTGATGGCGATTAAACAGATATGGAAAAAAAAAAAAAAAAAACCCCCCATGCTTCATGCAAGAAACCGTGTTTTGTCAGGGCAGGAAGCTCTCAGGTTTTGCATATCTACCTAATCTATCAATCGTATCAACGACAGCAACCATGCTCTCTACCGTGAGCAAGAGGACCAACAATAGAGGAGGCCCAACCAAGTCGACTCTTGAAACCTTTTGGGGGGGATAACCCACAGAGAATCGTAGTAAAGATTTTTATGGTTGATTTTGTGATGGAAGGTAGGTTTATAGGGAGGTATTCTATTATTATTTATATTATGGAGAATAAAGACCGAAAATAACTCTATGATATGTTGTGAGTCTACCTCTATAAAAGTAGTTCAGTTCTTTTCTGCAGATAGTTTTTTATCTAACTAATTAGATTATTCAGAATTTTTTTTTTCTATTTTCTGGGCCGTGGTTCATACTCCTTTTTTCTACCGAACAAGTAGTACTACGGATAGCACTCCATACTGAGAGACTCCCAGTCTGAAGTTAGAGTGTTGAACAAACTCCATAGATGAAAAGAGTTTTACCCTTCAGGTACCTAGTAGGCAATTGGGATTAAGACGACCTGGGGTTACTATGATCGAGACGCCACCAACCGCGACAACACGAAGGGGATATCAAATTACAAAGAACAAATAGTGAATTTGACGGATATTGATTGATTGATTGATCTAATCCTAGGGTATATTGAGAGCTATCTACCTTCCTCCGCAACAGAGCCAAATACGCGTCCCGGTGACGCTCCTCCTGATTTTAAGACGTCTGCGTCGATTCGCTTCCACTGTCTTTCAGAATGTCAGTCCGCGTCCGACAATAGCAAGAAAAATGAATCCAAGGAGAAAATTTGTCTCTCAGACAAAATATACTGGCAAGTAGCAGACCAACCGGGAAAGGAAGGTCCGACTGTCTCGTCATGGGCGATTCGGTGGTAAAGAAGAAGAAAGAGGTTTGTCATCCTCGAGAGACTTGGGGGTAGAAATAAGGGGGAAAAAAAACAGAGAGGCAACTCACCATACAAATGTTAGCTCGCTTGCGATGATCTGATTGGGACTGTTATGGCATGATCATAAGCCAGGAACAGGCACTGAGTGTGTGGGCTGACAGAATCCTGGCATCACAAGATTCCCAGCAGCATTAACACTGAAAGCCATATCATCTGCTCCAAGAATACTGCCAAATTGGATTGGATTCTTCACAAAAGTGTAAGAGAGAGAATTGGAAAAGAACAAGCAAGAGGAAGAAAAGTGGAAGAAAAAAAAAAAAAGGTAAGGGATGATCCTCCGGTATTATATTTAATCCGTTCCACGCGTGATCCTTACCTAATAAGGAATAGTCCAGCTCCGACCATCGGATTTTCGAGCCAACAAAGCGATTAAAAGAAGAGAAGAGAAGAAGAAGAAGAAGAAGAAGAAGAAAAAGAAGACAACGACGACGACGAAGGAAAAAGAATTAGGAGGCGGTGGATTTTTCCATCTGAAAAATAAGAGGCGCAATTGTCTTCCTCTGTGCTTTTATAACCAAAGGGTACAGTGGAGATTGAGTGTAAGTTTTACTCTCCTCACCTCCAGAATCCCATCAATTTTCCCTCTTGCTCCCTCCCCTTTTAGCCACCATATTATTCCCTCCCTCTCCCTCTTGCTTTCTTTCCCTCCCCTCCTCCTTCTCTCCACCGCCTCTTGTTCCTTTTCCCTATTATCCTGATCGTCTTTGTGGCGCTTATTTTCTGTTCTCATCCTTCCAGTCCACCCCCAACTTTTCGCGTTCGTTATCAAGAGTCAGTGGGCTGGCGATCGCGACAGGTGCCGTTTCTCCATCTCCCTCTCTCTCTTTCCCTCCCTCTCTCTCTCTCTCTCTCTCGCTCTCTCTCTCTCTCGCTCCCCTCTCTCGTCTGGCCGCCCATAGCCCCTCCACAACTTTCATCATTCAATATCCGTTTTCGCAATTTATCTTCCACCAAGCATATTCTTCGTCGCATCTACTCTAACATTGGGCTATCTTAGGCGTCCAACACCCTGGCGGGCACCGGTGATTAGGCTAGGTTCGATCCATGCTCCATCTTCCGTGTGGTTCTGGACGATACCGACGCAGGCTCAGTCGTCCGTCAGCTGCGTCTTGGCCTCCGCTCCGACACTAATAGTGGCCGCCCTGTTGTGTCTCCACGTCAAGCGCGCTTTTCGAGTCCCGACGTCCGCCCAAGCTCCGTGATCGCCGATAAAATCACTGAGTTCATTCTCTCTATTATCTTGTTTTCTCTCCCTCTCCCTCCACCCCTCCTTATCTCCTTTCAATTCAAGGCTGTGGAGTCTCCGTTATCGGTGACTTCGTATTTCAGCGATGATGATGGCGCAGCCATTTGCTGCCCATCAAGGCATCCCTCAACACCCCGGTCTGCCGCCGGGTCATGCATTGGCTCCTGGCCAACACCCAAATGCTCATCCTGGCGCCGGGATGGTGCAACAGATGCACCCAGGAGTATCTGCCCCGGGTGGCCCACAGGTCACTCAAGGTGGTCCGATGATGGGGGGAATGCCCCCAGGGGCAGGGACAACCGGGCCCGGTGGTCCTGTACAAGCTCATGCTCTCTCTCATTTGGGTCCACAGGCCCACCTGTTCCAACAAGGCCCCTACGCGCAAAATTGTATGTACTCTTCACCATTGATAACTTTGTCCTGGCCGGTAGACTAACGACTTTTGTTCTGGATAGTTGCCGGTAATCCGCACCTTATGCAGCAGCACCATCAGCAACTCCTTAGACAGCGTATGATGTTCCAGCAACAACAACAGCAGCAGGCACAACAAGCACAACAGCAACAGCCCCAACAGCAACCGCCACAGCAGCCCCAACAGCAACAACAACAACATGCCGGCCTTCCGGTTTCTTTACCGAATGGCACACAGGCGTTGAACGCAGCGCAGATGGTCGCTATGCAAGGAAACCCCGCCATGCGACCGACAAATCTGCAAATGCAGCAGCTCCAGCAGATGTCCCACGGGCAGGCCCAGAATCTCCAACAGCAACAGCACCTTTTCGCGATGCAACAGGCTCAGGCTCAGGCACAGGCCCAACAAGCCCAACAAGCCCAGCAGGTCCAGCAACAGAACGTAGCGGGACAGCCTGGCCACGGCACCCCCCAGCAGCGCCCGGCACCCCAGCCTCAAGGTTTACATGATGCCCAGAGTGTTACGCCACAACCTCAGCCGGGACCACTGCCTCATCAGGGAAGCAGCACTCCCCAGCCAAATCCCTCTCAAATCGCGCCATCGCAGCCGCCACAACCGCAAGCCGTTGTTCCTCAACCGCAGCAGACTCCCAATCCCCCACCGCAACAACTTCCACAATCTCAGCAGCCTGGGCCGCAGATGCAGCAACAGCAAGCGCAACCCCAAGCGCAGCAGCTGCAAGCACAGCGGCAACCACCACAACCTCAACAGGGTCAGCCAGGCCTACCGCAGCCACCAATGACTGCGCAGGAGGCGCAATTGAAAGCCCAGCAACAGCAACAGCAGAATAATGCTGCGTTGATGATGCAGCAGCGAATGGCGCTGAAGGGTGCTACAATTCTTTGCCTCAATAACTTCGCTGAGCATCTCAGTAACTTCCAGGTACAACTCATGCATATTTCGAAATGCGCTTTTCCCCCATTGAAACAAATGCTAACTAATTGTATAGAGTCGTGGAGAGGCGCATGATCTTTTGTACTGGCAGTCCTTCGTGGACAGGTTTTATTCACCAACCGGAGTTCTCCGACAAGGCGTATACAATCCTCAAGCAGGCTCCAAACAATTTGAAATTGCAACCCCCGCTCTTGCACGATATTACATGACCCAATTTACGAGCGGTATTCGTCAGATTCAAATGCTCATTGAGGGAGCCCGGGAAAGAGACTCACCAAATGGGGGGCATATCGTGGAAAGTCCCAAAGCCTCCTTCATCTATTGGTTTACAAACGATGCTCAGGTTAGTTCATTCAGTGGTGTTTTCTTTATTTCAGTCTTTGTTTAACCTTCTCGTCAGCTGTTCGCAACTGGTACGTTGAGAGCGCACTTTGATTTCCAAAATAAAATCGAAATGCTTGACATCGTGATCATGAACCACAACGAATATCTTCCCCGAAGTCAATTGCAGGCACTTGAGGTACTACCCGACCAAAAGCAAAGTCCAAAAGTCTCGAAAAATATGGGCAAGCGGGCGCAGCAAAAGCAAGCTCAACCTTCGTTTACATTACCCGAATCTATGGTGACCGCCAACGGTGTGCCTACCCCCGTCATGAGCTTTTTGGAGGTAGGTTATAAAAGTTACTTTATTAGTTCATCCTGGAGAATGATTAGTCTGATCTTTATGTTTTTCTTCTAGGTGGCAGAAACAATTTCTCAAATGCAATTGCTGTTCCAGTACTCGCACCAGCACCCGCAATTAACGCCCTCGGAATCGCTGCGCAGCCTGGTCGGCAATATTCAGAACCAGGGTCCAAATCCTGCCTTCATGCCAGGGCCCATGAACCCAGCGCTACCACAGGGCCATAACCCGCGCGCACCTAGCGTTGGGGGCCCCAATCAATTTGCATCCCCTGCGATGGCTCATCTTGCTTTACCCGGAAACCAAGGCTCACCTCATCTCACTGGTTCGGCTCATCCAAGTCCTGCCCAGAGTAATCTTCCTGGACCTCCCGGGATGACCCCTCAAGGTCAGATGCAAGCAAACGTTTCACAAGTCACAAGTGCTAGCGCGAGTCCTAACGTAAGCAATAAACGTCGACGAGCAAGTACGGTCAAGATGGAAGGTGAGGATGGTGCTGGAGACGTCAACGGCACCGCTCCAGGGTCAGGCAAAGTTAAGGCTAGCCCCCGAGTTGGGGGCAAGAGGCAGAAAGGGACCGCTTGATTTCGACGTCCTAATGTTTTCTAGTTGAAATGTCCCGTTTTATCTCCGTTTCATTTTAAAGAGGGTGGTGACTGGCGTACATTCGGATGTCTTACGTGTTGCTTTTTTCTTTTTTTCTTTTTTTTTTCTAATACGTGGGGTTCGTGTCTTGTTCATTGAACACATCGGATGGCGTGTTTTTTATGGGTGTTCTTTACCGGTGAAGATTTGGTCGGTACCGGCTGGTAATATCCGCAGCGTGCGATATCAATTCGGATATGTTTATGGAACTTGGATTCCTGAACGTGAGGTCGGCCGCTTTGCTGAAACACAAAACGAAAGACCCTCGCGTTGCGGTCAAGGCCCTTTGGCATACATTGAGCTCAGCCTTATGTACTTTATCTGCTTCATCGTTTCGCATTTGGCTTATGTGGATCAGCAGTTTTCCTTTTCTTTTTTTTTTTTTTTCCCCTGACATCTTCCCTATCACTTGGAGTCAATGGTCTGTGTGGCTTTTCTCAGCGTGCGGGGATGATCTTGATTCCCAGTACGCGTTACATGTCCCTCGTGTCTAATGTTTGTGCTCTCTCTTTTCTCTCTGCTGCTGTATCTGCTCCTCTGATATCCATGTTTCATCATTGGCGAGTAATGTGCTTGGCGTCAGGGTTATGTTGTCAAGTTGGAATTCTACTTCATGCGGTGTTCAGAAATTTGCTTCGTATATGTTCTGCAGTTCAAAGAGTTCACAGTCACGATTTTGGCTACATGGCTGTGAGGGCAGACACTCCTGGAAACAAAATTTTCGAGTCTGTAGCGTCTATAAGGGTCTTGCTTGCTCTGTCTGTTCTTGTTAAAATTATGAGGCGTATATTCGCACCTAATTTTGGCCTGCCTGCCTAGTCTGGAACTAGATTATAGAGATATCTCCCACATCTTGCGGTTAGATTACTTATAAAAGGCAACAAACGCCAGAGCAAGGTTGAAGATAAAATTGTACATTTCTGATTATTTATTGATCAAGCTCTCCCTTTTTATATCCACAGCCTTTTTCCACCGACCCCCAACGCCCTCGAAATGCAAATATAGTCATGAACAGCTAAGAGACAATGCTCTCTATGAATCAGGGTATCCGAGTTCCTCGTTGCATTATCAAGGAGACAACCACGAGAGTAAAGACAACGAGGGGAAAACAAATCATGGGCAGAACGACACGTGCCACCAAAAAGGGACAAGAACAAGAGGGCAAAGCAAGGTACCTACCTGGGAAACAAATTACATTTCCTTCCGGGCAAATCGGCCCAGCGCCGGGCCCAAGTCTTCGCGCTCGGCTTGGAGCTTGTCCTTTGCACGCGCAGCATGCTCCTTGCGCAGCATCTGAGCCTTGAGCAGCTGGTCGTCGATGACATTCCGCCTGCCCTTCTTGCGGAGGTACCTGCGCAGCGCGCTGTTCCTGCCCCGTCCCCGGTTCTTGAGTTTTTCCATGGTATCTTCGGGTTGGCGATCGAGGTCCTTTTCCTCGCGGTTCTTCTTGTCGCTGATGGTGTCGACTTTGCCGATGAAATTGGGGTCGAGCGAGATCATATCCGGTTGGAGTTTGTTCAGAAGGGCGCGGACTTCGGCTTCCTGGCGTTGCTTGGGGTTTTCGTACGGGTTTACTTCCAGGGCATCGAAGTTGGGTTCTCCCGCGCCGGGGATGATGATGCTCGCGAAGCCCTTGTCGTGCGCCACGCCGAGGATATCCTCGAAGGGGCACCAGCGCATGTTTTCGATGCGTTGCCCGTCGCCGCCCCACGCCATGTAGGGGCTTTGAACTTTACCCTGATCGGCGGTTGCCGCGTCGAAGAGCCCGCGCCAAACGCTGACTTGAGTACCCCAGCCGACTGCTGTGAGACCGCGGTCACTGATGGAGACGGAGGAGCCCGGTTGGTGGCAGGAGTAGGAGTGGACTTCGCGGTACATGCGGATATCCCAGACTTGCATTTTTAGGTCTTGGCCTGTCGAGACCATATACCGTCCCTGGCGGTCGATTGCCATTGATCGGACTGGGCCACGGTGCACGAGGGCTTTGACCAGTGGGGCTTGCGTGTTGGGGGACCAGAGTGTGACGGTTCCGTTTTGGTGACCGACGTGGACGATGGCGTTCCATGGATTTTGGCAGAGGGATGTTGGGGCGCCGACTTTGGTAGGGATTTCAGCGACGAGCTGTCCGGTTGAGGTATCGGTGTACTTGAGATGTCCGCTCATTTGCTGGTGGTGGAATGTTAGAGAGGAGAGGTTTAAATATGGAAACGGGGTGGGGTGTACTCACAGCTGATGCGAGGAGGAAGTGATAAGGAAGGAATTCAAGGAAACAGGGCTCGACAATCCGGTTCAGACAGTGGATTTCCACACCCTTGCTATCGTAGATATACACCGACTTCTTCTGGGCCACAGCAAAGAACTGATTGTTGTGTAGCCACCGGGCATCTCGAACGGTTTCCCTCAGGTGCAGCTCACAGCCTAGCTTGCCATTCCGCCAGTCCATTGTCGCAACATGCCCTTTTCGTCCGGCTAACAACAACTCGCGGCCATTTCTTGTGTAGTCCATGCGGTACGGTCCGAAGTCCTCCAGCTTCAATTCAAACTTCTTCTTGGCGGTCTCAATTCCGACATTCGCTGTAATTTCGCTTTGTCGAACCCTATAAGTCCTTTCCATCTCCCCCTCAGGCTCAATAAAACCAGCTTCATGTTCGAGAAGAATCTCCGCATCTTTGGCCCGGACTACTGCATCTTTGTACTTGGCTTCAACGGCTCGGAGGTTACTCCGGAGCTTTTTGTCTCTGATACCCTGAGTATGGATAGCCTTTCCACGGCCGTAGGTCTTCTTTGCTTCGATCACTCTCCTGCTTTCTTTGCGCTGCATCGGCGCAACGGCCTTGGTTGGTGCTGATTCCGCCATCAGCGTTGCGGGGAGATATTCAACAGGGACAAGGGTGGTATTATAAATGAAATAAAGGTAAAGAGGAATAAAAGCTTCAAGTCTAATATAAAAAAAAAAAAAACACACTGTAAGCTTTCGAGTGTAGAGAAGAGCACCCGCAAATATTCTCGACGTTGATGTAGAAAGTTTTAATTTTTATTCTGCAGGAAAAAAAGACGCCAAGACCGCCTTTTTCGACACTCGCTTGTTTTTTTTCCTCCACCGCCTAATTTTTTTCCCAACAGACATAATCGATCTGTATTTGATTCTCGATTTTACGATCCTTTGCGGATTCTCTGTTTCTGGGATTCCATTTACTCCTAATTATTGTCATCTAAGTCATCCTGGCATCTCTTCCGTTTCGCTTCAAGGGCTCCAGCGGTGCCAATATGGCGCCCATTGCAACGGCTCACCACCACCGTTCGACTACCAAAACCACGCACAAGCCCTTCAAGACCAAACATGCTTCTAAAGGTGCCCTGAAAGAGAAGGCCAAAGGTATGGCAGCGAATTTGCCGTCTTGACTGTTGTTGTGCATATCTCGAATGCTGACCACCCGTCTCTAGGCAAGGTTGAACGAGGAGAGCGGGGTACTCGCAAGACCCCTCACCAGCAACTCATGTCAAGACTCGATCGGAGGAACCAGGCTCGGCAGAAGCAACAATTGAAGCACCAGGAGAAAGCCCAGGCTACCAGCATTTTTTCCGGCCAGAATGGAGCGCCCCGTCATGTCGCTATTGTGCCCCTTTCGGTCGATATCGATACCACCGCGATCATCCGGGCTCTGAATGAAAGTGTGGATGTGTCAAGCGATATTTCTTCTGATTCTATTCCCCGCGTACGGATCGACCGCTTCCGACAGAGTTTGCAATATATCCCTGCCAAATATGACTTGATGAGCGCATTAGATGCGTGCCGGATGGCAGATTTCGTGGTAGTGGCTCTCTCCGCTGAGGTCGAGGTCGAAGAAGAGGGAGAGTTGCTGCTCCGATCGATTGAAGGTCAGGGTATTTCAAATGTTGTTGCGATGGTTCAGGTATGCTCGTAGTGGTTGGGTTTCTGTGGTGTTTGGTGCATCTGTTGACATTTGCCAGGGTCTCGATAAAATCAACCCTCCCAAGAAACGCCCTCAAGTGGCTACCTCCCTTAAATCTTTCATGAACCACTTCTTCCCGGCTGTCGACAAGGTTCTTTCCATCGACTCACGACAAGAATGCTCCAATGCTATTCGATCCCTCTGCACTGCAACACCCAAAGGAATCCGCTGGCGGGATGACCGGAGTTGGATGCTCATTGAGAATGTCAAGTGGCCGGAGACTACTTCTGATGAGGTGAATGATGTCGTTTTGACCGGTGTTGTACGGGGAAAGGGCTTAAAGGCAGACCGTTTGGCCCATCTCCCTGGTTGGGGTGACTTCCAGATCGATTCTATCACAGCTGCCCCACTAGCTGCCGCACGAGCAAAGCGCGACGACGATATGAATGTGGACGAAAGCGACGCCCCCCAAACCCTAGACGCTCCTAGTGCAGACCAGGATGACCTAGCAACTGTCGCTCCGGAGGAAATTGAGATGGATGATGAGATGGATTCTCTCGTGGATACAGAAAAGAAAGGAGTTCTTCTGGATGACCACCACTACTTCTCTGACGATGATTCACACATCCCAGCACCGCCGAAGAGACTGCCTAAGGGTACCTCCAAGTACCAGTCGGCTTGGTTCTTGGAGGATATGTCGGATTCGGGCTCTGACATTGAAGATGAAGACGAGGACCAGGAGATGGACATGGACATTTCCGGCGCGCCTGAAGACGGCGTGTTCCCAGACAACCACGATGCTATGACGGAAGGTGGACCTTCAGAGTACCCTCAATCAGAGATGTTCCTTGACCCGTCACCAGAGGATGAGGCAGATCAGTTGGAAGAGTACCGCTCTAGCCGCAGAAAAGAAGCGAATGAGGATCTCGAGTTCCCTGACGAAATTGAGTTGCATCCAAATGTGCTTGCCAGAGAACGCCTTGCTAGATACAGAGGAATGAAGAGTCTCAAGACTAGCCCTTGGGCAACATCTGAGGATCGACCTCATGAGCCCGAGGAGTGGCGACGACTCCTCCAGTTCGGTGACTACAAGGGAGCGAAGAATAGGATTCTAAGAGAAGCTCTCATCGGAGGCGTTAATCCTGGCACAAGGGTAGAAGTTCGTCTGCGAGCAATCCCCGCTTCCCTCCGAAATCGGCCACAACCTCTGTCCTTGTTCTCGCTACTCCGACATGAGCACAAGCACACCGTCGTTAACATCAACATGCACCTAAATGCTAACGTGGAAGAACCTCTTAAGTCTAAGGAAGAGCTTATCGTTCAGTACGGCCCCCGCCGTCTCGTCGTGAACCCGGTCTTCTCCGCGGCAGACAACACGCCTAACAACGTGCACAAATACGACCGCTTCCTCCACCCCGGCCGCAGCGCTATGGCTACTTGGATCGGCCCTATGACCTGGGGCTCTGTCCCTGTCCTCGTCTTCAAGAACAAGACGGTTGACGACCCAGAGGTCCTCGATTCTGCGGACTCAAATGCCGCAGAAAACTTCCAGATCAATCGCCTGGAGCTCATTGGAACGGGCACAGTCGTGGCCCCTGATCCATCGCGTGTCGTTGCCAAGCGAGCCATTATCACGGGCCACCCTTACAAGATCCACAAGAAGGTCGTCACCGTCCGCTACATGTTCTTCAACGCAGAGGATGTCCACTGGTTCAAGGCCTTGCAGTTGTGGACCAGACGCGGCCGCAGCGGATACATCAAGGAGAGTCTGGGTACCCATGGTTACTTCAAGTGTACCTTTGACGCCAAGCTCAACCCACAAGATTCTGTAGGGATTAGCTTGTACAAGAGGGTGTTCCCACGCAAGTCTCGCGCCTTGGAGGAGCTTGTGCATTAGCTGGATCGGGACGTTCCGCAGCGTTTTCGTTTCAATTTTCGGTCCTGTCGATGTGGAGGGTTAGATATGGGAATGACGATACTTGGCTTGAAAGATGATATGATACCATAAAATTGCACAGTATGATTTGATGAGTTTAAAATAGACGACGGGTTTTTTTCCCCCTTCTTTCTACATTTTCCAAGACGCTTCCTCTTTATTTGCCTACGTAAGTACAAAGTATGCTTATGCAATTTTCGAGCACAAATACATGGATCGTCCATAAAAATAATAGTACTTATCATGAGCCCGTTTAGCATCAAATATTCCCAAATATAAGAATGTTCTTTATACGATGGTTCACTGAAAGCAAGATACAATCGAAACGAGGGGTAAGGTATCTACGAGAAATCTTCTTCCTGGGATTCAATATTGTTCTTGATCCGGAGAAGGATAGTCGTCTTCCACTTATCCAACTTGCTAAGCTGATCGAACTGGAAGAGCTTATCGGCGAACGCCTCCTGGTCACCTTGTTCAACTGTCTCGACCAAATCCACGAGCAGCTGGTGCTCTCTTGTTGAGGCAAATGTGGTATCAATTTCACGGTAGTTCTCGAGGGCGCGGCTGGCAGCAACCAGGTCCTGAATCCGATTAGCTCTCTCGCCTTTTTTTTTTTTTTTTTTTTAACAAAAACTGGTGGTGTATGGGTTGGGAGCCTACATTGGTAGCAAGATGGCAGATTCCGGCTTTCAGGAGATAATCCTTCACAGACCACTTCATTAGTCCGTTGCTGATGGATGAACGGCCGATTCGCTCGTAGTGCTCGATCGCCTTGTAGTAATCGCCCTCGAGCGCGGCCAGGTCAGCCGCCTTGAGGTAATGCTTGTTCGCAAGTCTAGAAATATACCAATGAGCGCTCTGATAATATATGACCGTTCGCGATAGAGGTGGGACGGGAAACGTACGCCTCAGCATTATCAGCGTCAAACCACTCCGCGGTCTTCTCGTAAGCGTCCAGCGCCTTCTTGGTGTCTCCTAACTCCATCTCATATACCTCCGCAACGTACTGCTCCTGCGTGGCCGCTCGACGCAAGTTTCCTTTCAGCACATAGTGTTGAATAGCGGAAGAAAGTACTCGAACGGCATCCTCTGGGTCTGACTTGCGGTAGACCTTGAAGGCCTCCTGCAACGTGTTGGCGGCATCATCGGGTTCGTTCAGATTCTGGGTTTGGATAGAGGCAGCCTTTTCGAACGCTAAACCGGCTTCCTTGTCTGAAAAATACCAAAAAGGTCAATATTTCCGCGACGGTCTATTCCAGCTTGTATTCCCAGGAAGGTAAGTAAGTTGGCTTTGGAGGGGTCGCTTACTCTGCTTCTGAATTCGAAACGCATTCGCAGCCTGTGTGTACAAATCTGCAGCATTCTCGTATTTCTCTGTGCGGCCACCAAAGAAGCTGAAGCCACCGGAGGCGCCTTGCAACGCTTTATCGGCCTAGAAGACGTCGCGGGACGGTCAGCGATCGACATTCCTGTATAGGGCGGGGTGGAGGCAGAGAGAGGTGAAATGGACTTACTCTTTGCAGCAGAACACGTGGATCTTGGGCCATGTTCAATGTAAGGTGTCCGGTCAGCGATTCGGTTAAAGAGAAATAACTCGATAAATAAAGTTCGCGAGTGAAGTCTTTAGGGGACAAAAGACAGCACAAAAGAAGAGAGAGTGTTGTAGGAAGACAGGGAAGCTAAGCTGTTCAGACTATCATCACCTTAACCAAGATCCGCCGCTGCTCGGGAATGGAGGCGGTCGCCACTTTTTTTTCCTCTCCTTTGTCTTCTCTTGTAACGCCGTCAAGTCTCTCGCTTTCGAAATCAAACACTCATTCACGTAAAGATATTAATAATATCTTGACTCTGCTTTCTCTGTTTTTGCAATATTTACGATGCTTCGACACTCCAGTCCTCGAATTTATGGCGCACTGCTCTGTCGCAGCCAACCGGTCACCTATCAACGCTACTACTCTTCCTCGGGCGCAAAGGAGGAGGATATTGAATCAATGCTTTCGAAACCGACCTGGTCTGTTCGCTCGTTGCTCCCTGATGCAGCTACAAAACCACCCTCTCCATCAGTTACTCCAGCGCAACTTCACCATCTACTGCGTCTGTCCGCTCTTCCCCAACCCTCTAGCCAGGAGGAGGAACAGAGAATGCTGGGAACCCTCGAGTCTCAGATTCATTTCGTCAAGGAGATCCAAAAAGTTAATACTACGGGGGTTGAACCGCTGCAAAGCATTCGAGATGAGAGTCCAGAGGCGTCGAAGGAAAACACCATTGGACTGGAACAGCTAAAGGAGGCCATGTCTAAGGAACAAATAATCGGTCGGAACAAGAGAATTCAACGTGTTGTTGACTCTGGGAGAAATAACCGCCCTGACGGGGATGCATGGGACGGAAATGCCCTTGGGTATGCTTCAAAGACGAAGGGGAAATACTTCGTCGTTGATACGGCCAACTCATAAGGCCCTCAATGTCTGTTCTAGAGCAACAAAGGGATATATACAATTGCCCTCTTCTTCTCGTCCACAATCCTTTTGTGTTTTGTCTTTGCCCTTCCCTAAGGAATCCAACCATCCCTTACGTTACGTCACTCGGCCAAGCTCGCTGTAAACCGCTGAGTCATCCAGACCCTGCCTCACTTCTCCCTGATGAGCTCAACAAGTCGCTTCTTTCTCTCTCCTTCAACCGCCCATCGATGGTGGGCTTGTGTATTATTCTTCGCCATTTTACTTGGAGGTGATTTAATCGTTATTCTACCTTTCTCCCCTACACTCGATGTGGAAGAATTTCAAAGAGAAGCATGCCAGCACCTTCGGCTCGGCTCCACCGGCGGAGGCGAAGGGAAACCATGACCAGGACTTAACGACTATTCTCGACCGTTCACAACGAGCTGACCTCACAATTTTGATTGCTCAAATCACTATGCGTATGAGAGACTTGATTGAGGAGAGTTTTAAAGCTATTCCGGCACAAAATCAGGAATTCCTACCAACCCAACTTATAGACTTTGATGACAAAGACAACAAAGATCATGCCCTATCTTCAGATGCAAAGGAGGAAGAGGTGTCCAAAGAGGAAGAAACTCGATCAGAGTATGTTCCGACCGCCGAAGACGTCAAAGCTGAAGCTAGCGCCCTCACTCAATTTGACGATTGGAAAGACTCTGTCCTTCTTCGGGTAGGAGAAGTCGTCAATCGGGAAGAAGAGAGTCAGGGCCAGGAGGCAGAGAATTCGAGTTCACAAGATACACAAAAGTCCGAAAGCCCACATGAGGACGAGGATGACCGCACCTGGAATCGACTTGCTGAAATATATCCACCTTTGGAGACACCACTAATAAAGCTTCCCAAAGCAAAAAGACTCTTGATACTTCATTCACTGCTTCTTTTGCTGCTCAGTTTGGAGCACTACCGCGCCCACTCCCGTGTTTTGATGTTGTACGCTGCGTCTAGCTTGGGCGTGGGAATCAAAACTCTCAACCAGGATGAAGTTAAGATAGCACGAGGATTACTTGATACAGCTCTTCAACTTGATGCGAACTCGGACGACGCTCAAAATCAAGGAAGAGAGCGTGACTCCTCCCGAAAATGGAAAGTTGGCATAGCATCCGTGGCTGGTGCTGTCCTGATTGGCGTTACCGGTGGACTTGCTGCGCCTCTGATTGCAGCCGGCCTGGGGACAGTTATGGGTGGATTGGGACTTGGAGCTACAGCTGCAGCTGGTTATCTCGGAGCTCTTGCTGGCAGCGGGGTCATCGTTGGTGGCCTCTTTGGCGCCTATGGCGGTAGGATGACCGGACGCATGGTGGATAAATACGCCCGTGAGGTGGATGATTTTGCGTTTTTGCCCATCCACGGGTCTAGACAGAGACATGTTGATGAGAAGGAAGCAGCTAAGCAGGATCACCGCCTTCGTGTCACGATCACCATCACTGGTTGGCTCACCGAGGAAGACAATTTCGTGGTCCCGTGGCGTGTCATCGGCCCCGATTCAGAGGTCTTCGGCCTCCGCTGGGAAACAAACCCATTAATGGACCTTGGAAATGCAATCGATTACCTAGTCACAAGCGCTGCTTGGTCTGCAGGTGGGCAAGTTTTGTCCAAAACGATATTCGCGGGTCTTCTCAACGCTATGATCTTACCTCTTGGTCTTCTTAAGCTTGCTCGTGTGGCCGACAATCCTTTTAGTATCGCCAAGGCACGCGCGGACAAAGCTGGCGAGGTTCTTGCCGATGCCTTGATAAGTAAGGTACAAGGAGAGCGAGCTGTGACCCTTATTGGGTATTCACTGGGTTCTCGAGTTATTTTCTCGTGCCTGCAGAGCTTAGCCAAGAGGCAAGCTTACGGATTGGTCGAATCGGCGATTCTCATGGGATCCCCGATCCCATCTGATACTCTGCATTGGCGTCGAATGCGGCGTGTCGTGAGTGGACGGCTAGTCAATGCCTACTCGGAAAACGATGCCGTGCTTGCCTTCTTGTACCGAACGAGCAGCCTTCAGCTTGGAGTTGCTGGGCTTCAACCTATCAAGAATGTCCCAGGCGTTGAAAACCTCGACGTCAGTGAAATCATAAGTGGCCATCTCCGCTACCAGTTCCTGGTTGGGCGGATTCTTCGAATGGTGGGGTTGGAAAGCATCAATTCCCGAGAACTTGCGCGAGAGGAGGCTGCATTGGCAGTAAAGGACCGGAAACAGGAGCAGCAACGCATCCAGAACGAGCGTCGGGCGGGTGTTGAAGGAGATAGTGAAGCAGCACGTCGGAAGTTAGCAAGTGGCGAACTCGCCGATAGTGATGAGGCTGGGATGCCAAAGCAGGTGCAGGAAAGCACAGAAGAGAATCAGCATCGTATACCACGCCGTCCGGTACCGTCTAGGATCTCTCAGGAAGAGACCAAGGAACAGGCACCGTCACGTACTACTTGATACTCTTGTTGTTTTACCTTAGGTAAGCCATGACGAATTTATCAGCGTCTGATTGGTCAAGCCACGATCGCTTCTTCTTTCCTATATTGGTTAGACTGTGTGTGAATTTCTGCGGCATTTAATTATCCGAGGATAGTTCATGTCACATGATAATTTCCATCTAATAAATGAAACAATAGGACTTTGAATCTATCTGGTTGGGTGCAATCTACCTGTCCAGGAGACTATCCCATGTATGTATATATGACTTGTTTCAGCACAGTTGTAAGTGATTATTTAGTAAGCTAGGGTTTAACAGCTATCCATGGATAGCTAGGGTTATGCCCATGTAAGGAGAAATTTCGTATGTTTGGTAGAGCTGAAACATGGAAGTATATCATACCATAATATGCACAAATCAGCTCGTCTTTTGCCTGATATTATCATGGATTATCACACATTCCTCGGCTGGTACTGCCTTCCCACGCTTTGCCTCTTGGTTCTAGGCTCGGATATCAAAATGAGATGGCACCACGCAGCCTTAAGAAAGTATAATAGATTGACTTTTCTTCCGAAGACCCTGACCCCATTCAAAAGCCATGGTTAACTATTAGTTAACTAAGCGTACAGGGATTGATTTCACATTGGGCAGAGGGAAGAAAAGGGTTTTTTTTTTTTCTTGAATCGTTTATAAAGAGTGTACTCCGTAGGACCTCTATTTATTGCTCTAGTGGTTTTTAGTATTTAATCAAGGTTCCCGTTCCGATGGGACTGTGTTTTAACAATTTGTTCGAAAGTCAATAGAAACGCTACAGGATATCTGCAATGGATACATTACAGATCATCGGCCTCGTGATATTCTCTATTGTTCTGGTAAGTCCCAGTGAGCTGTGATTTTTGTTAACCCCCCCCCCCCTTAAATGAGTGCTAGCTACTAATTTCTATCCCTTATTATGTAGATATGCGTAAAACTCCACCAGATTATACTTTCTATATTTCACACCAAGAAACTCCTGCAAGATGGATACAACAAGGTAGCCCAGCTTTTGATCAGCATCTATGGGCAGTCAGTGTACTAATAGTAGCGAATAGTTCTCCAAGCAGTCGTTATTATTTAGCCTTCCCATGCTCAACGGACCCAGCGTAATGGTATCGTCCGCAGATATCAAAACATTAGTAGGCTCGCAAGATAGCAAACTGGATGTTGTTTCAGCCCACTTTGATCTCTTGGAATCTGACTATATGTTACTGGATGCACAAATTCGGGAATCCCATTTCCATGAGGAAGTGGTCCGAGGGCCTTTCTCAAAACGACTGGGGACATCGGCACTGCTCATGTGGAAAGAGATTCAGCAGTCAGTGGACCAGGTTTTTGGGTCTCAGCCAGGGACGTTGGAAACGCTTAGGGTCCATGATAGTATATGCCAAGTGGTTGCTCGTGTGGCTAGCTCTCAGCTTGTTGGGGAAAAGTTGTGTTTGTGACTCTCTCTCTCTCTCTCTCTCTCTCTCTCTCTCTCTCTCTCTCTCTCTCTCTCTCTCTTTATCTGGCTATAAACAACTCTGACAGCATCTGAGATACTAGGTCACGATGAGAGATACCTCGAGAGTATAATTGGTTTCTCCAGGGCAGTTGCCATGGGTTCCTTTGTCATAAAGCTGTTCCCACCTTTTCTAAGGCCGTGTGTTCTCCTATTCCTCTCTCTTCTATCATTCGGGATCATTAATAGACTATGATTTTCAGTCTTATAGGCCGCGTGGTCTCGATTCCAAACCACTGGTATTATCGAAAGATAGCCCCTCGGGTTTTGCGTCTAATCAGCAATAAAATACTACTTGCGCAGAATGGGGACATGGCGTCCAAAGATCCGGTAAGCCCTCTAGATGCCCTGCAGTCTCTAGTAGTCTTAACAGATGTCAGAGCGACTACCTCGATTACCAAATTGAACATTCACTCAACTCAAAAGACACCATTGAGCAAACACCACGTCAGATTTCGCTTCGATTAATGGTTCTGAACTTCGCCACCATCTTCCCTGCATCTGCAATGATGACGAACGTGCTTCTAGACCTTGCAAGCCAGGATCGAGGTGCATCGTATATCCCTTCCCTCAGGGAGGAGATCCACCGCGTCGGCGCAATAGAAAACCAAGTGTGGAATGAAAGAGCACTCGACAAACTGCACAGAATGGACGGTGTTATCAAGGAGAGTTTCCGGATGTGTGGCCCTCTGTGCTATGCACTTCCACGAAAAGTGAGTGTTTTATTCGGCAACCCTACTCCTACTAATCAGATAGTAATGTGGAAAATTAGGTTCAGTCGCCAGAAGGGCTGCGACTTGAGAACAACTCAAAGCTCCCTCGGGGAACTCTTGTAGGAGTTCCGATGTATTCCATTCACCATGATCCGTCTATATACCCATCGCCGCACACGTATGACGCTTCGCGCTTCTGTCCGGATACGACAGATCAAGATCTCAATAAAGGCTGTCAAAAACCGACATCAACCAACTGCGACCATTATCTGGTATTTGGAAAGGGGAAGCATGCATGGTAATTTTTTTTTTTTTTTTTTCAAGTTGATAGATACGAGCATTGAGGTTGTTGTTAACTGAGCTTTAGTCCTGGACGATTTTTTGCGACCAACATGATAAAGCTGGTCTTGGTCTATCTGCTATCGAACTATGAGATCGGCCTGGTTGAGGAACGACCTAGTAATCAATGGATAGGAGGAGCTATCTTACCACCACTCACAGCCAGCCTAACGTTCACAAGGCTAGCTTGGGGGGGGGGGGGGGGGGGGGGGTAGGGTTTGAATGACCGCCTGTAGGGTTTCCTGTGTTGATTATATTTGATTTATTCGTGGGGAAGGTTACGGTATGCAGGCGCTGGTAATTAACATAAGGCTTAAGCTGCCGGGCTTAGGAATATGGGGTTGGCCAAAAGGTGACTGTCCCGGTGTTCTATCCGATATACTACATATATAATATTAATTATTAGATCCACCGGATCATATACCATACAAAGTCTGATATCATTACCTTTCCTGGAACTATAATGGCCTCATCCAGAACAGTAGGATTAGACACAAACTTGGAACTAGATTGGACAGGAAATAGAGGCACGAGTAAAGTATCACAAGCTTTGGATCTGTCCTTGTAAGGGATCAACAAGGTTCATAGTTAGACGAGGCATAATGAAAGCGTTAGGTTCCTGGGGCGGACCATGTTGAATTAACCACAAGTATGCTATCATTGTTGCGGACATGACTTTATATATACGTGATCAACAACATAAAAAATTAAAACCAGCCAAACATTAGGCCCAAAGTTACGCTCAGAATTATCCTGTCAAGAATAACTATGATTTATTTTCTACATATTTTCTACCAAGAATGTATATTCTTTCGCTACACTAAAGATTTGTGGCAAAGCAGCTTATGATGTAGTACATAGTTACGGCCTGAACCCTTTTAAAACCATGATCATTATCTGTAAATCAGTCCTGAGTCATAGTTTCAAATTTGGATTGTCCATTCAATCACCTCAGCATGTTAGCTCAGGGGAAGAGCGCCGGGCTCATAACCCGGAGGTCCCTGGATCGAAACCAGGACATGCTAAGACATTTATTTTTTATTTTTTTATTTTTTTTTCTAACTATATGTTATCAACAAGATAAATTCATAGTCAGACTTAAAGTGTTTATTTTGTTTAGCCTGCTACCTGTTGCCTTCTACTATCTATGACTCAACTGGGTTCCTCACAATTTAAATATGTTAACAGGCTGTGAGCCAGGCAAGGAAGACATTCCCTTCAGCCGAAATATGCCCAAAATATATCTTCGCTGTTCCTACCAGGACACATGGTCTAATACTTAAAGTTTGACAGGGTTCGATTTCTTATATTGTTGATCACATAACTATACTTATCCTGTCGAATAATCCGGTAGCTGTTATTTCTGCGAGCAGTACGCAGCTTCTGCATCCAGATAAACTGCCACCGCAATACCCTGTATCGAGTCCCATCCCATTCCCAGTTGGCTTATATGTCTTGCTAACACACCTAGTCACAAGGATACAATGCCAAGCAGATAGCCACTTACAACAAGACCATGTTAGATATCACAATGGCTCTTCACATCCAGGCCTGTAATAAATGGGCTGGCTCGAGCTCGCGATGCTGCTCTCAAGTTTAACTCCAGGAACGGGGAAAGTTGTTGTCGTACTACTCGAGGCTAATACGACGATTGGCCTTCTCACTAAACCGAGTGATACTAATCGATTCTGGCCAACCCTGTGTGGTTCACTGTTTTTTTTTTTTTCTCTACCAGTCAAAGTTTTTCTGTCCGAACCCAAGGTGATTGAACTTATTCGTTATTAAATCGTCCAATCCATTCAAGCATATATTGACCAGTGTCGTACACACTAGATAACTAGATATAGGGTGTCCTGGAAGTTTCCAACATAGGTAGTACGTATAAGTTCCATTCGACAGGTATTTTCTTTCCATGAGAGGCCGCAAAAGATAGAGCCAGTCGCGTCTCTTGTCTTACTTCCCAAAATACTCCAATTTGTTGGATAGTGTAGAGCCACCTGTTGATCATACCCTTCCCCGTAATGACTACCCGTGTAGTATATGCCTGCCATTTGCTAGATCGAATCGATTACTCTACTATCAATACAGCTAGGTAGGGGTCGTAAAAGTACCTCGTACGTGTGGGAACTTCGCTAAGCACGTGGGAATGTCCATAGTGCTCAACCATCTTCATCTTGTTATTAGACAGTAGCGAGTAGTAGACAAGGCGAATTGAGAGACAGCTTCTTGGAACGGAGTCTGAAGCAAACTTTTACTATTCAAGTGGAATCCCAGGTATTCAGCTGCAGAGAAACAAACCATCTCGCGTGACCAATTCCTTCTGTATTTGGAAGGGCAATGTAATGTTCGCCGCATTATGCCTGTTGCAGTATAGTTTCCGGGCAGGTTTATTCCTGAGCCTCCTACTTTAGGTTTAGTGTATGTATGATCCACGCACGCTATTGATATCAAAATTCCCCAGAACCATTTGCACAAAGAAGCCTTTCAAGAGTTCAAATAACGGAAGCATTTCTCACCAATAGAAGCATGTTAGCTCAGGGGAAGAGCGCCGGGCTCATAACCCGGAGGTCCCTGGATCGAAACCAGGACATGCTATGGCATTCATTACTTTTTTCTTTTTGCCTACGTAACAATGTCTTCTCTTCTATTGTTGGAGTTTGTCCTATGCAAGACTGTGAAGGTCAAAATGAACAAGTTTTTTTTATGTTTTGGGCATGGATAGATTGGATTTTGCTCTACTGTGGGACCAGGGTGAGGTTTCTGGCAATCTTTTGTGCTATACTATTTTTGGATAATTTATTATTATGTTGACCTCGGCTAGCCCTAAGCCCTATTTTGCTTATGGTTCGCTGTCAGGGCATTTGAAGTATAGTATCTAAGTAGAGAAGATAGAAGATGTGGGTGTCTATAAGTTCTCCCTAATAATCTCTATGCAGAGTTTGGGTTTTTATACCCTACAGCCTTCCAGAGTGAAAACTTTGCTGTTCAGTCTATCCAAATAACCAGCATACCTTTCACTCCGTAGGCCAAGCATTCTACATAGAGCTATTATTGACGGATGTTCCATCAAGTGCTTTTAATTTATTATGATTTTCTGTGTTCTTAGTATGATGCATATTAATCCCATTGTCTGACTATTAAGAGATGAAGAAATATTGACTGATATTTAATTTCATAGCATGGTATTAGTGAGCTAGGGAAGTATTCCCATATCCTCCAGAAAGCCACAAAGGCTTTCTCCTTCTATAGACCAAACCTATATATACCTTGATCTTTGTTGAGCCAAAGATGGAATTTCTCTTCGTTTGACTTCAAACCAGGTAACTCGGCATACTTTCCACCTAAATAGTGGCCTTCTTCCACAAGGTCCCTTCTTGGCCAGGCCGTGCGATCCGCTGCATACTCCATACATCCCATCGTCTATTATATATACTCTATTGCGTCTGTATGGTGGGTAAATAACTTCGAAAAAGGCTAAGTGGTTAAACACCATTTAGGCATTGAAAACGGCACTTGGCTCTAGGTTGGTGAGGTTGAGCAACATATGTTAGAAGAAAAACTATGTACCCACAAATACCTGAAAACACAGAATTGGAAGGCACAGAATAAAATAAAAGAGATTAGAGTAGACATGAGAGAGATAGTAACTAGGTGATGTATCACTCTAAGTGAGGAGTGAAAAAAAGATGTGACTTAGCATGTCCTGGTTTCGATCCAGGGACCTCCGGGTTATGAGCCCGGCGCTCTTCCCCTGAGCTAACATGCTGATTGGATATTTAGATCCCCCGTCTTTGGCTATAAGTACAAGTGATAACAATAGTGACATTAATCTCTGAGGGACATTGTGTAGAAAAAGCTTGGAACTCAAAAACTTGTAATTAAGCTTTATTACTTGAATACTGGTGCAATGGGATTACCTAGCCTTTGTGCATTAGTATTTATGGTACTTTAAAAAAAAATACAATGTGTTACAAGTCAATGGAGCCTTGTGGTCCTCCTCACATGTACTCTGCTTCCGTGCGGATACTTCCAAGCTTATTTAATGCTGCCTGGTATGGTTGGTATGTCTGTATATCTTCCTCTACTAGTACTGATATTTTTAGGCCTGAGATAAAAAGCCTAGATACCCTAGATAGTTTGATCATTCACCGCAGATATGAGACGGGTTGCTTAGGGCTTTTAAAGACTGTGAACTTGTAGCTTACTACAAGAATAGAATCATGTGAATATAGCAATGAAAGAAAACAAGGCATAACAAGGTAATATATGAGGTATTCTAAATATACCTAGGTACATTACTAATGAAGGTTTCTGGCCAATAATTTCATATGCATGCTTATGTTTGTGTTGAAAATACCCAAAGAGAGGGGGGGGCAAAAGAGATGTGAATGAAGATAAATATAGGACCCATGAAAATATATACAGTTTTCAAGAATACTATATATGGCTAGGCAAGATAGGCCTGTGTCTGGTTTATTTTATGTGAGGTATCTGGTTGGTGTAGTTTGATAATTAGCTCCAAAATTTTAACACATCGCTTGTTATATTTAAGTATAAGAATATGCCCGTGCTTCTTTGAGCCCCGGGATTGCTGATTGAAGTAATATATAGCATCTAAGTCTTCATGGCCAAGTATATCATTCCGAGGTCATGTGTCTATTAAATACAACAATGCAGAGTTGCCTGCAGCAATTAATCGAAGGCCCACTTGATTATTCGTTAACAAGGGCTGGATTGCCATATTTTAGTATATCTCGGTGTCGGTAAGAATCGACTTCCCCGCTGACGATCACCACTCTGTCTGAGTCAGGTGTAAGATAAAAGAGCACGGAATGACCAGATCCGGTTTCTGGATTATTTATAACATAAGATTCTAGGAGCTGTATGTCTCATCCAAAATCCAAAGAGTAGTATTGACTGACTCCTCTAGTGATTTGATCCTACGGTATTTCTGATCCATCGTCAGCCGATGCGAAGAACTTGAGGGTTCCCAGCGAATGTCTCACTTGTAAGCTGCACTTCCAAGCAAGTCGACTCCTACAATTGATCCAGTTTCTCAACTGGAGGATGCAACTCCGCTCGTATTCCTCTTCTTTCCCCTGTTTCCATTGGGAACCTCCGGGGCTACGAGGGAATTAGATGCGTGGGGTTGTATCGTGGAAGTCATACCATGCCCACCTGCAGAATCCCCGCCACGGTCAGTTTGCCATGAAAGGATTCATGAGGCAATAATTCCACAAACCGAACAAGGAGCAAGTGCGAAGTGCGCAGAGTATTGCAAGTCAGAGGTCTACAACCCAAGAATATAAATACCCCTCACCATCATCCTACTCCCCGGTTACTTCTCATCAACACAAGCGTCCTCCCTCAACCCAACAAACAAAAACCCACCTGCTTGAAGAAAAACAAAGCGCCAAACAAACATCCACAATGAAGTTTACTGCCGTCCTTTCCCTCCTCCCTCTTCTCCTCACCTCCTCCCTCGCCGCTCCCGTCGAGGTTGAGATCGAGGAGCGTGCCGCAGCCGCAGCCTCCACCGTCTCGTGGGACGCCAAATTCGACGTCGCAGGCAGCTCGATGACAACCGTTGCCTGCTCCGACGGTACGAACGGTCTCATGACAAAGGGGTACAGCACCTTTGGCTCGCTGCCTAGCTTCCCACGCATCGGAGGCGCCCCTACCATTCCCGGCTGGAACAGCCCGCAGTGCGGGGCCTGTTACAGTCTAGAATACAATGGCCGGTCTATCTACATCACTGCGATTGATGCCGCACCGGGTGGCTTCAATATCGGCATGACAGCCATGAATACCCTGACCAATGGACAGGCGGAGGCCCTGGGTAGGGTTCCAGTAACTTATACCCAAGTGGACCGGAGCTTGTGTGGCTTTTAAAAAAAAAAAAAAAAAGGCAACCTTTAAGCAACTAATTATGATGATTAAATGATGAACCGATGATCTTGGATTTGGAGATGATTGTCTATGATCACTTATATGATCACTTCGCGGGATGAGCTTGAAGTGGATCCATCCCCCGCCTATGTTGATCTATTTCCTGGCTGCATTGATAGTTTGCAGGGTTGGTTTGAATGGGGGGTTTTTCGCCCCGTGCTTTTGTTCGGTCCTTTTGCCCTATAGAGTTAATCATGGCTCTCATTTTACAAGTACTATGTAATTTGCTCAATGAATATGTTATGTTCTTTTTATATATTTTGCGACATATTAGGTGGTTGCGTAAGGGTCTGAAGCATAAAGTACTGAACTTTGGGTAAAGATATATAGCGCAGTTGAGAAGGACTTGCTTGATTCTATTAGGCAGGCTAAAGGATATTCGATTTGGTTTCATGAGGTGCGTTAATGCGGACCTTAACGAGTAGGGAATAGCAAGCAAAGGGCCTCATAACCCATATTTAGAGACTGTGCAGATTCTACTCAGAGGCTTGGCGAAATTCCTGGTGATTACCCGGTACGTAGCGTGTTTGATAAAAAAAAAAAAAATTTCTTTTATAGGAATACTGGATTCATTGGGACTCATGGGTTGAATTGTTGATAATATGAGAAGCGGAAAGATCTCTATTTGGTTCGTCTATTGTGCTGTACATTCCTCTATTTTGGTTTCTTTGATCAGTAAACCTATTAGGACAAAACTTCTAGCATCTCCTCTACCCGTCCAAACTTGTCACGGACCTTGCCCTTCTGTAGGCCCCGTTCTCGCTCCGCGCGGTCAATGCGTTGCCAATCCTCCCAGGTCGTAGCTTGGAGACCTCGCTTTTCTGCTTCAGGTTGGACACCCTCCCAGCCAAGGCCTGTGCTGTAGCTAGGGGAGTTTAACCAGGTGCCTCGGTTAGGTCTTTCCGCCAGATCCGTAGCTATCGCTTCAGCAGTGCTGAATGCATCTGTCATTGTTGTGGCGATTACGCCCGTTGGCCCGCGCTTGACCCATCCAGCACAGTAAAGTCCTGGTAAATGAGAGATCAGGGACCCATCTGGAAGTGTTTCGCTGGGTCCTGTGCTCCAACCGCCGGTCACACGTCCAAAACCATCATTCGGAATTACCCCGCGGCTACTGTCAAACTGAATACCTAGATCCTCTAATCCGGACAATGGGAGTGATTTATAGCCGACACTGCGGAAAAATGTGTTTGCAGGGATATCGATCTGAGCTCGCTTGCCGCTGGAGAGATACTTGGGCGTAACCTTGGCACTTGGAATGAAAGGGTTCGCAGGATCTAGTTGATTTCGGGAAAATTGGACGTGGGACAGGCGGTGCGGGAAGACAGGGGACCAATTGAGGCATTCCGGTGAGAGAAGGAAATCCAAAGACCACGATTTTGTAGCTGTGGCAGGGTCATTCGTAGAACCTTTCGCGAGAAGTTGGATGAGCCTTTTCTGGGCCCTGGGAAGGGCCGCGATGACTTCCTCCGGGGGAAACAAGTCTTTGGGTATCGGGTCAAATGAAACAGACGGAAGCTGCAGAAGTTCTCGGACTTCCTTGATCGTAAATGCTGCCTATGATGAAAACCATCAGAATCAACCCTCAAAAGGACCAACGTGGGGGCATACCTGCAGAGGCCCTCGACGGCCAACGACTCTAACCCGCTTGATCTTGCTCTTGGAGAGCTCCTCCAGCGCATGATCTGCAATATCAGTTTGGCGAAGACGGTCCACATCCGATAACAATATCCGAGCAACATCTAGGGCCACATTGCCTTGACCGATAATCACCGCGTTTTCACCGGTGGTTAAATCCGGAGCTAAATCCCGGTGCTCGGGAAGCCCATTATACCATCCGACAAACTCCCTGGCAGAGTAGACATTCCGCAGTGCGTTCTCCCCTGGAATCCCTAGCTCCTTGTCCTTCGGGGCCCCGTATGCGAATAGAATGGCGTCGTAATGAGGCTTGAGGATTTGAAGTGGCAGGCTGTCACCTAGCTCAATGTTTCCGATAAAGTTGAACCGTGGGGACTCCGCAACTTCTGTAAACTTCTCTTCGCAGTTCTGCGACATTACGGTTAGTCACAAACATGGATCATAAGCTAGACTTCCTTTAAAGCCTCCAATTGTAGTTAGGCATACCTTAACCTCCGGGTGATCAGGAGCAACACCATACCTCGCAAGGCCAAATGGCACAGGTAGCTTCTCATACATATCTACCATGGCATCTTCCACTTTAGCCAGCAGACGGTATGCTGCGTAAAACCCCGCCGGCCCTGAGCCTACAATGGCTACTCGGAATGGCCGAGTGCGCTGGGCGATCTGTGTGTTATGTCGGCGTTGCCATGCGAATTGTGAAAGAATTTGACGATGGGAGCGACGTAGAGGCTGGTGGGAAACCCAAGAAGTGCATTGTGCACAGATGTAAGGCGCCCGCTGGACATTCATCTCGTCCAGGATGTAATTTGGTGTTCGTGCAGGAGCAGGAAATTATGAATAGTTAACTAGTTAACTAAATCAAAGTTCGATTAATAATAATACAGTGACTCAAAGTATGACGCGTGCCACGTGATCTTATCGAATTGGTTGCTGGGCCGACAATCATTGCTGAGATTTCGATCTATGATCTCTGAGAGAGAGAGTGGGTTCTAAATAATAATAATACTTTATAGATACGTATACAGGCTGATAGAGAAGTCTGGCATACACTTGATGAGAGGGTGCTTGAGAATCTTTATCAAACTATACCTCATCAAGTGCAGACAATCCTCGAAGACGGGATGGTTGGGTGCTCTAGGTACGGATACTCTGTACGGAGTACGGAGCACAGCGACATCTTATTATAGGGCCAAGTGGAGTATGGTCATGTGAACTGCATTATGTCAGCAAATAGACAAATGCCACGTGATGTGCCAACTGGTTGCCGCGCCGACAATCAGGTGTTGACATTTCGGGTAATCAAATGTACGGCTGGGGGAGTACAGTGCATACATCTATCTGACGTCCCCAGGTGCGTTTGGTAAGATGCCTGAATGCATGCACGAGGTGCTGTCAAGAAATCAATAACTTTACCTCCCTATTCTCTCGTTTCTGGTCGTGCCGCCATCGTTGACTTTGAATTGTTTCCGACACTGAGCATTCCACCCCACTCTTTCTTCACCTTGAACAACACCCTGCCCACATTCCTCTCCTTCCCCCGCTTCCCGCGTGGGTGAGGGCTTCAATCCATTCCTCGGAGCTTCACACACCACGGTGATTATGGGGAATTCATCTCCTCCATTCCTTTACAGCCGTCCAGAAGCCTACCGCTTCAAGGGTCCAACTGACCGGCCCTTCAACCCTAAGGCTGTCACAAAGGCGAGCTGGACTCGACCAGTGCCGAAGCCAAAGCCCGATGGGCCACTGATCAATTTCAACCGACACCCAGACTCCGTATGCCGCAGCACTTTCATGTTCAATAATACCTTATAGAAGAAGACCTGTGCTAACGCGCTTGATCTAGTATTCCAATATCCCCGATGGAAAATCGCGCTGGACTCCAATGGGCCCAAGGACAAGGACAAAGGTATTCTGGGGGCGAAAGATACAGCTCGGATTGCGTGTTCTTGCGCTCCTTGGTGCCCTGGGTTCGTTATTCTGTGCGATCGTGATTAAAAATGTGCCATCCAGAATAATCTGGATTGTTCGAGCCGGCGTAAGTCATTCTTCTGAGGTATCTTTTTATTCGCTGTCATATTGACACTCTGTCCAGCCCTCGGTAGCAATTCTTCACACAATTTATGCCATTTATCACCTACGTCGATCCCCAGTTACTCGGCCTCCGGGCTCACAAGCCAGTTATATGATTTTTGCAGCAAGTCTAGACCTCGGCTTGGTACCGTTCTACGTTTTCGCAGCGTACCTGGGATACGAACAGTATACATCAAGCGCTTACAGCTGGGAAACACTCCTGAGCTCTGATGTTGATGTGATAACTAAGATTGCACAGTCAACATTTTACCTCAGCGTGATTAATGGAGGCCTTCACTTGGTGTCTCTTGTGATTTCTGGTTTCTTGTTTAATATTTTCCGTCAGATTACCAAACTTCCCCCAGATCTGAACCCCCTGGAAGACAACTTAACCGCTCGCCCCCATAAGCGAACGAAGTCAGAAATTGCAGAGAAACATACCAGTAGCTCAACACTGGATTCAACTACCCCTTCAATGGCAGAGCCGCTGATTGGACCCCCTCGTACAGTTCCGTTCATGCACACTCGAGCACAGTCGTCAGAGGATAATTCGGCGCGTTTCTCCACTGACATTTCTAATGAGCTCAGAAACTCGCAAACATCTATTCCGCAGATGCCATTCACTCACCGAGCAGACACCCTTGAGGATATGGACTACGACATACCAATGCATGACACCGATGTTGTCACTCGCCCTACCTCGTCAATTCCTCGCACCCCGGTGCGAGAGCCATCTCCTGAACTACCAAGCCGATCCCAATGCGTCAGTCCTGCATCAGAAAATTGGGTTGCTTACTCGTCTCGATCCACTACTCCAGTACAAGACGCTCAAAATGAAGCATCTCCTGCTCGGGAACCCTCTTCTGTTTACAGTCGAGCTGAAACTCCTGCGTCGACAAATGGCGTCGTTGACTGGATGACCCTTGCTCAGCGCTACGAATGGGAGATTAGTGAACCTATATCTGAAGATATTCGTGGCGAGTACGAGTCTCTTGCTATGCACGAGTTCTATGGAAACGATGACGATGCTCATAATGTACGGAAGAGTGGATTATACGACCATGATGAACATGATATCGGCGATAACCGTATCCAAATATATCATGATCATGTCGATAGTGATGCCGAGTCAGACACCAATACCCTTAGGGTTAATCCCTTGGGACTGAACCCACCAACGCCACAGCCAGTCCTCAACGTTGTTGACGATACCAAAAAGTCTCCTAACCGTATGATTCTGAGCGATATTCCTAACCTGTTCCCTACACCATCACTCAGAGTACCTCCTCTTGACAGCCCTGCTAAAAGTGGCCGCTTTTATGGTGATCTCGACGGAAACTCAGGACTCAACGTTACCCGAGCTGTGAGCGGGCCTGAGGAATCAAAACCAGGACGGAAAAAGAGCAAGTTGATGAAGCGAAAGAGCCTGAAACAGAACACTTATGGTGCTCTAAAGCAACAGGAAGACGAGGATATCAAGGAGAAAGCCTACGACGCAGTCGAGCCTGTCGATCCCGCAGTAACAGAGAGAGACCGCACGGGCCGCGTTATCAGTAACTCGGGAGCGGACTTCAATCGCCCTGTGAGTTCTGACTCATCATTATCGTACGGAAACTATATTGCTGGGCTGGGAGTTGGTCGAAGACGAGACGTGAGTGGGAAAATGGCGGAGGAAGGTCGCGGTGGTATCAGCAAGTCCGGGAATGATGCTTCTATTCCTATTCGGGCTGCTGGCTGGGCGCGGTTCGCTGGGCTATGATGTCGATGTACTCTAGCCTGAATTTTTGGGAATAAGCGAATTTCAACTCGAAAAGAATAGCTGAAGGGTTATTTTTTTTTTTCGGGCAAACTTTGCATAATGTGATATGGAAATAATATGCTTGGATGAAGGACAAGATTTTCATGAGCTTGGATGGGATTTCATTGTGATACTTACTTATCATCTGTACTTATTGCCGGCGTAGATTAGGATAAATAGTCTAGGAATCAATACAAATGAACACTCTATTGTTATTCCGTCAATGCGTAATGTTGATCTGTAATATTATAGTACACAAATTAGACTACGACGGTACCCCTTCATACTCCCATCCCTGAATGACACGCCTATTCCTCCTCGAGTTTCGTCGGTTGGCGTTGCATTTTACAAACAAGGTCAAAGCAAATATGATCAAAATCACGATACCTGCAATGGCAGAGACTATGACTGTCCGTCTTTCAAGTTTCTGGGGGTTTGCACGGTATGGACAGATAGCTTCGGGGCCCCCGGATACCCAGCACGTATGGATATCGATGGAGTTGAAATCGATCCAAACCTCGTGTTTGAGAGGGTCTGAAGATGATGGGTCAATTACGTCGCTAGGCCGAGAGAGAAGATGACGGTAAAGATAAGTGTTTTCGAGGCCGGTGCGGGGCACAGAGAACGGGGCGGAATCTCCGCAGCCGTTGGTGTAGGCATCCGCGTAAGAATATGTGTTTGAGGAGAGTGTCCATGTGAATGGCATGTTATTGACGCGACAGGCTGAGTGGCGGGCTTCCGTACAGTTTGCACTGCGCCAGCGGCCCATACTGGAAAGGTCCATGACGGCACATCGCTCGTTTGTATCTACATCTGTTGATGGAGTTTGGGGTTGTCCGGCCGCCCACGCCCAGGAGGAAGATAGCGAGACGTTGCGGTACGCGTCAGACGATTCATCAGCCGTTTCGCTAAACAAGGTATTGTTGAGGGAGGGAGTTAGCCCGCAGGCCGTCATATTGGCGGCCATATTGGATAAATAGCGAAGTGTTTGATCATTGCTGAGGTTACTGGGAACTGAAATCTGGCTTGATATTGCCCAAGATCCGTTGACCTGGGATATATCAGTAGCATCAGGGCTATATAAGCAGCCCGAGGCCAATCCCCCGTCGCTCGCAAGAGAAACAGGCATTGTGGAAGTTAAATAGCCTGGAGGGAATATAACTTCGTTCTCTGCTGAGAGGTTGTAGCCACCAAGTTGTGGGTCAACAGATCCATATTCAACAAGCATCCGTCGCTGTGCTGCTAGTTGTAGATATTTTGTGCTGGGCCATCCATTCGGCGTTCTTTGCACGCCTGATGAATCCTCTTCGATAGTGAAATACTCAACAATAGGCCTGTACCTGGGTTCTACTTCATACCATGACCCGTTCAGGTTTTGGCGTTCGGAATATAGACGCGAAGGTGTATAGATGTAGGAACCAAGCTTGTTTCGAATCATATTACTCAGAATATCGGATCTAGTGGGAAGTTGATCCTCGGCTACTGCGGATGCTGGCTGATTAATAGCTGTGGCACTAGTGGCAGCATGGAGATTGAAGGACAGGCATCTAGTATATATGTTCAGCTGGGAGCTGGTATCTTTAAAATAATCGAGGAAAATATCGAGTACATCTTCTGCATCGAGGCCGTCTGAGCATTGATACGATCCTAAATTGTAGAGAAGATATCCCGACGAGGAATCAATCTCTGCTGTGACAGTTCCTTCCGCAACATTGGCGGTTGAAGTGGGTGTCGCGCTGAGAGTCTCTATATAGACGCTCTCAGGGATCGATACTGGACATATGAGCCAGCGTTGTAGGTCGGATGACCAATATATATCGATCTCGAAACGGCGAAACCCCACCGCTAGTAGGTTCGAGATGCATTTTTCAGCGGCGTTTCTCTCGAAAACGTTGTTCCCGAAACATGCTGTCCGGACGGAGACAGCCGGGATGGTGACGAAATTTATGGGAATTTGACCGGCCACATCTCGCTCGCTCTGAATACCAGTTCGTTAGCAGGGAAATACCCCAACATAGCGCAAGTACTCTTGCTTTCGTGCTTTGACGATACTGACGAGGAGGACGGTAACCCAAGATCCCTTCAACAAGGAGTTATCCGGATTAAATTTCAAGGACATGAAGGTGCAACCATATGTCAAAATAAGCGTGGATAGGGAAAAGCGACCATCTTAAGCATGGAATATAGATAAAATAATGCATAAAGGTTGATGCAGTTGTACTATGCATGAGGGAGAGAACGAGCGAAGCAGCTTCGAACAGGGTCCGGAGTGGAGAGCGAAGGCGGTGAGGTGGATTTAATCATCTTATCTGGCCACTTTCGAGTTCCACGTCCACTTTGGCCTCAACTTTCCCTTTTACCTCATCCCATATTCGGCTTTCTTTCTTTCTTTTTTTTTTAATTCTCCTGTCTTGTTCATCCTTCTATCTGAATTGCCATTTTTAATTGTTAACCCTTCTGTATTTTTTTGACTTCCACACGGGTTCCTTACTACCTCACCTTCCACAATGGCCGCCCCAGGCCAGCCGTCCCCTCAACAGCTCGCCGCCATGCAACAGCAGTTTGCAGCCGAGGCTGCCAGGCGTGGAATGACCCCGGAAGAATTTGCTAAGCAGCAGCGTGAACAGCTCAACGCCGAAGCTGCAAAGCATGGAATGACAACTGAACAATACGTCACACAGCTCAGGATGCGTGCACTTGCCGCACACCAGAAAGCAGCTCAGATGCAACAGCAAGGTCAAGGCCCCTCTGCACAGCCGGCACAGCCGGGGCAGCCAGGGCAGGCACCTCAACCCGGACAACCAGCGCAACCTGGACAGCCTGCGCAGGCCCCGCAGCAGCAACCACAACCACAGACTCACCAAGTGCCTGTTAACCCCTCGAATCCTCCAAACCCCAAGGCGATCGCGGTTGCCAAGTTCTTGAAATCGCAGAATCTGAAAACCAGGACTTGTATAATGGATGGACAGAGAAAAGATATGTTCAAAGGTTGGTTGTATTTTTTTGCATAAGGAAACTTGGGCGATAACACGCTAACCCGACCAATTTTAGTGAAACGTGCCATCCGTGCCCTTGAATCCCCTGCCTACGCGAAAGCTCAGAAAAAGAACCCGCTACTACCGCCAGTGACAGATCGTGTTTCGGCTGAGAATGTATTCAAACTCCTCCCACTGTCTCTGCTTGCGTTACGAGTGTCTAAAGTGGACCCCCACGCCGGCCATGGTCATGCCAAACCCGCAAAACGAGTCAAGGGGTTGTGGACGGTTAAGATTGAACAACATCAAGAAGCAAACCCAATGATGCACTATGTCTGGCTTTACGAGGGTCCCCAATGGAAGCAGAAGGCCATGGCTGCCGCGGTGGTTGCCGGTATCTTCGCCGTTGTGCTCTTCCCCTTGTGGCCTATCATGCTGAGACAAGGAGTCTGGTACCTTAGCGTGGGTATGATGGGCCTGCTTGGTCTGTTCTTTGCCATGGCTATCTTCCGCCTGATCTTGTTCTGCATTACTGTCTTCGCTGTACCACCTGGTCTTTGGTTATTCCCCAATTTATTTGAGGATGTTGGTTTCTTCGATAGTTTCAAGCCCTTGTGGGGCTGGCAAGAGGTACCTTCCTTACTCTCTTATTCTTGATTACCTTACTAATTGAGATTTACAGACAAAGAGGAAGAAGAAGAAGTCCAAGAAGGCATCTGGCGCTGCACCTGAAGCTGCTGGTTCTGAGGTAACTGAGTCGACTCCTACCGCAACCACCACTGCAACCCCGGACGCGGCTGGTCCCGTGAAGCGTGATCTCACGGCTAGAGTTGAGGAGGTGACAGAAGAGTAATTTATATAAAACTCTTCATTTGAAAATTCGCACGCGCTTTCCATTTGCATTGCTTGCGCATAAAATTTATGAGTTGCTGCGCCTAGTTTTTCTTTCTGCTGTTCGGTATTTACCCTTCTTTTTCTGTCTTAACTGGTATTCTTGAGCCTGGCCATAAGGGCTTCTCCTTAGGGGGTATGAAGGGAGTCGTCTAGGAATTGATACGAGAGCGTAACGATGCTTTGCCATGGCTAAACTACCACCAGCCCTGGTCCTTTTGTAGTATCAATAATAGCGATGTACAGGTCGGTGTCTGATGAGTTCGTCCCAACACCAAGTTGAATATCACAGCTCTGCAGTCTGTCATGGAGAGATAACTACAGGTTGGCGAGAACAGGGGGAAAAAAGGCCATGCCAATAAAGCTCTATAAATTACCGCCATGTTCCACAGCCGTTTATTGTTCATTAGAAATGTAGTGAGTGAGTGTATCTCCATCAAATTCAAATTAAATTTAGTTTAGTACTTCTTTTCCTTTTAACTTTCCTACCATTCTTCTTATACAACCACCTAAATCCAAGTTCAAAGTGCCAGAAACGCACTGCAGATATAAGACATGTGAACTACTTTCAGGGAGAACCAAGAACCAAGAACCGAGAAGCAGATATCTGAAGAGAGTTGCAGGGCAAAATATGGCTAAAACAAGAAGTCACAACTGTTTTCCAGGTTGTTTCTACCCAAATCAAATTATACCCTCTTATCCGGAGCTTTGATCGAGTGGACGCGATCCCCACCTTACATATAACCCGGTTCATCAGCATCAACCTCCTGGTAAAGAGTATTTCCGCCTACCTAGGAGGAAACTTATACAATCGTTTGTAGTAAATCTTTAACCCTGTTTTCTTAAATATATATATGTAGAGGTATGCTCAGCAAAATCTATGGATGCGATAGCTCGTCGTACCAGACGGTAAAATCTGCCAGCCGGATCGATAGATAATCCCCCATTCTTCAGCTCTGTGCTTACCTTCAAGCCACAGAGGAAGCGAGGGAGAAATACGAGAAGGTGCCTGCTGAAGAGGAACTGGACCCTGCAACGATTAATGCCGGGTTCGAGGCCAGCGATCAGGCTATCGATGAGGCGAAGCGCGTCATGAAGATCCTCACGCAGCCTGGTGGACCCTTCGTGCGTGAATCTTAGATCATCACGAACCAAAAGAACATCGACAGCCTGCTGCAAGAGTTTGCGGACGCCATTCCAGATGCCCATCAGGAGAAACTTCAAAAGGAGATGACCGTGATCGTGGACCGGGTTGTGGCGCGCAATAGATTGGTCGTGCCCTACAATGCCGCCCTATACTTCGTACATACATAGGTGTACAGCAAAGCCCTAGTTGACCAGTCCGCAGCGGAGGCACAGAAGAAGAAGAAGAAGAAGAAGAAAAGCAGTAATCCGGAGCGCTGCACCCTGACCCAGGCCTTCCATCGATTTTCTTCAGGTATGCACGCCCTCCAAAACTCCCTAGCCTTGTTTATCATGCAGCACTTGTACCTTGAGACGCGCGTGCTCTGTTTCTGGGGTTTGCTAGACGCCACCAGTCTTCCTTCGAGCGAGCCGGCACCAGCGCGCTCTGCGAATGTCCTCGGCATAGAACAGCAGGACTACTCCGCCAGGCTAACCATTGACCCCACCGAATCGTTGTTTAGGTATTGGTCGGGCCAACATGCGCTTCCAGGGATCGTGATGGACGCCGACGGCGCGGGCCGGAAGCCGGTGCGAATATGATTGCGCCATATGGGCCAGGAGGCCATGCGCGATAAAGATCACAATGCATACAAATTCACACACGACACTGTAAATCTACAGTTCTCCTATGATGCTAACCTGATGGGTGAGCTAAAGGTGCATATTAACCCGCAAGCTGTCTTGTCCAAGCACAGCATTCAGCAGGATTATACTAGTAGCCACGTAGAAACCGATATGAATGCACTGCTTGGACCTGCTCGTGATATCACATCTTTATAACCTGACGCGGGGAAAATGGGGCAATTGCATATCAAAGCCCATTAATACATGGATTTGTATGAAGAAAAGAAAAAGGAAGAAGAAAAAGAAGGAAAGATATAAGGCTCTAATGCTAGAATACAACATCCAATACTTGTTCAACCCGGACCGGGCACCCTAGTTTGGATGGAAAACACTCGCCTTAGTGACTGGCCCATAGAATTAGGTGCGCATGACAACCTGCTTCTTCAGCAACTCGCAGTTTGCAATGAAGCAGAACTTGTCTGGGAATACCATCAGAGCGCCTGTGATGGGGAACTCGGTTCCTGTGGGAAGGGTTTATGTATTAGCATTATTAACATTGAGATTGTTATTAAAGAGGGGTGAATTACTAAATATTTATTCTTATTAACTCTAAATAGCTTGTAAAAGGGTATCTATATTGTCTATGTAGAGGATCAAAATATATAAATAAGTATGGTTAACAGTGGTTGCTTACTTTAAAATACCTAGAATTCCCTATAAAATAGCGCACACTAGCACTTGGTAACAGGCAGATTCTAGCTATAATGATCTAGATCTGGTTCTCTTTTAGCCGCAGATTAACTAGTTAGTTATTAAATAGCTGCTGACATCGAGGTCTAGCCTCCATTACCTACGAGTCTACGAGTAGTTGGATTAGCTGGTGCAGCTCTAGTGGCGGAGCTAAAATGCCAAAAATGAACTGCTGGAGGCAATGGGCATTAAATTCTCTTGTAGGTAATCTCTTAAATTTCATAAATTTATAAAAGGATGTCTTACCATGGGAATATATAGAGTATACCTGTAGATAATACTTAAATAAACGGTATATATTATATACAAAGTGGTTTCCTTGATCTTTCATCCACTTACATCGATAGGTATATAGAGAGAGAAATTAGATAAAGGATGCCCTGAACATTCTCTCAATATAAAAAGGTAATAGAAAACTACTTACCATCCATAAAATCTGTAACATTATGTGGAGAAATGATCTGCCTGAAAATATCTTCCTAAAAGAGTGTTATGAATTACAACCAGGAATTCCGGAGTCTGAGGGGAACCAGCAAGATGATTCGGGAAAGTGAATGGGAAAAACAGGCTGTCGAAGACCAGAATAGGTCAAATAAAGTCTTGCACTATTGATGGCGGAGCTATTACAGGGCCTGAGAAAAGATAATTTCAATATCCCATTCTATATCCACCACTAGGATACCATATATTAAACCAAAGCCATACCTATAGTACAGAAAGTAATATTCAAAATATAAGACAGGAAGAAGAAAGAAAATCTTATATACAAAGACAAAAATGCCACAGCATGGGATATCATGGAGAGAATTAATCACAAGACCAAATGCACGCCCTGAGCCAACAGATAAGGAAAATTAGGATATCTGGTATCATATGATAGTACAGGGAGGAGAAAAAAAAAGAGAGAGAAAAAGAGGGATAGATGATAGAATGAACGCTAGATTGCTGAATAGATGATATGGTGCTAATGATTGAATTGGAAGACTGTTGTAGTCATGACAGAAAGGAAAAGATTTGACCTAGATAGTGCAATGACGGAGCTTATCCTTGGTGACAAAGGATGGATGGCAGCAAGGAGCATAGTTATAACGTTTCCATGAGTACGTAATTTTGGAGTAGGTGTGAAATAAGAATTTCCTATATTCCATGAATCATTTGATGAGAGGAAACGCTTCGTGTCGTCTTTGGAATATGGCCAGGAGGGGAATCAGGGGAGGATGTAGGCAAGGATTCATGGGAGCCTTCGATAGAGGATGTTGGTGCGGACTGTTTGGACCAGCCGGATTGCGCAGAAGCCTTGATAAATGTAGAAGGGATTTTTGGCAGGGGACAGTTCGGAGGAGGTGCAACTGGTGGCCCGATGGAGAGCCCGGACATGCTTTTACGTCGCGATATGATGATGGATGAGGGGCGACTGGTAGACTCAGGCTTGTAGTAAAGTAAGGAGCGAATTTGTTGATTGTGTTGGTCGGACGTGTTGTTTACCTCAGATGCGGGTTTAGGGAATTGCGAAATTAGGGAGTGTTCTGATGGTTGGACGCTGGCTAGGGTACTTGTAGGCAGTAAACCAGAGGCAGTAGCCAAGGCCGGCATACTATCTCCTGGAAAATGCGAATAGCGAAGATGCATACACTCTTGATCTTGGCCGACGTGTCCCAGCGAATCTTCGGAATTCGACCCACGAAGCTGCTGCTTGAGGAGGTCGCGCCTATTGGATGGTCGGCGGTGGTCGCGTGGATCTCTCTGTGAAATGCTGGGCATTTGTCGGCTAGGCGATTGGGGCGGCGATGAGAAAATAGATAGGGTATCCATTGAAGTGTCGTCCGGATGATCACCGTGAGCCGAAGAAGGCAAATGAGGAACCTGCGGGATGTCTTGACGTGCCGCGAAACGCTTGCTGAAGGATGGGACGCTGAAGTTAGGAGCTGGGGGGGAGGTGCTTCGGATGTAAGCGTCCGGTACGGTCGACTGGGCTCGGGGTATTTGAGCAATCTCGGAACTTGTCGTTTGTGGAAGAAACATTGACCGTCTCTTTTTCGGGCTCGAGAATGTGGGACTAGCAGGCCTTGTCACTGGAGACGCAGCCTCGGATATGACCTTGCCATCAGAGAGTGGAGGAGAGGCAAGCGTAGCATAAAAGCGTCCCGGATTTTCCGTGGTGGGAATTGACTCTGTTTGAGTAGTGGACACTGACCCAGCGCGGGATTCCGGTGTGGGCTGGATCACCATCGACCGGCGATGGAGAGAGACATAGGAGTTGCGACGGGATTGATCACCGACACTCGACTCTTTGTCGGATTGCTGCGGCTGGAGAAGCATAGTTGAAAAGCGGTTGGGATCCTTCTTTATCAGTTGTCGCATACTGGGCGTGCTTCGCAGTTGAGACTCCATTTCTTCGTCGAAGACCCCTTCAGACACATACTTATTGCCGCCGCGAGTCTCGATTTGTGCCCGAACAGCCAGCAGCCAGGCGCTCATTTCATCGGGATCATCGAACACTAGAAGAAAATTGCGTGCCAACCGCCGAGCGTGGGATCTGTGAAACCCAAGACGTGAAAAAATAGGCCTGGATGTTTCGATAGGATTTGTGCCATCCTCCTCAGCGGTTTGTGACACCTGTAGCACCCAATGTTTCCCCGGAATCGCGTCACTAGCGAATGCCACAGACTTAGGCCCCAGAAGAAGCATTTTCTCCGGTAATCGGTCATGTTTGCCCCTGCCTGAGTATTGTAGAATGTACCCAGATGTCGCAAGCAGGTAGACCTTCTGGGACCACTCGTTCTTGTCAATATTTTCGGATAACGTTCGCAAATACTTCTTTCTTTCCTTCTCCAGCTTTCTCCTTCGTGCTGTAAGATCCTCCGAAGGTTCACCATTCGCTGAGTGAGTGAGATGTAGATCAAGATCCTCAAGGCTGCTTCCTTTTGCTTTGAATGTAGCGTGAAGGCGTACAATGGAATCCGCAGATAAAGCTGGAGCTTCAAGGGTGGTGTGCTTGATTGCTTGTGGATAGGCTTGGAAAAGCGGCGGGGGTTTCCACCCTACATCGCTGGCCAGCTGCTGGCGGTCGTGGGGTTTTGGTCGTCGATTGGAAGGCGTCCTAGATCGATCCGAGTCTATTGGCGAGGAAGTAACGAGAGTAGGGACGGTTGTTGCGGTCTGAGGTGTAGCACAAGCAGTTGGCGATAATGGAGCGGTTGTCTCACTCGGAGCTTGTGCATCTTTCATGAGATTCTGCACCTCATCGATGCCGGAGAGCTTCGAGTCAGTGGGCTTTCGAAGAGCCTTTTCACGGCTGAATATGTAGCGGAGGCTAGACTTGGACGATTGCCGTTTGACATTTGCCGGTTGCAAAGGCACTCGTTCTTCTTGAACATCCTCGTAGTCTGACGGTCGTACACGCAGCGGCCGAGAGGATGCGACAGTAGGCAATTGCGAGGTTGGACGACTGAAATTTGTTTGTAAATGAGCCAATCGTTGGCCTCTACGCTCGCTAACAGACAATTGAGGGGTTTTGGTGTCGAGGGACATGGTTCGTCTTTTGCGGTCCAATTGATCGGGAGGGGGAGAATTGTTTCGAAAAGCGAGTGATATTGAGACTAATAATGTATTAAAAGGATTCTTTCATTCCACATATGGCATCAGTTGCGTGATGTATGGTTGTAGGACAACAAAAAGAGTGACTAGGAAGAGCGGGTGGAATGAATGATTCATTTGTGAGTGATAACTAATTGAAGAGTCGTCGTAGCGCAGGGCTTGTAATGTAATATGTGGGGGTTATCCTTGGCTGAGCGTATCAAATAAGAATGGTGTTTCGCATATAAAAGAAAAGACAGACAGACAAGGGGAGCAGCATGAGGTTGCTTCCTTCGAACCAAGCTTTGCTGGAGCAAGAATTGCACTGGAAGCTATTTGGGTGAGGGAAAGTGCACAGTGCAAGAAACTGATTATGCTCTTCAGCTAAGGATCAAGGAATGTCCTGCTTATGCCCCGAACTTTGACAAGTTTGTAGTCATTATCATTGTTGGCCGAAGCCGCGAGGAAAGTAGGAGAGGGGAGGAAGTGAGCGCGGACGTGAGAATAGAATTGTGGATGGGAGAGAGAGGGTGTGTGTGACGAAAAGGCATTTACGCGAGGAAGGAAAATCGTAATGAAAAAACCACTTTGGATGACCAAAAATAAATCGACTGACCTGTTCTTTGTGCTGAAATTCAGCCGAACTGCCAATCCCGGCCGGTGTTGACTAGAATAGACACTAATCGTTTAGGCGTGTTTGCCAGCCGATCTGAAACGATCCCTACAGAGCGAACCCCTGAGAGCTCATGGGTGAAGAATGGGATCTGGATCTGAAAGCCACCGTTATTTCAGGCTAAGAGAGTTCAAACAGACTCGAATTGCTGCAGATGGAGACTCGCATCCATCGAGAGACTCTTCATTGTTGTTGTTGTTGTTGTTGCTGCTGCTGCTGGTCTGGTTCTAGTACTAGTCGCGGAACCCCTGAATCAGCTTTTCCGATCTCCACTTTAGACAACGGTTTCCGTTAAGAGAGAATTTTAGTCTGCGTTAGTCGGTGATGAGAAGCAGAATCACTTCGAGGTTAGCCAATGAGACCATCGCAGGTGAGGCTACGGGTGGTCTGGCTCGTTCCCATTCTTGAATAGTCTTGGAAAGGGGAGTCAGCATCAGCCCCCAAACAGTTCATAACTTCGTATAATGAAAATACTTACCTATAGCGTCAATTACCATCAGTTTTACCTTCAGATTAATTTTAAGGCCAGAACCCGAAGCTTTGGACGGGAACCCACCGCATCAATGAGTCCGCGCTACTCCGTAGAGGAAGCATAGTATGGTGGTGGGTGATTCTCGGGAGGAAATTGAACGTGGGGATGAGTCAGCACCACGGTCTCGTGCTCGAAGATCAAATCAAGTACTCCGTAGCATAGATGCAGACCATGATGCGGGTAACTAAAGTAGCAAGAACAAACCTTGAAAGCCTCGACAAATAATTCCTATAACCGTACATCGCACCTTATTTACAGAATAGAGCATAGGGAAATACCCTACGATCCTGGCCCACATTTCTTTCCCTGGCCCTCCTCCACCGCACCCATCAATTGGGCAGCCTGCTCGCAGTACTCCGCCATCGAGATGTCCTTGTCTGTCAGTCCTCGGGGATGGTGTGTCGTCCAATGAACATCCACAGATCCAATCCTCTTATTTTACCACCTATGAGTCAGTCTACTGTCCCTCGCGGACCCATGTACCTTGGATCTAAAGTAAGTGGAAATAAGATACGCACAACTGTCATAGTAGCATGGTGCTTTTTTGTGGCACTCTGCGACGCAATAACATTCACAAAACTCTATTGATTGTCCGAGACAAACTCTATATCAGCCTGCACCAAATAGAAAGAAAAATAACCCACGGAAAGGTAAGTTCTCGGGGAATCCGGGAAAGGGGGGGAAGCCGAAGCCACCCTACCACTGCTTTAAAATATGAGCGGAAATAAAAGGTCTTCTTGATGCCAATGCTCTCTTCGTCTAAGCTCCACCCTTGGCCTTGCAGGGCATTTAGCAGGGGAAGTGCCTGCTGGGGGTCGACTCCCGTGGCAAACTGAGGCTCGGAAGCCATAGTCGAAGTAGCGCGGAAAGTGGCCTGATGCGGGAACTGAGCTCGGAGATGGTGGGTGCAGGAAGCACGCGTATGGTCGTTTCGAGATGCGAGGAGCACTGGACGTGGATGATGCAGAGAGTAATGACGGCCACACTTAAGAGGCAGGCGAGAGAACACCCCTTGACGGCGCGGGAGGGCTCTGCATGCGGGGTTCATGGTGTCTTCTCAAAGTATTCTTCATACAGAGCTTCTTCCAACCAGAGCTGGAAATTTGCTGGAAATCCGAGTGCTGACGTGATGCATCCGAAGATCTCTCTCGGCGCGGATCAACTATGATACGGGGTCACGTGACCACACATGATACCCCTGAATAGAGGTAGAGTAGCGAGGTACGGAGTCTCAGATAGTTATCCAATCAACAACTCACTTCAACAAATATCTCTGAGTCACGTGACGCTGAGTACATTGCTCCGTAGTCTATCCAATCAACGGATCACTTGCAACTTGGCGCAACACCGTTTCCCACGACGAGGTTTGGAAAAAGCTTCTCAGTTGCCAACATTATTTAGGCTACGGTGATCGGAAGTGTATGCATGGCCTGGTTTTGGGAGGAGGTCTCTTAGCGTTGTTTGGCCTTCTTCTTAGCTGCAGCTCCACTTGACTTCTCACTAAAAAATAGCGCCGAATGGATAACGTATTAGGCCGCGGCGGGCAGCGTCTAAGTTTTCATGACGACACAACACAGTAGTCTACTGGATATGTAGGAAGCATAGACGACCGGGGTTGTTCGTTACTTGATTATTTTGCCTTACTGTCCTAGCTCTGACTTCTTGCTTCCGACCTTCCGTCGACATTGCGAACCCTAATGCCAAATCACACTAAATTGTATTAAGAAAGGAATGGAAGTGTTAATTTCCCGGTTTTTTACTAATACAGATACTTACAAAACCAAGTTACATACCGCATGCTCATGTGTGTATGGGGGTTACGTGTTATGTGTATTCCTGGAACCTTCCAGAGAAATGCAAACAATTCAAACAACTCCACCAGCTGTCATCTCTCCGCCCTTGCAGCCCTGGTGGCAATCCTAGCGCTTACTGGGAGGGTTCATCGAAACCCAGACAACATTCCCCATAGTCTTCGCGAACAACTTTATGCTGAGGAGAATTAGCAACTTGAAAGACGGGAAAAATGCTCGGGCAGCTCTACATGTGGATCAACATGTCATCTGGTTCGCAACTACCGCCGCTGCTGAATGTACGAACCCAGCTCCCAAGCAAACTGATCCAATTGGTATTCCTGGACTTCTTGATATAGCCGTCAAGGAATATGCTACTTGGCATCAGTCACGGGTGAGCAGGGAGAGCTTCAGGGAAAATATCCAGAAAGCTCGTGATGTGGCCCTTGAAAATTGTTTCAACCTTAAAGCAATCTACGAAGATCAAGATCCGAAATTCTTTTTTGTCAACACGGCGTGAAAGCAGGAGCCTCCCGGCGTTTGTTGTCGACATTGCCCATTGGGTGACGCGAAATAGAGATGCGAATGTAAGTGAAGGGCAATCGTAATCTGTCTAGGCTTTATTATGCCGGCATGGTTATTGTTATTCTAGAATTGATGTCAGGTTTGATTCGCAATCTTTCATTTCCCTTTCATCACAGAATTGACAGTGCTCCAGCTCTCTTCAAGAGCCGGTTCTCTCCATCCTTTCATCCATTCGGAGTGCAATACCTGCTGTACTGTCGCTCTTTCGTTCGGCCGGAAGACTAGCATCGATCGAAGCATCGTCTCGAAAGCCCTCCTCTCTTTCTCTGTCACGGTCTCTAGGCCTGCCCTAGCCCGAGGCTCCTGTATGCAGTAGCTAAACCTCTTGTCCTAGGTCCTGCGCATGCTGTCGTGACCCCTAGACACATCTGGTTTCAAATCCAACTCGCCCTCCTCGTTGAACCATTCCAGCCTTCTACTCCACTTTTTCCACCACTCAGGAGGTAATATGCCAATGGCTTCAACTTGCTCCGCGGTGACGCGGTCTGCAGTAGGGTAAAAAGCCTCAAACAAAGGCCGTAGGCCAAAAATCTCCCAGATAGTACAGGCAAGTGTCCAAATGTCAGAGGCAAAGGAGAGAGGCTCGTCAGAGAACCTGGCTTCAGGTGGCTGGAGGAGAGGAAGGGTCTTTGAGGAGAACCTGAGGGTTTCATGTGGATTAAAAGATTCTCCAAAGTCGGTAAGGATGATCCTCTCCTCTCCTAAAGCAATATCATCGCTGCGAGCACCAAACCAAGCGGGAACGTACACATTTGCGGGTACGCCATTCGACAATGGCTTGCCATCAACACGGATAACAGCCTCTGACTCCGGCTCTCCGAATCTCTCGTATAACTCTGACGTAGGAAAATGATCGATCACTTTAGGAAACTGGACTAAAATATTGCCTAGATGAAGATCTTGAAGCAGTCAGCTAAGCAATTTAGCTGCAATCATTTATACGTATCACATACCCCCGTGTACAATATGTTCACCGTGAAGAAATGCGACTCCGCGGATGAGTTGGGCAATAATCGACTGCGCGACCTTAGGCCGAAAAAGACCGAAAGTCGAAGCCTCTTTTGCATCAAATAGGCTCATTCGTGCCGGCAGAGTAACGATACACCTATGCTTCCCATTGGGACCGACAGCCCAGAATTGTTCGATGAGGGGTGGAATAGTTTCGCTTCCTGGTCTAGCTGGTGATTTTGCAAGAGAACATAGAAGACTAGCCTCAGGCGCATAGATACTGGCATCAGCGGTAATGACCTTCACCGCTACGTATCTAGCCACCTGTAGGTCACGGGCTAGCTATATAGTCGAGTATCCTCCGTACCCAAGTTCGTCAACCAGTTGATATCGGCCCTCATCAAGGTCGTCCCCGATACTCAAAGGATGATATCCACCGGGCCTGTATCCGTCGAGGTCTTCGACGTATTCAATAAGCCTGTACTGTGTCTTGCCGGGTCTTATACTCGATGATCGAGATTCGCTGGTCCCATCTCTATCCCCACGCATCTTATCTGCATTGAGGCGGCTGAAAGTGGACGTCGATGATGTCTTTCGGACATGCAACTGAATTGATACAGAACTGCATACCGGCTCAAGGGATCGCCGGACATTGACGCGACTACGTGCGAACATTTGCACAGGCAGCGCCCAGCTCAAAGACCAGCCCGCACCACCACCAAAAGTGAACATGGCCTGCTGCGTCGATGACTAATATTTGCGCCTAAGGTGTCGAGATTTTGCAGTTGAACCTAGCAGATAATTAAAGACATTAAGGTTTAGCTCCTACTGTACTCCGTACTTTGCTAGCAGTACCAGGTACCTAGAGGCTAGCACATTCCCTCTATTCTTAGATCTGATGACGCAGTCTGTGATCTTGGTGGCATGCTTGATTGGGCACAACCAGATATACGACCGTCGCAGCGTGGATGGTCGCAGATTAGACCGGATCCTGATAATGGCGCGCTTGCTACAGCCAGCAGCTCCTGCCATCTGCGAGGTAGTTAGTTGATCGCTGCTAGTTTGGGAGCCATGGTTCGTTGCACCGCCAGTGGAAGTGCCAGCCAAGAAATTTGGGTGAGGCTTGGGAAAGTAGGTGGCAGCTAACAGGTAATAAACACATTCCCCGCTATTATAATAATCCGGTAATTTACGGTACACCGCCAAAACCATTAAGGCTGACATGGCTTCTTCAAAAAGTAGTTTAGTGTTTCTTAGCATTAGGGCATGAAAAACAATAAAAACAGTATAACTATTAAACTATGAACTTCACCTCCTAACTAACTTCCAGGCCACTTATTATATTAAAACCCTAGCTTGCTTGCTTACTTTCACCTATAATTGCATTGTCATAATCTCCACCATTACAAGGATGGATTACAGATTAACTGGAGCAAAGCCTATAGTATAGTTTTCATTTTTAGTTCCCCTGCTACAACCTTTACTACCACACCATGATCATACAATCAGCTGCTTGTTCTGAAGCTGGGAGCAATAGCAAATGAATCATTAAATCACAGAAACACAATTGGGACACAAGTAGAAGAAAGGCATGAATTTACAATTCACTGGTAGAATAAGGCCATGTCAGCATGACTACACACACAGTCCACCAACATAACCTCGGTTGGAGCGGGGAAAGCACAGGAGCAAGCAATAAAAATCGCAGAAGAAAAAAAGCAAAAGAAGAAAAGAAAAAACAGATAGAGAAAAAAAAAGGAATAAAGAAAATTCGCTAGAGCCCGCTCTCAAAGAACAAGAGCCTTCCCAGCTACAGGATCCTACCTTCTCTTGGGTCGACTAGGGGAGCTAAACCACACAAACAGGCGGCAACGACAGGTCGATGCAACCGGCTTGTATTAGGTGATACTTGGGCGCCAACTTTCAGTATTCGTTGCAATTGCATTATCATTATCATCACATTTGTTGGCCCAGGGCCAATCACGCATACCGTCGTATTTCATGCTGAAAAACTGTTTCTGGGTGAGGTAGCGCGCGAGGTGGGACGAGACGCAACAAAGCTACCCTGGCGGCTTTCAAGGGCTTGACGAATACGCAAGTTTTGCTGTGATCGTGCGAAAGAATTCGCTCTCGAAGAGGTGGGAATGCGAGAAAGTCTGCCACTGTGGAGCGCACCATGGCTCTGCAGCTCAACCCTTGCATCGGACAATTGCTGGGCGAAGGGTGAACGTTTGCGGAGTGTTGGACCGTACCAGTAGATGGCATACACCGCAACTACCAGAATAAAGGAGATGCAAACTTCCGTAGTGTTAGTCTTCTTGTAGTCGATCGCCAACCATGCACCTGTAAAAAAAAGAAGAAGAAGAAGAAGAAGAAGAAGAAGAACTTACAGAGAATAGTGGATGCATATTCCAAGTGGTATTTGCCTCCGATATCTATATAAAAGAGTTTTGATTAGACATTGCCAAGATATGCATGTACAATACTGCAAGGAGTTCACTTACTCTGGAAAAAAGGTGTCGCGGGGATTGTCAGAACACCAGCGAGGAAGTCTCGAGACCATCCATTTCCACCCGTGGCCGAGGCCGAGTACGGCCCATATGCACAGATCATGTAATCGATGGTAGCCATGTAAATGCTATAATTTGCGATCCCGACAATGGCGGAGAAAACCATGGTGCCAATCCAGTGTACAGGAGGGCCGAGACTGGTCCATGCAAAGCCAATCAAACCAATTGGTAGGCAAGGAGCGGTATAGAGCAGCCACCAGAGACGTGACTCGTACTGGGTGTGCTCATCATCGGGTTTCATTCGTCTCTCGTGCATGTTGCGTTTAATGACGGGGACGAAAGAAACCCAGGCGATAACATATCCCACAAGAATTGGGATGAACGACAAACCAAGAGCCACAGTGCTAAAATTCCATTGGTCGTAGACCAGGCCAAAGGACTGGATGAACATGAAAATAAGTGCATCGCTGAAGCCGCTCAACAAGGACAGTGTAAGGACAATGGGTTCGGTGAGGAACATTCTGAACGGGCGAACCCAAGTGACCAGGACCTCTCGCATAGAGAAGCGGTCCCTAAAGGGAACGAGTTCGTTAGGTCCGTAGATATTAGGCTTTTCGCCGCTGTCTCTCATCTTTTTTGCGATACGATCCATCATGATTGTCGTTCTAGTCTCTGGGACAAGGAGCAAGTGTGCGATTTGAACAAAACCTCCGAAGATGAGTTGAATCCAAATGTTCCAGCGCCAGGGTAAGTATGCTTCGACGAACCCGCCAACGACAGGGCCAATAACCGAGCCGCCAACGGAGGAGAAGACAACACAGGCCACAGCATATTGCTGCTCATCTGCTTCCCATAGATCTGCAATCATACCCAAAGTAACTGAGCCGCCAGCCGAGGAAAGACCACCCAGAGCGCGTCCTACCATGATAGACGCAAAGTTCGGGGCGAGTGCCACTGGAAGCTGCCATATATTTACCAAGAACAAGCTCAGCTGCAGAATTGGCTTGCGGCCAATCTCTTCGCTCCATGGGGCCCACAACTCGCAGCCAAAGGCGTACAACACCAGGAAGATCATGGCACCGCAGCGTGCGGCCTGCATGCTCACACCAAATTCCTCAGAAATACCAGTCAGTGCATTGGAATAGAGGGAGGTGTTGAAATTCATAGAGGTCTGGACGAGGAAGATGACACTGATGATCATCCATTTTTTCCAGCTTGGAAAAGCATAGCCGAGCTGATCGTAACAATCGTCTTCCGTCAACTCGATCTTCTCGCTTGGGGTGTTCTCGAGCTGGTGAAGAGTGGTACCAGCCCTCGGGTCATGAGCAAACTGAGACCTTGAGGTCTCGTTTGCTGCCTTTTCCTTTTCCACCTCAAGGATAGCATCGGTGTTGGAAGAGGAAGAAGCCTCAGACTCATGAAGTCTGTCATCACTTCGAATATCTTTCTCAGATATTGGCGACGCCATATTGGTTAATCAACCACTGGATATTTTTAGTCAGTATTAGCTCATATTCTGGAAGAGGGTACAGAGAGTGAACAAAAGAAAGGCATGAAAAGAGGGGAACTCTGTAATACCAACCGCAATAAAACGCAGGAATAGACAGTTTGCAATAGCAGAAAGACAGAAGGTAAGAGGGAGTGAGAGAGAGACAAGAGGGTTGTTGTAACCCAATGTTCGCAGGTGATGGAGGGGTACAGGCAACTATGAGTTAACACTTACAATGACTGAAGATGAAGAAGATATGCAGATCAATGTAGAAAAGACTGAACGATCGATCGGGAAAGGATGAGACGATGAAAACAAGGATGGATGGAGTGCTAGATGAAAACAAAGGGGGGGGGGGGGAAGAGGGAGAGAAATGATGGGATGGGGAAGGAAGAAGTGAGAGAAGAAGAAAGAAAAGAGAGGAAGAGCAGGAAGATTAAAAGCGACAGAGAGCCAGGGGCCCAAAGAGGAAAACCAGCAGCAAAAACTCCCGTCATCATCGTTACCAGTGGAAGCAGGAATGCCCAAAAGGGAAAGAAAGTATGGGGAACGCCATCAATGCGCCGAATACTACCTTTGGATTTCTTGCGCTTCAGAGTACCACCGTATTCGTACTAGGTAGTTGCCAACCTTAACACTTCATGGACTCTTTGTGCTTCTTGAAATGAAACTCCAGAGCCAAGGTCAATACAGCCAAACTAAGCTCCAGGACCCAGGCCCACGTCGATGAACATCTCGTGCTTCTCACGACTTTTACAGGGCATCTAGATACATACATTCCTCGCAGAATCACTTTCCTTCTCCCGAGCACTGTAGGAGACCCATCGATGTACAAGAGGCTTGACGGACATGGTTGGTCCATGGATGCAGTCGGATATCAAATCACGACCGGCATTTTGCTACGGGGGCGGAACGACAGAGGAAGGGCAGAGGTCCGATTTCGTCCAAGTTCCCGTTAAGATGTCTTTCCTATCGCCTGATATGTGGAGGAAAGACCCCACCAGAGGCAATGCTTGAAAGTCGGGTTCTCAACGCTGGCCGTTCTGGGCCGAAAACTTCAGGAATGTCCGGATCGGGAAAGACAGCCATGGGACAAAGGGTAAAGAGTCCCACCCATCCACTCCATAAAAAATAAGAATCATAAAAGGATAAGAATAATATGGGTTACTACTGCACCCGAATCATCCTTGGGTATCTATCCAGGCTGTCAATCATGCTGGGGGGTGTTAAGTTGTACGACGTAAGGGAGAGAGGTCGGGATGCCTAGTACCCTAGTATTCTTGCGTCGCCGGTTCCCGAGAGGCGGTTGGACTCTTCACTAACAAAGGATTCAAGGCTGAGGACCCGATCAACCTGGATTTCTTGGGATTGATGGCGACCAAGTTGCTCGTTTTGTCTATATTTTGACCGATCCCCGTGGAGAGAGGATCGGAATGCGATGATCGCATTCCATCATCTCCAATACTGGACCCAGTTTCAATATCCATATTTATTGTCATTGGTCTTGATATGATTCTTATTAATTCCAATTCCTGGTCTGCTCGGGGAAGCCGTGCATGGCATGACGTCAAGCGTGTTTCTTTCTTTTTCTTCCTTGATATTACCCCAAACAACTTTTCGTTTCTTTCTTGACATCCGGAAGTTTCTTCCTTAGTTTGAGTATTAAAAGATTGCTTACTCTTTTTGAGCAGTCATACAGAGTAGTGGTGCGTCATTATTGTTCAACTCACGGACCTTGTTTGTCCTCTTTTCCGTAGGACATTTTGCCCGGTCCCCGATGGGGTTGTGGGGGTTTCTCCATAACAACGAGCGTGGAGCGTGGAGTTCGATGTTAATTTCCCCTCCTCGAGGAATCGAATTACGTGCCCCCAGTGGGGGTGCCTTTCACTCCTATCATCTGCAAGACCTACCTAGGTACTTCCCGTGGAAAGAGCTCAACCCAGAAATCCATACAGCTTAAAAGGAGGGGAACAAAACTGTTACATCTTCGTGAACATATTTTTTCTCCTGGATATCATGTGCTCAGACAAGAGAGATACAACCTCAAAAGTATAGAATTGATAGTTCGTGGAAGGGTAACACTGTAGGATTTGACTATGGAATAAGCACCAGTTACGCCCTGGACTAAGATGTGCATCCGAACGGCCAGTCAGCCACCAAAAAAGCCAAGATGCACCATGCCATGGATAAGCAGTGTGAATCCTCTCTAGGCGTCAGGGAGAAGAATCCAGTCCAGATGCAGCAGATACTGGGTGATTTCTTCGCCATTATCCCCCTCGCGTTACTCACGTTTTTTTTTTTTTTTTTTTCCCACGGGGTCACTGACACATGTTTCGTAGAATATTCGATCGCATCTGGTCTCGAAGGTCTCGGCCCTGGCCTCAACATTCCAAAAGGGGGCGAAACAAGGAGCAAAAGAGCGATCGTGGACTCACGTGCGAGGCATCCAGGCGGTCATCCCTGTTTCTGCCTGATCGACGTTTCCATCTCCCGGCTGTTTCCGGGTCTTGGCGACGACGCTAGTCTTTTCTGGGAAAGAATGTCCGACAGCGTCTGGGTTCGACTGACCGCCTTCCTGTTTCTACAGCTCCCCTCATTCTGATGGATTATTTTGGGAATCAACATCAAATCGAGTCTTTATCATCGCCGCCACGATTAGTTAACTATCATCTAGTTGTTCATCCATCTCCATCGCCATTAACTATCCGTTCTCAGCGCATTGTAGTCATCTGATCTTCGAGGGCTAGTTTCATCTTCGGCCTTTCCTGATCCTTCAACCATGTCTCCCGACCTCAATTCGCTTCCCCCGTCTCGTTCTGCCTCCACCTCCCCACGCCAACCACGGAACCTCCCCACTCTATCAGACGCCCTGTCATCACACCCGACTTCATCTACAGGCGTTCCTCCTACCACCACTGCCAACATGAATAGCAACAGTCACAGCAATACTATTACGGGGGATCTACCTCGTCGTCCTTACGTTCCAATGCCCGGGCCAGAACGTCGCCGCTCCGCGAATTTGGGCATGATAACCGGCAGCAACAGCTACAATGAAAATGGCGCCGGCGATGTATCCCTGACCTCTGACCATCGGTCATCTCATCGATCATCTCTAAGCCATGGACTTCGTACCTCGAGCCCGTCCAGTCTTGGAGGTAGCCCCATCATTGCCACGGGTGATCCGCATCATCAGCGCGCTCCTTCTCTCGGGGAGCTCCACCAGGAGCTAGAGCAGGAGCAAGAGGCACAAGTGGTAATAGCTGCTCCCCACCAAATATGTAAATACTGACCACGCCATACTGATCTTCACAATCTTGATAGAATCGACTTCTACACACGATTCGGAGCCAGCAAACGCAGCTCGAGCATCTCCAGCAGCAACAGCAACAACAACAGCCGCAGTCTGCAGTGGAAGATGCAACTCCTCCTTCCGAACTGTCTACTGCTACTCCCCCTGCTGCACCTCTTCCTGCTGCGGGTAACCGGGCCTCAGCTCAATTTGCCTCATCACTGCCCAGCCGCCGTGCAAGCCAAACACGTTCACCCAACCTCCGACCGATACCCGACCCGTCTCGTGGGTTGGACACATTGGAGTGGATTCCAGGCTCTGGGGAAAACACAATGCGGCGGAGCAGCAGAGATGAGAGCGGATTCCATTCAGCTGAAGCAGCGATGCTCGCACGGGAGAATCAGATGCTTCGACAGCGTATTCGTGAATTAGGTGCGTGATTTTCTGTCTTTTGTGTCTTCCTTTCTTTGAACATAGCCCAAAATCGAGTTTTAGTTCTTCACTAATGCTGAGAACAGAACGACAAGTTCACGAATTAACCACCAGGAGTGCTTCCCAAGGACAGCGCGCAATTCCCAGCACCTCTTCCCAAGCGCCCGAAAATAATATCGCCACTGAGCCCGAAGCAACAACCGGTGAGAGATCCATCGGTGAGCCGTCGGACAAGACATGATTGGCTCTCAGGCGCCCCATACGAAGGCTATTTGAACCGTCCAACTTGATTTAACTTTTGTGTTTCCCGTCGACAGCTGATCGACATTCCTCGCAAACTTATCATGAGTAAGTATCTAACACCTGTGAAAGAAACCGGGCGTAATGGAAAGTAAGTCAACACATGGCGGTTCCACTTAACATAAGCTGTCTACTACTGTAAAGGATCGCCATGTCAGCTCCAAGGCACACCACCAGTCTGGCGAAACTGCAGTCAGCTTGGGCTATAGAAAGCGGCGTGGCTCTATCTGAGTGCCGATCACCAGATCGTGATTCGAATATGATTGTACTATATTGATAATCTTGTTTCTCACGGAGGACCTTTGGTAATGCGGAGAGGAGTTTATTCCGTCGCCTACCTAATCTAATACATTCTAGCTACTCTCTAACAGCACGAAAACTATGAAGCTAGGCAGTAAGTCCATTTTCCATTCCCGGAGTAGAACCGCCCACCACCACATCTATTCACGTAATATAAACTCCCGTTACGGAGTAATGCTCTGAGCTATTTAATATCGTACCATACCGGAGTATACTCTTGCATCGTCCAGCCGCGGATCACGCCCCGGCTCCCAGGTCATAAGACACATGCAAACACGTCTACCACGCGGAGCAAGCATTTCAACCCTTACCGGAGCCAGGAGCGAAGGAGCAAGGGTGAGACAACAACTAACTACCTATCTAGGTAGGTAACTGACAGCATTCGCTATTTAGGTACATCCTCAAGAGAACTCCCATTTCCATCGTATCCTCTCACCCAAATCCCAGTCCTCCACTTTCCTGTCTTCATCGTCGTCGTCGTTATACTTCTCGTCCTGCTTCCTTGGTGTCCTACGTAGCAGTCTTCTTTCTTCGCGCGCGTATTCATTCCCTTCCCGGTCTTGATGTGCCCGTTTTCTAACCAAAAACACATAGATTCTTCTGCTGTTCTCCTCGACTATCTGCTACCTACAGGGGAATCTATATATGAATCCCGCGGCCTAGAGAGAGCATCGCAAGCAGTGCGTTGAATGCAACGAATACAGTCCCTCGAAAGGCTTAGTAGGGTTGTTGTACCCAACACTACACTCTGACAAACGTAGTATCTATTCAGTCCACGTATACTAGTAGTTATCATTATCATCACTGAAGGCTGAGTAAAGTAGTGCATACCCTGTATAACATGAAAAGTAGTTAATGTATAAAGCTTACTTATCACTACTACTTTGTGACCAGGTAGTTTTTTGCTGGCGGAAAGCAAGCGTACCTGATAATAATAGAGTAGAAGATAAAAAAAGAAGAGAGGGCCTTCTACCTAGGTAGCTGGACTCGCTCACTATGTGTCGACCAGGAAGTGATGTGTTTTCGGCCTAAATACATGGCATGGCTACGATGCTCTAGTTTGATAGGACTTCTAGGCAGATACGTAGGATGGTTCAAAGCATGACCTGAATATAAAATACACTCAAAAAGGGAGAGAGAGAGAGAGAAAAAAAAAAAAGAAAAGAAAAGAAAAGAGAGAGAGAGAGAGAAAAGGCTGAGTATAACTGAACCAAAGCAGAATGTAAAAAAGTTCAAATCTATGGTATTGTGGTCTACCTGGGTAATATCTACTGCCGCACACTCAAGTCTCAAGTCTGTCTCTCTCTCTCTCTCCGTAAATAAAATAAATAAAAGTCAGTGTTTTACAGCTTAGCCTTCTCGGCTTCAGCAACCAGATCAGGCATCAGGGCATCGCGCAGATCTGTGGCGGCTTCGTTGAGGTAATAACTCATGCGCTCAGCGCCGATACGCTTGCAAACGATGTTGAAGTTCAGACTGCGTTTGTTAGTATTTGGATGAACTATGCTTGAATAAAGGATGGAGGGGGAGGCACCTGTTCTCGTTGATCATGTAGGCAATGCCGAATCCGTCATCGATAACTTGGCTCCATCCGTAGCCGTTAAAGAACTCGGAGCTCAGCTGGCTGGTGGAGAGGTACCAGGAACCGCTGTAGACGAAAGCAGGGTCAGTGAAGACAGCAGGGAGAGTTTCACCCTCACGCACAAGCTTCTTCAGACCGAAAAGGTGGCGATCAACACCGTGACCATCGCTAGCCTCGGCAGTATACTTGCTGTGAGCAGCCAGGGCGGTGCGGAAGAGGCGCACTACTTCCTCGCGCGGAACAGAGGGGTCGCTGATCGCGTTGCAGAAGGCGACACTGTCGTCGGAGACAGTGCGGATGGTCTCTGTGCGGCCCTCCTGGAACTTGCGAGTGGAGGCGGATTCGTAGGTGGGGCGGTTCTTGCCGTACATCTTGAAGTAGGCGAGTTGGATGATCATCTGCACGTAGGCATCGGGACTGCACTTGAACTTCTTGATCAGGCCCTTGCCATAGCCCTGGTAAGCCTGGACGCGCAGCTCGTGAGCGGCCATCTGCTGGCGGTGCTCCTTCGCGGCGGCGTCGATAGCCTCGAGGATTTCCTCGTTCAGCCGGAAGGGGATGGGGCGGGGCTCCGGCAGATCAGAGCGCACGGGCTTGTCAGAGAGGTCAATCTTGTTGTTGAAGATGAGGTTGTTGAGGTGGTCGTTCAGACGGTGAGTGGGACTGCCGTCCATCATGCTGTGCTCACCCATGAAACCAGCTGTGCCGTTTTCATTGATGATAAACTGCAGAGGCTTGTCGAACCAACGGTTGTGGCCGTCACCGTGCCAGTACTGGTGGGCCCGCTCCTCCAGGGTCACGGGGCTGGCGTCATCAAGACACACAACAAAGCCACTAGACTCGATGTCAATCAACGCCTGCGCGTTGGCTGGGTCCGCCGCAAGGAGTTTCTTGCGGGTAGCAGACCAGTGATCACGGTTGGCCACAGTCAGCACACCGACGGGGGGGGCCTTCTGGGCGATCTGGTAGATGCGTTCAAACTGCTTCTCGAGCTCGGAGACGTTGAGCGGACGGTCACCGACGGCCAGAGGCACCTTGAAGAATTGGTTCTTGCGCACAACCACGATGTGCTCGTTGTCCTTAGCAGGGTACTTCTGGGGATAATCCGCGATGTCATCCGGGATACGGCAGCAGTTGAACATAAACTCGTACGAGCTCATGGCAATAGGCTGCTTGCGCATGTATTCCGGTTCAAGGGAGCCATCATCAACCTGGCGCTTGAACTCGAGCGCCGCGGCGGTGACGGAGGCCGCACGCTTGGCAGGGTTGCGGCGGGCGCGGTCATCACGGTATGAGTAAAAGTATGAAACATAGGGAATAACGGGGTCACGGTAGCCCAGGTAAGCGGCGTGGTTCCACCATTCTGCGAGCCAGTTCTTATGCTTGGGGTCTGCAGCGCGAGCCAGGAGTCGCTCCTGTAATGTGTGACCCACTCCACCAGGGCGAATAAATTCCTCAACGACCTTCTTGGTGTTCTCATATTCTGCATCTGACACAACCGCATGGACGGACTTCAGGTACCGACGACTGGTCTCTTCCAGCGACGGCACTGGTAGGCGGGGTAGGGAGTCTTCGAATCGCAGCATCTTGCCCTTAGAAAGATCTTCTTTATATCCTACGAGGATATTTAATATAATGCCACTAGAAAAGGAAAGAAAAGAGGGAAAAGAAAGCAGAAAATCAAAGGCAAAACGCGACAAGAAGAGCAGGGGTTCCACATGATTCCAGGGCAGAATTTCGGGAAGAACATGTGATAAATGATATCCACTCACCCTCAGGGACAGAAGAAGCCTTGCGCCGCGGGGCCATTGTAGGAGCCTGTAAATGGTCAATTGTTCTGCTCCTTGTCATACATTGATTAGCAATAAAGACAGAAAATTGGCATACCACAGCGGATTTGGCGAGGAGAGAATTTGTAGGGGAGAGGCGGGGGCGAGCAAGAGTGCAAGAGAAGCGGCTCCGGGCAGCAACTGTGAACATCACTCTCAGCTGTAACGAGGGGTAACGGGAGGGAGAAGTAAGAAGAATAAGAAGAAAAGGAAGAGAGATTAGAGGAGGGGAAGGAAGGATAAGAAGGAAAAGTAGGGGGAAGGATGAGAAAGAAAAGGACTTGAGTTGATTGTAAAAGAAGAGGAGGAAGAGGAAGAGTAAAAAAGAGCCTCGGTTCAAATGTTGGGTATGTGGTATCTTACCGTTATATTACCCTTGATCCGGAGCGTTCATGCGGGTAAACACCGGTAATACCGATACTCCATCATAGCAAAGTTACCGTCCTGCATTTTCCCCAGAAACTGTTCTGTCACCCTGCCTCGGTCCGGTCTGGGGATTTCTACTATGGGCTCCCAGAGAAAATACCTCCGATGTATGGACCGGTTTCTGCAATTTATCTGACTAGCATCCGATCGGGATTCTACTTCCATTCAACCAGATTGAGCCTAGTCGTCCTCTTAAGTCTGGAAATGTAGAATACTCGGAATGCGGGGAGAGCTATCAATTCTATTGGTACCAAAGCCGTATCGAAATGTACCAACTTACGACCTGTATGGAGGACAAAACGAGCCACCTTGGGATTCCACATCACCACCAGGCTATAATTAAAGGTTCTCGTAAAAAGAGAGGAGAATAAATAATAAGAGAATAGAATTAATATTTTGATTTGTCTCTCCCTTCATCCGTCCCGTTGATCCGATTAGCACCAGCGAATTAACTGCATCTCGCATCTCCGGAACATGCGCGACTTTCAACCAGGGAATCACAGTGTTCAACTGTTAAACCTGGAGACTAACGACGACAGACTACTTAAGCTACCTAGTTAGAAGAAATAAATACACCACAAGCTGCTAGAAAATAAGGAGAAGAATTATTATTATCATCATCATCATCATCATCATCATCATCATCATCATCATCATCATCATCATCATCGCCGTTGTTGTTGTTAACAGGCTGTGCTCCACACCTTGCTGGTGCACAAATCATGAACACACCCAGAATAATAATACCTAATAATAATACCTAATAATAATAGTTAATGATAATAATAATAACAATAACAATCATATTAATCCAAAGAAAAGAAAACAAAACTCCCCAGTAAAGAAAATCACCCTCACTCACTTTACAAACATTTCCAAGTAAATATGAGAAATTAAGGTTAAAAAAAACTTATTATCCAAAAAATTATCCATCTCCAACCCTGGTCACGACACTGTCTGTACAGGCGCCGAGGCGGGCTGTTCTTGACCGTCTATTACCTTGGTCTTGCGTCGGGGAACCTGCACGATGCCACTGCGGAGGTGCTCCAGTTTGATCACCCCCGGTCCCGTGCTGATCCGCCCGGTATGCATCAAATTGCGCAGCCGTTTCCGTCGGGCTTCCCCGTTACGCTCTTCCCCGCGACCGACTCCTTCATCTACCCACTCAGTCCGAAGTACTTTGAAGCTCATGCCGTCATGCGACCCTTCCCAGGGTCGAGACTTCAGGCCAAACAGTACGCTCGAGTCATACCGTTCCAACCGGGGAAGAATAAGAACAGTAATGTGCAGGTCCTTATCGGAAGGAGGCGACGGGGGGATCCGGGGGCGTTCTCCGTCCTCGAGACCCATCTCCTGAGAAGTCTTGGGAGCATGTTGGAAGGTGTCTTTAATTTCCAAGTCCAACATGTCAACATCCACATCATCACCCCAAGCGCCGCGAATGAACCCCGAGTGGATGGCAGCTGCGACTGGATCAGAGTCATCTGTATAAATGCCAGTGCCCCACAGAGCACGTCGTGCGCAGATTTCTTCGCGGTGGCTGGTATCGATACGGAATCGTGGCACACGGATGGTGAATGTGCAATTTTCCTTGCCTTCAAATCGCGGCAGTGGGAGCGGCGTAGTGGTGTATCCGAATCTCGCACTCTCTAAGGTCGCCTTGGTAGTGGGCACCCCAATTCGTGGAGCGTACAAGGTCGATCCAAGATGATGACGAGGATGGTTGGCGACGCTAGACAAGACTGGTTCGATAGTTACAACGGTTCGCGGTTCACGCACTAGGGCAAGAGAAGCAGCACTCCCTACCGGTCGAGGAGCGTGATGATGGTGATGGTGATGGTGATGATGGTGGTGGTGATGAGGAGGAGGAGGAGCAGGCGCAGTATCTGCAGGCATTTCCTCAGTTGTTGCGGGTCGATGGAGCATATTGAAAGATGATAGTGGACGGCGAGATCCGCCAACAGAAGCGGGTTCCTCTTCTGGTTTATGGTGGTGATGATGACTTTGAGAATAAATAATTAGTATAGGGCAAGACAGAAATGGAGGGAAGGGGCATACTGATGGTGGTGGTGAAGATGGCGGCTTCGTCGACCACCACGCGTAGAGGATCCTACCCGTAGATCTACACCACTCTCACTCTCTGCGCGGGTTTCTTCTTCGCGTGACCTCTTCGGCCGCTTACCAGTTGCTGATGTTGGTCGCGCAATCTTAGATTCATCCGTCGCGGCCTCACTGTTGGTGGACCGAGGGGCAACGCTGTCCCGTTTGAACGGGCTTGCAGCCATAGGGGTTGAAGGGACACTGGCTGTACTAGTAGCAGTAACACCTCCGACGCCACTCCCGATCCCGGCGAAGACACGACCTAGTTCACTCTGGATCCCAGATTCGCCGCCTGGGCCAAGAATCTGAGCCTGCGCGCCTTGCACAGCTTGAGGGAGTGGTGATGCGCGTCCACCGCGTTTTGCATCTAGGCCAACCCCAAGAAGGTTGCGATGGTGTAAAAGTTCATCGCTCCCCTTGCGACGTGGATCCTCTGATGAAGTGGGAGCCAGTGACGATGGACCACCGCTAGAAGAAGTTGAGGAGTAAATGCGGGGGTCGCTCTGGCGTTTGTCCAGGTACGGTGGCTGTTCATGAGGCGAAGAGGTTCGTTGGTTTTGCTGCGTTTGGACCGAAAGGGGAGTCTGTCGAGTGCCTCCTGGCTGTGATCCTAGTGATTTCGTGTAGTTTTGAATGGCACCAAAACCAAAGCCCGAGGTATTTGATTCCGGTGCTGAGAAGCGTTTGGACTCGGGTGATGCGGGTTGCGAACGACCTAAATCCCAAGCAGATGAAGCGCTTTGTTGTCGAGTCGCAGTTGCGTCCCGGTCTCCGTAATGTGAGCCATACCTAGACGGTGGGGGAACCACCTTGGGCTCTGGCTGATGTGACATACCTCGCTCCCTTTCCCGACGACCTGGATCCTCCGAGTGGCGGTCGCCATACAAGCCTCCAAACCGAGTGTGCTGGGAGTCATGACCCAGGTATGAAGATTGGCGCTGATGGCCACCCGCAAACGAGCTCTCGCCAGATGTGACAGCCGGGCGTGAGAGTGGGCTGTAGCCTGCGGGCCGGGGGGGAGGTTCAAGGTGCTGCGGTTGGCTATTGGGACGTGGAACTGGGCCACTGAAGCTCAATCGACGGGACTCGTTACTGGTGTATGCGGGTTCTGCGGCAGAGACCTGGGGCGACGGTTGTGCCGAGCTGGAATTGCTCGTATACTGCGAGGCAGTAGAGAGCCGGGACAACCCTCCATACTTCGACTGTTCTGCCACCGAAGTCGTCGGCACGCCTCCCGAACTCGAACGATAGGGTCGGCCAGGCTGGGTCTTCGAAAACGACTTTTCGGGGGTCTGGGATCGACGAAAGAGCGGGTATTCGAGCGGTGAGGGCCTGGCGGGAGCAGTGGGCGGAGACATCACGCCCGGGGCTGGCGGCGGAGGGGGCGCGCTACTGAACGGACTGGAGGAGACGGGAAGACGCGAGAAAATGGACGAGGGGCCTACATCCCGGGCGGGTCGGTCAGCGTCCGAGCCTAGCATGGACGATATCGACATGCTGCTCCCTGGACGATGATGAGCCGCGGTGTTGGGAGGCTCACGCGACAAGAAAGGAGTGGAGAGAGAGGATGGATTTCCCGATTGACCTCGCGACGGGTAATGTTGCGGTGGGGACGGGGGAGGCATCCGACGAGTACCCAACGGGGGGGCAGAGGACTGATCTTGTTGACCTAGAAAAGGAAGGGCGCGGGTGCAAGAGTCAGTAAATAGAATTTCATATATTAAGCCAAATTGCGGTAATAAAAGGTGGAGCCGAGCAGGGGAAAAAAGTGACGTGAAGTAAAGAGGTGCGGTGGCCAGTCCTGGAGTTGAGCTCCCGGCTAATGTACCTTCTCCTGGCGCAGAGGAGAACCAGGAGATGGCAATACGAGATCAGGGAGAGTGAAGCGCCTGACACTCACCAGGATAGGCAGGACTGCCACCACTGCCCCAGGACCTGCGGCGACTGTGGTCATGCGACGAGGGAGGGTTCATGTCGCATGGGTAAGAGAGAAAGCAAAACGCGGTCAGTCGGATAGGAGCGCGATGGGAGGGCACGAGTAAAGGGAGCAGTAGGGGATAAAGGGATGAAAGGAATACGAGGGGCGATAGATGGAAGGAAGGAAGAAAAAAAGACGGACGGAGATGAAAGTTTGGCTTTGGAAAGGGGGTGAGGGAGGGGGAAATGAGAAGGGAGAGAGGAAGCGACGGAGAGGGTATTGGTAGAGAAACAACCAGAACTGATGATGGACAGATTAACGCTTCGACAAGCGCAACGGCGGCAGCGACTGAACTGCGCGGCTGGGGCAGGAACCCGTGACTGGCCCGTGACTGGAGGATCCAAGAGCTCTAGTCCTCCTTGGGAAAGGATGCCCTGACACAATACACTAGTATTATTACAGACTAGCGCTCCCGAGAGTGCCTCAGGCGGCAGTCGATCAGGAGTCAGACGGAGCAGCCGCTGATTGGCCGGAGGAGCCGGGGCCCAAAGTTTGGGTACGTCGAAATTCAGGTGGCAGCACGGGACCAGAAACAGTTGTACTGGGTAATTCGGCGGCCCAAACTGGCAAACTGGCAAACTGGCAAACGAAGAAAATTAAGAAAATTAAGAAAATTAATAACCTACCAGCTGGATACAAAGCTTTGTTGAAGTGATTATGATTCACTTTATGATTTCCTTTCTGGCTTCCCCCACTCTGACGAGCTTGTTTCCGTGAACCGTGGTTTGCTTGTGAGACGTGATACCCGTTGTCTTCTCTCCGGAGTGACGCATACGTATTACCATCGGGGTACAGGGTGGAATCAGGGGTATTCTGTAGTGCTTGATAATGATAGGTTCCCTGGGAAGGTGCTGATTGAGGCATTTCGGGTTCACTTCGCTGAAACGGATCGTGATACGCTCGTGGCGATGAGGCAGATACCGGCCCGGAGATATGATACGAGGAGGAGGATGGCGGCAACAGTCCGGGTGGCTGAGGAAGAGGAGCAGCAGAAGCGACAGCAACGGCGGGAGAGGGGGCCACGCGAGAGTCGAGAGATGAGCGAGTGGGTAATATATGCGGAGGAGGATACGTTAAGGGAATCGGATAGTTGTGATAATTCATCATGATTACTCTGAAGTAGATGCCAGCATTGAGAATATTAGTCTGTCAGGAGGAAAGGAAAAGACGACCGAAGAAATGGAAGAAGAAAAGGGCGGTGGAAATTAGCGCTGAAGATTCTGTTTTGCGGTAATTTCAAAGTTAGAGCTAGAGAGAATAGCAGAGACGATGGGGATAGAGATGGGGAAAGAGAAGGAGAGATACAGCAGAGGGAAAAGATCATGAAGAGCAGGAAGTAAGGGAATAAACCGGTGAGCCATGATCGAATAAAAAATCCCCAGGAGCAAGTGCAGGACAAGAATCAAAAATATCCATGCGACAGAGTTGGAGACCACCAGAGCAAAAACTGCAGATAGAGCCAATGAAAAGTATCACCAACAGCTAGTTGGTTGATTAGACGACAACTAGTAGAATCCACGATGCTTTAGTTGTCGAGGGATTCTCATACTACTCCGTAGAGCTTCTGGGCCGTCGTGGCAGCGGGGAAAACCGTAGATCCACCGCATTTTAGTTCAAGTGGGATGATAATAATAATACCAATAACTAATCCCAGGTATAGGGCATCGTTGGGCTCCTCTTTGAATATTCTTAATATTATTGTAGATAGTATTACAGGGAGTATTAACAGTGTAGTATCCTGTACGCCCTGCAGCCAGCGACGTGTCATGCTTAGTGTTTGTTAGGTGCAGGAATCTTGCATCACTTGCAGTATACATATAGGGGAGGATGAAGGATGATTGATTATTCTTACTATTTATTTATTTATACCTTTGATGCCATTTAACAAGATTCTGCCTACTCTAGGATATAACCAAACCCTCTAACTAAGTCTATAGGATCGTGTATAGCATGATCCTGTAAGGGGCAACCAGTTGATCTAACTAAGTAGCGCCTAAATACATGAAGGGATTGTTGAAGAAGTACGGAGTAATAGGGCTGTTTCCAGGCAAGGTATAGTAGTATGGGTGTGGGTCACATGTGGTTACACAGCCCTAAGGCTAAGCTCTTTATCTACCCAGGTGACAGGTTAAGTAATAGTAATTAGGAGCCTATTTTATAATAATACCCCTTTTTTAATTTTTACTATCTAATAAAAGGAAATATCCTATATATTAAGAAAGTTTTTATTTATTTTATATTATTCTTTATAAATTAGATACTTATTATAATTTAAAAGTTATTTTTTATAGCTTAGATAAAGATATTTTAATCTTTAGAAAAGAATTCTTTCTGTCATGGCGGGCAGGCTGGTAGTAGGTGTAGCTAATGACAGGATATATATTCAGGCTATCTGCATATAGGTCCAATAGGTAGGGGTCAGGTCAGGATAAGGACATAGCTTAAAGAGCTATAATAGGATTAGGAGTAGCATGGCTTAAATATAGGAATAGAGGTAGATAATTAGGGTAGAATCTAACTAGATTAGTATATAGCTATATTATAATAGTATTCTTTCTTTTAGATTAAGCTCTAGTAAAGTATTCTTAAGATCTAGGCTTTCTAAAGTAATAATAATAAAAAATAATAATATATTTAATAATATTCTTTAAATAGCTAGTAAGAATTTTAATAATAATAAAGTATTTAATTTATTTAATAATATATTTTAAATATAAGTAACTATTTTAATTATAATAATTTGTCACAGCGACCACGTGACACGCAACCACATGCTGAACCACATGCCAAGTAACCAAGGGTAATCAGGAGAGTAGTAATAATTAAGTTACCTATATTATACTAGTAACTTAACTAAATAATATAAATAATAATATAATAATCTCTAAAATATTAAGAAATAAGTATTTTATCTTATTACTTCTAATATTTTTTTATTATTTTTATACTTTATATAGCTTTACTTTCTTTATTAATCCTACTTATACCTAAGTACCTTACTAGTAAGATACTTATAATTTAAAGTACTTTTTAAATTAAATAAAATAATATAATAAATATAAAAAAGATTACTTATTTCTTTTTTTAAAAAGTAATAAATCTAAATTTTATAAAATTTATAATTATAGTTCTAGAAATTATTATTAAGAAAGATTTAATAATATTAGTAATTTTTTAGTATTAATTTATTAAATTAATAAAAAATAATAAATTATAATATATAATCTAATATATAGTATAAGTTATATAAATAGATAAGAAGAAAATACTTAAACTTAAGTTTTTTAAAATATAAAATTTAAAAGAATTTAGTATCTTTTTAAAAAATTTTTAAAATTATTTTAAATTATAAGAGAAATTTTATAAGAATAATATAGCTAAAATTTATTATATTATAGATTATTTAAAAAATAATATAAAATAAATAAAGTATAATTAAACTAATTCCTAAGATCTTATGTATTAAAGAATAACTTAAGAAAGAGAAAGAAAGATAATAATAAAGTAATAAATTCTTAATTAAATAAATTCTAGTAGAAAAAGTTAAAGAAAGAATAATAAAATTACTAAAAATAATAAAAGAAAGGCTAATACTACTAATATAATTAAATTAATTGTCATGGGGAGCAGGCAGGCAGTAGGTATAGCTAATGGCAGGGTATATATTCAGGCTATCTATGTATAGGTATAATAGGTAGGGGTTAGGTTAGGATAAGGATATAGCTTAAAAAGCTATAATAAGATTAGGGGTAATATAGCTTAAATATAGGAGTAGAAATAGATAATTAGGGTAGAATCTAACTAGATAAATATATAATTATATTATAATAGTATCCCCTCTCTTAGGCTAAGCTCTAGTAAAGTATTCTTAAGATCTAGGCTTTCTAGAGTAGTAGTAATAATAAATAATAATATATTTAGTAATATTCTCTAGATAGCTAGTAGGAATTTTAGTAATAATAAAGTATCTAACCTACTTAATAATATATTTTAAATATAGGTAATTACTTTAGTTATAGTAGTTTTAGTAAGAATTAATTACTTCCTTAACTTTCTATTTCTTAATATTATTAACTTTAATATATAGGAATTTAATTTTTTCTTATTTAAATAGTAAATCTTTAATAATTAGGTATAATAATTTAATATAAAATACTAAATATATTTTTATGCTCTTAAGTAGGTCTAGTTTATAAATATAAGGGCTAATAATCCTCTTAATAGAGAAGAAGCCTAGATTTTTCTAATCTAATTTTTTTTAAAGGTATAGGATTATAATATTCTTAGTATTTAATTAGATTAATTAGCCCTTAATATAGTATTTAATAAGATAATATTTCTAGTTAGTATAGTATTTATAGTAGATTTAAGTAATAACTATAGTAATATAGTAATATTCCTATATTTATTTTATAATTAGAGTAAATTAGTAAGTATTATAAGTTTGCAGGTAGTAATTAGATAAGATAAGCTTAAATCTTATATAGGGGTTAAAATTATATAAAGTAAAGAATAAAGAATATCTAATAATTTTAGAATTAATATTATTAGTAGTAAATTTTATTATAAGTAGTTATTTAGCCTAATTATTTTATAAATAATTAATATAGATTTATAGATATTATTCTAAAATAATATTTATATATTTAATTTACCTATTAGTCTTAAAATAATAAGTAATAAATAAGAATAATCTTATCTTTAAAGTATAATTTAAGTATATCTAGAATATTAATATAAATTAAGATCCTTAATTAAATATAATAAACTTAAGAAATCTATAAAATTTCTAAATATAATTTTAGAATAGGCAAGTAGCTCTCTTAGTATTATAAGTACTATTATAGAGAATATAATATTAAAACTTTATTAATTAGTTAATTATTACTATAATAGTATTAAAGCTTAAGCTTTAGAATAGATATATAATAAAATTAATAAATATATCTTTCTAGGAATCCTTAGATATAAATAAGGAATAAAGTACTTCTTAATATCTATTTTAATAGAATATAAATTATTTATAAATATAATAATTATAAATTTATTATTTTATAAATTATAGTATTCTAGGCTAGTAATATAATTATAATAATAATTTATAAATTTTTAATTTATTTTAGTAACTAGTAATTATATTCTTATAATATTTATATATTAGTTCTATCTTTAATTCTTTTATATTAGGGATATATAATTAATTATAGTAAAATAAGAGTCTAGAATAGTAAATATATTTAAATAATATAATTAATAAATAATAATTATAGCTTTTTTCTAGACTTTCTAGAATATTATTAGAGGCTAGATCTTATTTATAATCCTTATTTAAGTACTCTCTTAACTATTTAAGAAGCTAGATAGTCTCTTCTTCTTTAGGCTTAAGTAGCTAGAAGTATATTAATTTTCTTCTAGTAATAGCTTAGAGCTAGATTAACTATAGTATCTACTAGCTCTATAACTTTTTTAAATATTTAAGCAAGAAGCTTGCTAAGTTTTCTCTTTTTAATATTATTTAATTCTAGTATAGCAAGTATTTATTCTTCTCCTTAAAGAGATCTTATAATTTTCTAGTTAAGTTATCTAATTTTATTTTATACTTACTTAGGTAATAATTAATTATAAAGTTAAAATAGGACAGGAATTTAGATTATTAGATTTATTATTAATTTAATATTTTAATTATTATAAAATACTCTAGATTTCTATAATTAATTATAATCTTAATTAAATATTAATATTTTTTTAATTTTAGAGTTTATTTTTCTAGATAATAAATAATTACTAGTAACTTCTTATTATATATCTTATAATTATACTTAATTAAAGTTATTTTCTTTAAGTAAAATCCTATTAAGTATAGAATTTTATTATTATTATATTATAATAATACTCTAGTAAATATAAAGTCTAAAGTATTAGTTTTTAAAATAATTAGTTAATTTTAATTAAAGAATTTTAGTATTAGTTCTTTAATAAATTCTATTTTTAGTATTTTAAAAGTAATCTAGTAAGTTAAAGTCTATAAGAATAGGGTTTCTTTCTTTTCTAAGATAATAATAGGTATAAGAATTTATAAGAATCCTTTAATAAAGTATTAGTAG